CAAGTGTAAAAATTAATTTCATCTGTAACGTCTGATCTTTTTAACGCGTAAACGTCGAAATCAGATGTATTAATACTCGCACGCAAATCTAATACCCGTGTAACAAAATATTACTAGGCATTTCAATTTCAATTTAATCCGTTCGTATATTACCTACAACGCATACGTTATTTCCGCAAAACCATATTAGATTTCGAAATTCAAAATATTGACTTATCTTATCGGCTCTTATCGGAATCGTGATATTTCATCAAAGAAAGTTGTATAACAATAAACTGCTACGTCTTCGACGCGCGGAATTGCACAGTTAATAAGGTCGTTTTTTTAATGAATGCCTACATCACGGCGAAACCGTCCAATCCGCACGATTAACTGACTGGGGTAAATAACAGTCGGTAAACTATACGGATTGGATCCGTTGATTTTTATCAAAAAATTATAATAGTATTTAGTACACGATAAAAAAAAAACCTATAAGAATAATAATAATAAAATATAAATGGTGTTATCAAAATATCTGTATGCATTCCTATAGGATAACTTAACTGTGCTAAGTGTATTCGAATACGACTGATTTGTGTATAGATAAGATATGACGAATATTGTGTTTATAGAATTAATTATTATTGATTTAGTGATAACTTATAAGTTTTTTTTTTTTTTTTGTTTTTGTAAACGTGCAGTTAAGTGCGTCGTGTATATTGTCAAAACTAATGGAAAACTCGAATGTAATTATATTCACAATGATATTAAAATATTTTGTCGGTACAGCGTCGTTAATTCGGAATAAATAAAGAGTTTGTACGATTATTAATATTACGTATTATAACTAACGGGGTATAATCAAATCACGGTTATTTATTCCGATTTTTTGGATCCTTTTTTTGTGTAAAATTTTATTTTTATATAATATTACATCTTAAACGTTTTAGATAAATTATAATATAAATGTTGTTGCCCAATATGATGGTGAATATTGTTTTACGTTAATTTTGTAACGATTTTTGATTTTTTTTTTTTTTTTTTTTTAATCTTCATTTTACTTTATATTAATAAGAGTTTTACCAATATGAGGTGACTGCAGACTGATTAATATTTCCATTAAGCCTTCAAACCGTTAATTTTTGTTTTTTAAATTTTAGATTTTTTGTCAACAAAAGAAAAAATTAAAAATTGTGTATGTCAAATTTTCCGGCATTTGTATACTAGTCACATTTTATACTAAACATTTTCAATTGCAATACTCGATAGTCTTTAAATTAACAATCTCGTACATTCCTTTTATTTTCTTCTTTTTAATGTGTAAAACGTTTATATTATAATATTATTGTCTGTCATCGGTTTACTTTCCACGAATCGCATTTTAATTCACTCGAGTTATTTTCAGCATCGTGACAATATTATTATTACGCATATTGTAAATTATAAGAGATTTTTCGTTTCTTTTCGATGCTTTTTTTTTTTTTATTCCAAATTATTACAATAACAAGTAGGTACCTACCTACTATTATCATCGAGGTTCTACCGAAGTCTAGTTGTAAGAATATTCGCAGAATATCGTACGCTTAATATTATACATGTTTAAGACGCCTGTATTATTGATGTACTTTTTTCTGTATGTACTACTATCGTTAATCTAACGTATTTTTTATCTATTAACCTAAATATAATATTACCTATGTAATATATAGAATAAAACGTAAGTTAACTGATAAAAATTTCTAATATTGTTGCACGACACTGTCTTCAATAGCCAACTGGTGTGACATATTATTTTTTGTTTTGTATTTTTTTTGGGGGGCAACCCGGTGCCAGGGCGTATTTTGGCTTGGAAACGTGTCTTGCTTTAAAAACTCGCATGCTAATCTCATCTGATAGTCCTATTCAAACTTTTTTTTTTTTATGAAAGAAAAACTTCCCTAACTATCCGCATTAAATTCCGTTCTTCAATATTTTAATCTCTCAAACTTTATAATATTATGATAATAAAAAAAATCAATTTTAATAAGCTTTTGTTCGTAAACTATTATTTTATTTGAAATCAAATTAAAAAAAGAGTTTGATGCCGGCTTTATAATATTGTTATTTAACAGATTTTCGTTCAATGGGGATAAATCTGCGCTGTTAGTTATTATATTAGAGTAAATTGATCCATTATCAAACTTAAATATATGGGTGTCAAGTCGTCGTTTTTTTCTTTATTTAAATTTGTACGAGATATAGCGTTTTCAAGTCTTAATAATATTCCACACACTCGTAACTCGGTTGAAAATTTAAATTATGGAAAAAACGACAACACGACACGGATATTGTTCTTATCTTATTACCGACGAAAATTTGCTATTTCGCGCGGTTGTATGACGAGACGTGCGCATGCGAGTATAGCGTCCTCTTAAGGCGATCGTTAAAAAGGATTTTCAAATATCCAAAAGTTGGAGACAATTCGGAACACCGTCGCCGGGCCCCTAAATAATTGTGTTATATTTAATATTGATCTCTTGGTCTCGTCGTCATAGCCGTCGGACGAGTATCAGTTGATTGATAATATTTCGATTAATAATTTGACTGTGTTATGATAAACTTATTTTTTTTTTTTTCGTTTTGTTCGCAAATCATTTCGTTAAAATATTATAACGATATTATATTAATTGATTTGATTTGGAGCCCGAAGTACCAATGTCCGTCCAGTGTATAAAACTATTCACAATAAACTGAGGTTTATATCAAATGAATATATAACCGAACGTTTAGATTAGTATACTTAAATTATAAATTTATGCGTGTTTGTGTGTGTGTGTGTGTGTGAAACTTTTTTGCTTTTTGTAGTTTTAAACGGTCAGAACACTGCGTGCATTCGATTTTTTTTCCATGTACACTCGCCCACGACGGACGACAATGTAATCCGAAAATACGAACTAGCGGGTTTCTTTCTGTGACCCTGTATACAATCTAAATTTATATAATATTGTAATTTTAATTTTAATTGTAAGTCTGAATTGTTCCTTTTCGGGGCCGTCCTGAATTTAACGTCGTCGGTATCGATGAATTCTCCTTACTTTTCTTTCAGTGCGTATAGGAAATACATAAAACATTTACCGGAGATTTTCGTTTCGTTGTTTTGAACCGTTTTTCACTAACCGAACTTTTATCCATGATCCGGTTACGGACAGTGACTGTATAATATTTTATATGAAAACGAATATTCCGTTTTATTTTTACGCTTTTAATGCGGTTTTTTTTAATGAAAGCATTTGTCAAAATAACTCTTTACGACATAAACATCGTAATCGTAATGTATCTCCTACATCTGGGACGGCTCTGTTTCTAATAAGACTTTATAACAGTATAGGTCGATAGGGGTAATGGTTTTTCGTTCGAAACCCTTTCTCGTGGACATATCAAAATTAGGTTTTTTTTCGAACATCATACGATTCGGGTTATCCTTTCGGGAAATTCGCTCAATCGGACACTAGTTTAGGCACACGTACCTACGCTTCTGAGTATACTTTAGATAATTGTATATACATACATACTTCCGAAATAGTATTATTATTGTTTTGTTTTTTTTTTTTTTTTTTAATATATATTAATATTCAATGTTATAATAATGGATTTGAGATTTTTCTTTCATCCATCAGCAATTTCACAAACTTAAAGTTAACAATTAACATGTATTTAGATTTAATTTATAATCGTTCGTTTAGTGATTTAAAGGGTCTTTTCTTTGCAAATAATTCCTCTACGTACACCTTCCTTTTAAAATTAAAAGATCGCCACTAATTTTCGCGGATAATCCGTGTACGACATAACATTATTTGATAATTTAAACAAAAGACAGTTTTCGAATGTAATAATACTGGGTGTTTCACCATTTTCGACTGATTTTTCTAGAGCTGTTAACATATTTGTTTTTCAGTCTATTTTTCTTTGTGGGTACATTTAATTAGAGAAAAATCGAATTTTTATTATCATCCTCTAATCGCTAAAAAAATAAATAACTTTATTTATTTAATTTACAAAATTTTCGAAATAGTCATTTTATAAAAGATATTATTCTAAAAATGTAAATGTATCATACATTCATATGTGATCAGAGTCTCTTAGCGACAGCCGTTTTAATTTCTATAGAAAAGGTGTGAAAAAGGAGGCTACGCGTAGCGCGATAGGGAATAATTTATTTTATTGATTGTAAATTGAAAATGTTAAAAATTAAAACGGTTTTGCATTCATAAACTATTGATTGGTTTTGAATAATTAAAGTTTTTTTTTTTTTTGGAGATTAAACGGTTAAAATAAAAATTTTAATTATAAATGTAATTTTTCTCTAAATAGATGTCCCCCTCAGAGAAAATCCGGTCAAAAAAAAAAAACAACTTGAATGTGTTAACAAATTCGTAAAAATCCACCGAACTCGGTGAGACACCGTCATGTATAGGCTTAAAACGTAAGCGTTTGTTTCATGCTTTAAATTTTACCCCTTTTAAAACTTAAAATAATCTGTACCAATGCGACTAACGGTTGTAATAATCACTTTGTTATAAAAACAAATAATAATATTATCGATACTATTTATTATTATATATTATATATATTTATATTATGTAAGTTTTCCAAGTATTTTGAAACGAATCGCATGGAGTGTTTTTACGATAAAATAGTATTATTATTATTATTATTATTATATTACGCGTGTCGATATATTATTATTATTATTATTATTATTATAACTATTATTATTGTATAAAGTGTTACGCGAGTGTTTTTATCAATGTTAATATTTCAATTTTGCGCATCAATCGAAAATATAACTATATTATTATTATTATTATTTGTACAATCCGTTGACATGTTTGCGCTGTTTTCGTGTAATTTATTATAATATACAATGATAACGAATCGAAAAAAAAGTAAAATAAAAATGATTTCGTACTTATAATTTATTATGTAATAAGAAAAAAAAAATCAAAAATAGCTCAGACTGGCGACGCGTGCGCCATTGTTGTAGGTGAAAAGTTGTGAACGTAGGATATACAAATTTGTTTAATTTATATCTATATTAACCCACATCTGTAAACCATTGCCAATGAAAAACGATTCGGAGCGAAGTTCGTTTACACACATGTTTAAAGGTTATTATAATATTCGTCAAAATTTGTTATTAAAACTCTTATGAAAAAAAAATACTACCTAACACACAATTTTTTTTTCCCCCACTAAGTACGACTTAAAGTGAACCTCCTGTTAATTTTTTAATCAAATGTTTATAAATATAGCCCATAAATAGCTTAAATATTTTAAAAATTTTACTACTAGAATAATAAATGTAAGTTATCTGTCGAAATATCAAGTTCCTGTAAATATGTTTAACTAAATCGCAACAAAAACACAAAATTTAAAATAATAAAAGCATTATTTTCGTAAATTTTCGTCTGTTGTCGTTTTTCTATTTGAGCAATATTTCTGGGAGAAAACATTTTGCATGTCAATTTAAAGTAATAAAATCGTACGCCACGCAGTAAATTTGTTCGTTTTTCAATTTTCGTCATTATCCGATTTTCTAAATTATTATAACTACTTGTTGAAAATCAAAAAAAGACTCGCCTCTTAATCATCTAGATCCGAAAATTTAACACAAAAGGTGTCTTGTCATTTTTCTATTGGAGCAAAATTTCTGGTGGAAATTATAGTTTGCAAAAATTAAAAACTATGAAATCGGTAACGCCACAGCATAAATATTTGACGTTTTACTTATAACTCATAATATAATAATATCATAATTTTATGTTACAGAAATTTTCTTCTATAAATAAACAAAATAGAGAATAATGTATAATGAAACATTTTCATTAAATAGTGCAATCCAAGTATCTGTATGTTATAGGGTTAATAACTTTACAAGTGTTGATTTTCATCTTATCAACTATAGTACCTTATTTGTTCTTTATTAGATTTTGATGATTTACCTGCACGTCAATTTACAAAAAATCATACGAATTGCATTATTCGACTAAAATCACTGTTCGCGAAATGAAAATATTTTATTTTTCGTGAAATAAGGTTTGATATTATTGTTACAACTGTACAAATAAAATATGAAGATATATTTGTGAAAAAAATAATAATAATGTTGTTGATCCATCCTACTCTAACAGCGCCATGACTCCAATATTTCAGGAACAAATTGTTTACTCAGAAAAGAAAAAAACACACACCTACTAAAATTTCAAACCTTAAATTTAAACAAAAAGAAATCTACACTACTTATGAATAAGCCATTGAAGTAGGTAGTTAAGAAGGTAGGATATACAGGGTTCGTTAATTTATATATTGTATGCAATGATAAATTATTGGAAATAAAAAACGATTTTGAGTGACGTTGTATTAATCGACATCGTTTTTTTCCTTTGTTGCCAAGGTTACCCACAAATCAACAAAAAAAGACCTAGATAGTGAATAGCTGAAAAAATCGATAAGTGATCCGAATAAAGTACAGCGAGCCAGGAATTTCACATATTTTGAAATAATGCTTAAAAAACCTGGAGCGTTTATCTAACATTATAGTTAGACAATCTATTGGTTAGTGTTAAAACAAAACAGTTATTTAGAAAAAGTAAAATTCGAAATATGTTTCAAATTAATTACCGTCCAGCAAATAAATACGCAACTTATGATGTAAAAAGTATGATTATATTTAATAATCATAAGTGTGATGTAAAGTTAAATGAGAAAAAACAGCATACTTCGCACGATGGGTGGACCACTGTTGTAAATGAGAAGTTGGGAAGGTAGAGATAAAATTTAATATATGATATCTGTACGCAACGATCGATAACGAAAAAGGATTCTGAACGAAGTTTGGTTATACATGTTTTGAAAGCCCGTAATATTCCCGACTTGAAAATAATAAATTTCGTAAATATTCCCGTTGTTCTTAAGTTTTTTCCCGTTTATTGTAAAAACCTATAATTAAATTAAAAAATGACCTCGCTCCGCTCAGAATCCAAAACATGTGTATGTAAAACTAGTCGGTTCAATATTCATATTTCAGCCCGTGAATTATTTTTCAATAGTTTTTAGGTTAAATTCAATTTATAGAAATTCAATCATTTATAGGAAAAATTCTAAACTTATTGTGTTTAAATAAGTTAAACAAATAATTTATGTTTATTTAGTTGGTGGGTTAAAAACAACTAAAAAAACAATTGATCGATGCAAAAACAAGTATAAAAATCTCGCGCATTAAGATCGTCAGTAAAACATTATACAATTTACAAAAATCTATTTTTGTATTATTAATAATAATAATACATCATTATAATAATGGAATTCATATTATTCAAGATGAGCATGATTATTTTATTGTTCTATATTGTTGCAATGGTTAATACTATGGTAGAAGGTATATAATTGTTGTTGAATTTTTAATACATTTTTTAATTTCCCTAATATAAATATTCAATTTATTATATCCATTGAATGTGTATTCGTGTATTACAATAAATTAATACATTTTATTCACGTGCTGTAAGTTGTATAATTTGCAGGAGCACCTAAATCCCTTTGGTACTCACAAGAAGACCCATTTAGCGGTGAGTTTTCATTAAATTAAAAACATACATTATCTGATTTGCAATACCTGTTCATAATAACTAATATTATAATAACACGCCTACTTGAAGTAGTATTATTATTGTCATTTATTTACTAACAAAAACATTCGGAAATTTAAATGTACTTATTTAAATGGCCCACTGAGCAAGCTCGTGTGGGACCTAGGTATACTTTTAATTATGGAATCAAATTTATTAAAATTTAAGTACATATCTACGCACGTAGTATTTTATTAATAAATAATACTAATTTATACTGATAATTAACTTTATGTAATAAGGATTAAGCTTAGGCTTATGTTTGTAATATATTTATTGTCAGTGCAATCTAAACCACTTTTTCCCCCAGAACTCTCAATAGGTCATCGAAATTAAAATGTCATATTTTTTCTTAACAGGTTCACCAATATAATTCATATATTAATATAAATCAAAAAAGGTAAGATAAAAAAGTACCTAATTTTTATTAATTACTATTGAATTATTTAATTTTATAAATATTGCAGGTAACTATATAACATATATAGTATTAAAATGTTTAAATAATAAATAGTCCAAACTGAGATGGTTTAGGCATGACATGAATAGAGGAATTGGAAACAATAGAAATATTAATCAAAATAAATGTAGGGGGGGAAAGAGTGGAAAAGGAAGACCAAAAAAGAGATGGTACGATGTAAATTGTATAAGGATGACAGCTGTATGTAAGGATTACGTGACTTTAAAATTTTTAATCCATCGAGGCAATGTGAAGTAACTGATTATATTTATAGTTATATTTTCAGGCATTTTAAGGCCAAAAGTAATGTAACCCAAAACCACCCCCACCCCTAAAAAAATACATTTAATACAACGTGGGAAAAATAAATTGAGCAAGTTTTTTTTTTTTAAATATTAAATAAGTATCTTTAGAATAAAATGTACTAATAAAATCTAATACATTTATATAGGAATTATGGATCCTCAACAAAGTTTCCAATTCAGTGCACAAGTTAAAGAAATTAAAGAAGAATTTAAATTTAAAAATTATACTCACCGCAGTATTTACTTGTTATTAATATTAATTTAACATCTAATTAGGGGTATATATTTATGGTTTGTCTAAATGTTTGAATATTTGTTATGATTTTTTATTTATTTTTGTATTGTAATACCCACGTAAAATACCAATAATACCAAATAACAAATATAATTAAAATGTTCAATTCTTACCTATAAAAAGAATATTGGTAATGGACCAATTAAATCCGAATTTTAAAGTACCTATATCGGTTTAATATTTTACACATTAAGTAAACGAATATTTAAAAAAAATAATAATAATAATAATATTAATCTTTAATCGTAGTTGAATAAAATTATTAACAATAATTAAAAATTATTGAATAAAAAAAAAAAATAATATTTAATATTATAATATAAAAATTTGGAAATTTCACAACTTTATTTTTTTATAATTCCCTCCATTTTTTACTGTATACTGACATCTAAACATTGTCCGAATGCCTTCATATCTTAATTTCCCTTGTATTCTATCAGGTATACCGGCTGTATCTGCTTCCAAGAATACTAACATTTAGACATTCCCCGAATCCTGTATTACCACTCCAATATCTCGACGTCTAGACATCAACCAAATCTCTCTGTATTAGCACTCCTATATCTTAATTTCCCCTATATCCTATATAGTTATACAGCACCCAGTACTTCGTAAGGCGGATTTCCCACCCACCGAGTGTAACCGCTACTTCCGCAATATCCTGTCCACAGGGGCACAGCTCCTTCAGACGAACGCACATAATACTGTATCCCGCTTGTAGTTATATAAAATCAATATTTATAATTCAAAATTATTGAATAAAATATTAAACATTGTTTTTAATTTAAAAAGTAAAATCAATGTTGAGTTATTAATATATTTATAAATAAAACTTATAATAATATTCTAATAATACTTTTTTTCACTGTAAAATAAATTGTTTTCATTTAAATTGATATTACATATGAAAATTAATGTAATAAGTTGTATAATATATTATAAATTAGTTTTACAATTGGTCGACAGAAACTTCACCGAATTTTTTTGTTGAAAATAATAAAAATACAATTTTCTTTCTGAATCCAATTGAATTGGCTAATTGGCGAATAATATTATATTAACTTCGAAGAATCTTGTTTATGTATTATATTTTAATCCTTTGTGATTTTATGAATTTAACACAATTGCTCTTGAGAAGACGTCATATAAACGCACAGCATAACAAATTTTCATTCAACAAAAACAAATCTGTGTGGTTAGTTTTAATATTGGAGTAAATTGACCCACTATAAAACTTAATGATTAATGTCGTGCCCAGTGTTTATTTTAGGGGGTAACTGGGAGGTAGGTATTGCCCACCAACAGAAAAATATTTACCACCCCCTGAAAATATATAGCATTACTACGTAAACTACATGTGAAAGAAGTTATAGGCCTATTATGATTTCATCTTGTTGACAATAAAATTGAAAAAATATTGTGTTATACAAATAATCGTATTTCAACGAGCAATAAAAATAAAGTCATCATTGGACGTATTTTCTTAATTTTCCTTTCAAGTGCAAAAATTCCTATATTCGGCTCTACCTTTAGCATACTCCCTTGAAGCCCTTCTCTCTATGAAATTGATATTTTACTATTTCAACGAAAATGTTCTAATGATATTATATTGATGTTTCTGATAGGCACAGGTAGTAGATATTTTTTTATTCGAAACAATCATAACTTTACAGTGCATTCATTCACTGCCGTTACGTTTTTATATTTAAGTTAGAAATGGTAATTTTTAATGACAAGTACCTACAAACAATTTATTGCATTGAAAAATATTTCTTACAAACTGTCCGCAATGGAAGAAAATGAAACTTCACTGCCCTAAAATTCTATAACAACTAGTTAAAACTATGAATTGTTACCAAAAACTTAGAAATCCTAAGGTTATAGGTTGTTTTTCATGTTGTGTATTACAATAAAGCAAGTCCGCCCTAACCGTGACGTTTATGTCGTGCTCCATAATGCGGACTCAATTTTCGGTGCCAATGTGGATTGCAGATCGAAATCGGTGCACGAAAATGGAATACATACGGCATACATACTACATTAATGTAATTTAGCGTATACTAAAAACTCAGAATGCATTATATTCGGTGTTGGCCGTGTCAATATATTAACAATAGCGGAAACAATGACATTAAGAAGACGTCACACCAGCATTCACTATCTGAGTCTAACTACTAGGCAACATGGCAAAGTTGTAACGTAGATAACGTAGAATATAAATTGTGGCGTATTTAGTAACGTTTCAATGACATGATGAGCATAATATACTTTCTAACCTTTAGAAAAACGTAAACAAATTACCGGCTAGATTTCTCTACCCCTTTGAAGTGCTTCAGGACTAAGCAATTGCACTGTCGTTAACCACACGCCATTAGGCGTTTATGATGAAATTAGAGTTGAAACACTTCAAGTATAGATAACAAATTTTCGAGAACAGTACATTGTTGTTTTTCTAAAATAATATCAATCAACAATTTACAGGTATTCCAAAGAGACAAAAATTGGCATGGCTGTAACTTTGTTGTATGACAATATTTTCTAAAATTGCAATCCACTGTTTTCGAAAATATTCTTACCTTAATTTTTTTTTTATGTTTAAAATCTTACATTAGTGCCACAGTTCAATGTATTATCAGAGCTGTGTTGAGCCATTTGGCACTCAGGGACATACATTTTTAAGCACCCTCTCTCAGAGCCTTTCCTAGGAATAATGTAGAATTAATCCTCCCCAAATTTGTTGTAATTTTTTAAAATTTTATTAAATTCATATTAAAATGTCCACATTTACCTCCATCAAGTAAGGTTTTTTCTTAGTCTTGAATTTTTTCTCAGTACACATACTATGCCTATGTGTTACTAGGTTGCAATTTTAGTTACCAAACAAAATGCATTGTTACACTGAGCAAAGCGTTTGAAAATAAAATAACTAACAAATGATATAATATAGTATGGTGATATTGTTGATTTTATTTCGAGTTTTATATCGAGCCGGTTGCCCAATAGTTTTCAAAACTTTGACAACCCGGGGCAAATGCTCCCACTAGCTCTCCCCTTAACACGGTCTTGTATATTATTTGTATTGTGTATAGAATCTATTACTATTGTTGTAAAATTATGAAAATCGGTACGTACCTTGACCGCTTCGCATACAGGAACTGATGAAGTTAAAGTAGGTGGCGCGATTTTATAATAGTTTGGGTATAGTTTATGGGACGGTGAAAAATGTATGTTGACAATACAGTATTTCAATTTAAAGCCCAAGCCGGTCGTATTGATTTCCAAACATTCGTCGTAATCTCCAAAATCGATCGATTTTCCGGATAATATACCAGTTGGAAAACCTACTGATGCATCGTACACTATATAAATAAATATTATTATTTATATGAATACTATTGGTGTCAGTAATAAACTTGCAATTTATTGTAACCTTAATAAATACAAAATTCTATGGCGCTGTCATAAATTATAAATTGGTGTATCGGTCGGTGTATGGCTTAATTTTATATAGTCGGAGCTGTTCTCAGGTTTTCCCAATTATTAAGAAAACTACACATAAAATCAAGCAACAACTTTCTTATGGACACACTCGATAACGTTTTCTTTTAGAAAGCATAATACACATGAATATTATTAAACAAATTAAACAGTTCAGGAGTAAGAGGAGAACGTACCTATCTAATAGGTGATATTTAAATTTTTTTTTTTATATCGATAAAACTTAAGTAAGTAATATATCGATAAGTAACTATATATTGTTTTAATTATAATGTGCAAAAAGTATAACGCCAAACAATTTCACCCGCAATATCCAATATTTATATATACGGAATGATGCGCAAAACATTATATTTGGACTTACTTTGAGTCGCCCACAACTCGAGACCTTTCAATCCATCTCGGCACGTCTCTCCGTCGCACGTGCATTCCGGTCCGCCCGCGGGAACGTAACTTTCCAGTGTACCGTAAAGTATTTTCGTGACCCACTGCGATTGCCGGAACTCGCCGGTCACGCCGGAAGACATAATCGTCGCCAACGTTAAAAAATATATCACGGGGATTAACGCGAACATCCTAAAACGAAAAAAAAACATTAACGACGACGATCCGAATAATTAAAACGAATGTCGTGACATTATGCCGGCCGAATCATATATATAATTTCGAACAAAAGTCCATTTGACACATTGGTTATGTAAATATGTTTATTCACTGACTCACTGTCAAGGAAAACTGTTAATATCATTCAAATAACGATCTAACACGGTCTTGCAATACCTATGATTATAACATTAACTGAGAATACTACCACTGAATTAAAGTTATGTGAACCATTTATCCGAACAATATACTAAGAGTATAGCGAGTGTATTCATATATCGTACATTTCTGTCCGTTTGTTGGTATTAAAATATTATTCGGCATTAAAATTCGGACCGGACATGGTCTGTAAATCAATATTTTAGGTCTGGTTAATATATTGGGGAGGTCGTTTTTCGATTTTCCATAATTTATTTATTGCACACTTGTCGTAGCCTTGGCTATAAAGACTATGAAAGAAAGATACCAAGGCCGATGTGATAGCACTGTTAAATCCAGGTATATGACAAGGGGGCGATAGCCCCACTGAAATTTCATTTACCCCCCTGTTAAATGTGGATAAGTTAATTAATTAATTAATTAAATAATAAAAACATTTTGATTAAGAGGGTAGATAAGCAAAAAAAAAAAGGTCATTACTTCTACTTCATTGTGCCACAATGCCCAGACTTCTTACTTTGCCCGTAACATGTATATTACCTAAACACTAGTTCAACAATAATTAGGTGTACACTGTAGGTAGGTATCTATTATGCATTAAGTATACAGTTTTAACAAGGTCAACAGTCGACAGTCAGAATTATGGTTAAACGAGTCAATCGAAATTCGCAGTTAACAAATTATGACGGTCTCCAACCTTCAATTAATTCGTAAATATTAAATTAATTATTATTGGATTTTGTAAAATTGTGTGGACAAGGATTAATTAATCGAATTAATTTATGAAATATTTGAGAGAACGCGTATTTTTGCATTTTATTATTAATCTACCTAATTCGGTTTGAATAAAAAACAAATCTAACAATCATACTTACCTGCGACCTACCTATTTATGTATATGCAAAATTAATAATAATATAACCGGTTTAATGTAGCACACCTATTTATTATTATTGTAATAGAACATGTGTCACATGCATACCGGACATTTTTTATTTAAATTTTATCGAGTGTTAATGTATTTTAAACAATAAAACAAATATTGTATTACCTATTTGTATTACTATGATGTGTGTTTTTTTTTTTTTTTTTTGTCACGTCAGTTCATTGTAATTCAATTCATCGCGTATATTTTATATTATACAATATTTGAATAAACATTTTCAAACGATATTCTCGTACAGTGTTATTACAATACGAGTTGACTGATTGGAAAAATATACCAACATGAATGGTTAACATTGGTTTAAAAACTAAATACCTCTCCAATTCCAGATCCAAAATTCAACAAGAAAAGTATCATTTCTTAAACTTACTCATAACGAGTAAGTTTTCTGTTCGAAAAGTTGTTTACAAACAGAAAAAAAACACACGTTATATAGGTTAAACCAATTTATTATAGATCACTCCATCCGCTCCGGATCTAAAAATAGAAGACTTGTCCATAATATAGATGTCACAACTTTAACATGCTGAATTTTAGAGAGGCCATTTGGAACTTTTGCATTTTTTTTCACAATTAAATTTTTTGAGGAAAATCATTCCGTTTACAAGACACTGGATTTATTAGGCATATAGATTTGTTGTAGATTATCTCTTGTAATACCTATCGTTTTGGGTCTTTGTTGAAAAGCCATAGACGTAAATTAAGTCTAAAAACCCAAAAGGCTTGAATCCAATATGTTATTGATTTTAGAGTACCCTATACATAATAAAACTAAATAAATTCAAACATTAGGTAAGTATAAGCAAGACTTATGATGACTAGCACCCTATTTACCCTTATAAACATATTAATTGATATATAATAAATACATTTTGAGAATATTACAAAATACAAACCCTACCCCTAAAGTTGCATTAGTCTTAAGAAAATTTGAATTCTCAAATTTTACTTTCACTATAAAACCTTTGAAATACATTTCATATTTTTAACTTTACAAGAAGTGTCTTATCATTTTGATGAGTAAATTAGTAACAAAAATGCTAACTTTAAAGTTCTTCCCTTTTGAAGTCTTAGTATTACAGGCTTGATTTATCACTAAGCTACTGAAACTCAATCTAGTTTATACACATATATGCAATAGTTGTTTAAACACTACTATTATTATTTTAATAGTAATAGTATTTAAATTACTATTTGTAAGTGTGATTATAAAATTCCAGTTGCAACAATTAAATTTGCAATAATTCAAAATTATTTAGATTTATAAAATATATGTAAAATATAATTAAAACAATAACTTTTAAAAATATAATTTATTTAATTTAACGCAAATAACAATAATAATAAATGTATAAATTAATAGTGGAATTAAAAGAATAATATTAAACTAAATCCATTTCATCAAATTACAATGCAGAAAAATAACTTAGTAATGCAATATATATATATTGCATATATATATGTATATAAATGTTATAAAGGAATATGAATAATATTACGTAAAATGATTGAACTAGGAACTGAATTAGATCTAAAATATAATAAATCAATTTATTAATTTTAAATTTAACAGAAAAAACATCAAAAATGTTTACAAGGTTATTCCTTGTTGGCATACACAATTAAAGAACAAAATATTTAAACAAACACTATAAATCTTCGTATTATAAATCAGTTCCAAATACAATCTTTATTATTAATTAACTTTAAAAAATATATATAATTAAAATAGCTGGAGGCCATTATCCCTGTTTGCCGAAATTATTAAAGTTTTATTTTCTTACATAATTATATTACATCCACAGCCTTCTATAATAAAATACAAATATGACATTTTTTTTCAGCACATAACACTGAACAAATTAAACTTAACAATTAAAATATAAATATTAACTTGAGACTAGAACTAGATGTTAAGTGACTTTAATCCATTATCAACAGAAATAAGATACAATAACGAAAAAAGCACTTAAAAAAAAGAAAAGAAAAAACAATTTTTAATTAAAAATTTAAATTTAAATTTTCAAAACTAATTAATTTCTTAATGTTTATTTGTGATGATCAATTAATATATTGGTATGTATACATTTTTTAGTTGGAAATAATGTTAAGGCAAATTTATGAAAAACATAAATTATAACTACAGACCACCAAAACCACTGACCATAATATTTAACTTTTGCAGTCAATGGTTTGTGGTTTTTTAACACCACGAGAAGAAAGGACTTTTATTTTGAAACCTTTGAGTAAATGTATCACTGAAAGAACGAAACTTAGATGTTGTTCCCACATGACCTTTTGACCTGAAAAAAATTACAATATAAATATGTAAAAAACTTGATAAAAAGTGTATTGCAATACATATTATTTTAATTATGACATATTTAAAAAAAAAAAAACACAATGGAAACGAATTCAAATTTGAATAGTTAAAATATGTGCAATCCATTATATATTTTCAAATATAATAAATATATAAATAAAAAATGTAAATATAAAAATAAAAAATAATAAATAAAAGAATGAATGCTTCGCCTGGAATATTATGATAAAAATTTATTATCAGGTATATCACAGTGAAAATGTAAAACGCGATTGAATATAAAAAATTAAACGAAGGAATACATAGAAAAAAATATTATACAAATTGGTAGTTTTACATAGAAATAATTTATTTTAATAGGAGAGACTATTTAAAATTAGTTATTATTATTTATGTTAAGAAATATAAATTATTTGTTACCTAAAATATATTAATATAAGATATTATTTTGAAAGTCGGTTTGTGCATTTAAAATATTATTCAAATTATTTTTCTTTATTTTACTGTGTACATTTAATTCTTCTAAAATTGAATTAATTTGAATTAGAGGCAGTTTTTTAAAATTTTATTTCAGAAATGTGTTCATTATATCTTATTTTAAAATTTATATTTGTCTTACCTATATAAAATTTATTACAGTTACATTATAAGTTACATTACAAGTTTATATATACCAGTATTTTCAAAAGAAAGGGGATGTTGTGTGAAATGTTTAATTCTATTGTTTACATGCTTGATTAAATTATTATTAGTCTAAAAAGCGATTTTTACTTTATTTGTATTATTGTTTAAAATTTTAGCGTATTTGTTAGACATATTATTTTGATATTTCATACTACAATAGTTAACAACATTATTTAATGAATTGTGTATTATTTTTCTTTAATACATTTTTAACTTTTTTTTTTAATAGTATTTAAATTTAAATTTTTGTTTGTTATGTATTCTTTCATTTAATTTGTTTATATTCAGTCGCGTTTTAAATTCTAACTATGATATATCTGATGATGAATTTTTAATTCGAAACCGGTCGTACAATACTCCGGGCGATATAATTTTTTTTTTTTAATTTTTATTTATATATTTATTTACGAGTATTAACCATTTTAATAATTTTGTTATTACTTTAATATTTTATTATATATTTTTAAATAGATTCTACTGAATCATAATCTAGAAATAATTTATATGTTGAATACAAAATGGTTAATGAAAATACTAAAATAAAAATATGTTATTAAAAACAAAATATTAAAAATGGTGTTAAATTGATAATTTATTACAGACTAATCTAATATTTTTAAAAAATTAATACAATTTAATTACCGTTCGACAATTACAGCTGGCATTTGAACAAGTTGAACAGGACTTTTACCATCTTTTAAAGCCTGAGTTAAATTTAATATTTGTCCACGCATAACACTCATTTGCTTTTCAAACATATGTCTATCAAATCCTTTATCCATCTACAAAAATAATTGTCAAGTTTTACATTAATTATAACCAGCACATTTCTGATAATATAGTATCAGCAATGTATCCATTAAAGAAATTATAAGTTTGATTTTTTTTTTCTTTTTTGGTAGATATAACATAATTTAAAAAAAAAATTCTAGATACACCACTGCAATTTATATTTGTTTTTTTTACCTTAAACAATGTGTAAAGATCATCACATAAATCCTGAACGAAATTCATATCAGACAAATAAGGTAATACCAGTTCTTTTATATCTTTGCTAAAAGGAATTTTTGCTTGGGGAAGCCATGCCCAATGATAGGGATATGCTCGCCACGAGTCTGGATGTTTAAAGGGAAATGCTAATCCATTATCAATAGCTGCTATTATTATGTCTGGTTCTTGGACATTACTCCATTCCTAAAGGTCAATAAATATTAAACAATTTAAATAAATTAATAAAGAATAATAAAAATGAATTTACAAACATTTGAGCTTTCACTGACTGTAGAATTAGTAAGGCTGGCATTAGGACTTGAGCTCAAGCTTGGTTGATCATATCTAATCAACCAGTTATCATTTCCTCGGTCAGTATTTCGAATAATATAATCTAAAACAACTAGTCTTTCAAACTGAAGTTGAAAACGCGATTGAAGATTTAATGGTAATGGAGCTAATTCTAGTCGCCTAAGCCAATATTCTGCATCTTTATATCCTTCCATGAATAATTGGAATGATCCTATCTGTAAGCAATAGTAAACTCTTTATTATATTGCTCAAATAATTATAATCCAATGTACATACTTTTGGCCTGAGGCCAAGTCTATTAAATCGCCTTCCCAACTTTGGAAAATGATCATTAATAGCATGTTTCATTCTTGTCTTTTCTCTGTCTATACGCCCATAATTAAATGTCTCACTGACTAGCTTTGCAACCTTAGTCTTGGGTACAATATTTAATCCAAGTTTTGTTGATACAAGACTAGCACCAGCTTCAGACAAGTATCCTTGATTAGGTATTAAACATGAGCGACCAAAACAACAAGGGCAACAGTTTTTATGTAACCATTTAATCCATTTTGGATTCAATAATCCATACGGTTCTTCATCTTTTGGTTTAAAAACACCAATAATTTTCTAAATGAAAAAAAAAATTATTTATTAACACAACATGATAATAATTAACTATAATTTGAATCTTCAATTCAATAACATCAGGTTAATAGCTGGTACTATTAAATCTACCCTGACTTACGGATTTCCAACATTGGCTGCAATCACTTCTACATCAACAACCCCGACACATTTATAATTGATACAGTAAAAAAACTAAGTCCAGAAACCCCCCAATCAGAATTACAACTGATCTGGATAATGTCAGCTTCAACATAATAGCGAGATAAAAAATTATGGAAGATCTTATCCTCAACATTATAACCCTTGACTAGACACCCACAATTGCAGAATTTGTAGTGCACACTAAACAGAGTAAGATGTGCAGACTCCATATATAAATGAAGCATAAGAAACTCTCTACCAATTCAACTATAAAGCAAAAGAGCAAACATTCAACCACATTACTCCAATCTGATCAACTGGGGACCAAAAGTTGACTGTCTTACAACTACTACCTTTTTCATTTAATAGCTAGAGAACTTAGATCTCCTACTTTGGTAATGAGCATACTGATCTACACAATGTTATTGTTTTCTGTTTTATATAATATACTTTATTTTATATCATTTTATTTATTATATTCTATATTGTATTATTTTCAATTAAGCATGTAACCATACAAACCATACACTAAATAAATCATGAACTATTATAATATAATTTAATTTTACCTTAAAATTTTAAAGTATGTTTATACTTTATAAAAGAAACTTCATTCCAAATCATTTTTCGTTAACAATGGTTTATAGTTGCGTACAGGTATACATTAAATTCCCCTATATATAATACCTTCCCAACGTCTCACCTACAACAGCCCACCCATTGTGCGAAGTATGTCAGTCTTTTTTTTAAACTTAACATTTATGTCTTATTACCGTTTTAGTCTTTTCAAAATGTATTTTTCATAAATAAAAACTTACACCATTTGTATCTTTAACAAAATAACTTCCACTGGACCCTTGGTAAATTCGATCAGGGAATACACTGTTATCTATAGCTATTTCTGCTTGTTTAATAACAAAACTGAATGCTGGATCATCTATAAAGAAGTACAGTTCTAATTAAAAAATGTTCAATTAAATTTATCGACCTAAGTACAAGTATAGATATATGATTTACCATTCTTTTGATAACAATCATAATCAACTATAGTTATATCTTCAAACATTATGTAGGTATTTTAAAATTCTATAAATTATAAAATAATATTATAGGCAGATATTGTTAAATTTATTCTACTATAATGTATTGATACAAAATAACTTTACTAAAATAAATATAGGTAATAAACTAGATAATGTGAAAAATGAATGATTAGGTAAGTAGCTAATGTCATAATGTTATCTTTTCATAAACAATAATGATACCTCAAGTACAATATTTTTAGTGACTACTTATAGAGGTGTGGTTTCTAATCTAATATATTTGTATTTATTAAATCAGATATTTATTTAGAAAATATTTCATTACACATTATCAAAAATATATAAAACTATATATACATAAAAAAAACTATCTATAGATTTCAAAATAAACTAGTAGCGGGTAATCAACAAAAAATGACCTTAAAATGTAAGCTTTTAATAACTATTACCTATGTATTACAATGTATTAACAGTTGACAGGTATGAATTATAATAATTTTATTATATTCAGTGCCTTATAACCATGTTTATCTTAACTGATAAACAACCTTGCTAATAACACAAATTTAATTGACTTAATTTATAAAAGATAACAAAATATCTATATTGAATAGGTATTAATACTACCCAGATACAAAGTTCATTAGATTAATAATCATTCACATAAAAAAAAACTAATTTAATGTACCAACATTTTTTAGAAATAATTAAATTGTTAATATTAAAGTAGGTACCTACCTATAATATTTTAAAATATATGAAAAATGTGAAGAAAATGTGTTTTCCAAATTCTATTTGTGAAGAAAATATATACCTAGCACCATTAGTTTTGTGTAATATCAAAAACACATTTGCATATGGCAATAATTATCCCCGTACAATATACAAACCATACATACAACACTGACTTATACCAAAATAATTTTTATAAAAAAGGAATATATATTATAAAAGAATATATATATTGTCACTGCCTAACAAAAATAGCAACCAAGTATAAAAAAAAAGTGTGTAAATACCATATTTAACCTATCCTTATATATCTATGTACAAACAAATTTATCTAAGTGATACAATTTGTAATTGCAATACCTAGAACACAGAATTATTATCATTGCGTAGGAATTACCCATAATCATTGTATGTCCAACTATAAGCAAAATAACTACATTGTTACATAACACAATTAATTTTTTTATTCTCTTGGAAGTTGAGATCCACTCACACAAAAATACCTTGGTCCATGTCCACTAAAAACACTTTGGACCACGCCACTGTTTTGAATGATTATTATTTGATATTAATATGTATTTTATAGTTGAGAAATACTCACAATATTAAAGTTTATTACGTAGTATTTTTGTTTTTATTTAACTAGGTACCTAACCTTTATGACTAATCATGTAGCATTGAACAATTATCAAGACAAACAATTACACACACACACACAGCAAAATACATATTATCGTTTAAATACTTGTATATGGGTATACCCTATTGATGAAATTGTGTTATATTTATACTTTTTTCTCATTAATTCAAATAATCATAACTCTCCTGAAAATTAAAATATCGAAAAAAAAACCCACATAGAAATATAGACAATGCTCTTACCTGCAAATACAATCTAATGTTAAAACTAACAGCACGAAATCAAAATGTATACAAAAATATAAAATATAATATACATAAGGTATATTATACCAAATTATACCAATTTCACTGATACGGTGTAACATATAATGCATTAAAAATTGGAAAATAATAAATTGTATTTTAATTATTACCAGGAAAATGATTGTACCCTGGAGTATGATCCATACGTCCTAATAAAGGTTGATTTTCTCTATCTTTAGCGTCCAGGTTGTCGCTTAAGGGATGTTCGAAATCGACTTCGGGCACGATAGACTGGTAAACGGATGTGGTAGGTGACGGCTGCTGTGGTATACAGTTGGTTTGCAAACTATCCTCGTTCATTTAGACAGCCGGACAAAAAAACTCACCAACACAAGGACACCTGGGCAACAGCTTTTAGGTTCACGACGAACAATGGCGGTCATAAATTCGACAATGACAGGTACACAAAGTCAACGAATTTTAAAAATAAATTTCAATTAAAATCCGTCGGAATAAAAAATATATATATATATATATATATGTATATAAATAATTAAACAAAAAATATAAAAATGACAATAATAATAATTTCAAAATCTAACACAGTCACATATGTTTTTTCAAAAATGATTGCATGATTAGTGTTTAATATTTGCTGTACAATAAAGCCATTATCTTCAACGAGTCCAACGTTGTCTTTTTTTTTCGGTTTAATCAACAGCAATAGAGTATACCATGTTATTTTCAATGTTGTCCGACTGATAATAAACTATAAAATGAACAACAATGAATACGTATACTGTTCCATGAAATAACAACGTTGCAATTATTTTGTTATTTATTCTGTAGTGATATCATAAATAAAAACAATAACACAGGTAACGAGTGTGTAAAATATGTGTACCTAAATCCATCTGCCAAATTAGCGGATTCCTCAGCGGATTGATAGTTTAGGAATACTTTTTTTATTAATAAAATAAAAAACTTCAAACTCGGTGGTTCATCATAGACATAATATGTACCATATAAATTATATGGCTATGTGGTTCATACGGGAGCGCGTAAAACAGCTGAAAATAATTCAGCTGAACCGTATTTAAGCAGAAAAATATTTCGGTTGAAAGTATTTTACTAGAAAGTAAAAAAAAAAAAAAACTATTTATACCAATATTATTCACTCATTAAATAAACAGTTCTTATCAGTATCTATTACCTATTTATTCTGCTTGGAATAAACGATACAGTTACCTTACCTCATAGATTGATAATCGATTCTAAGCAGTTGTAACTGCTCACTACAGCTACCACTATTTAGGCATATTTATCAATCAACGCTGCTACTAACTAGGACTTAAGGTTAATAGGTAATATAAACCTATTATCTATAAATCTTGACTGGGACTGGCGAATACTATCAACTTGAGAAAATGAAATATTATCATAGACGAGCCTTTTGTGTACGAAGAACAGTCATAGATAGAGGGCGCTCCTCACGAGTGACTTGTGACTTTTACGTGGTATTATTGTACATTGGTACTACTACACATGCAATAACAACACCGATGTGATTATACTGTACACCACTGTAGTGTGTCTGACCGGTTACTACCTCATCTACTCTAAAGGCAAAGCCATTCTATTAATATAATATATTATATTATATTATTATTTCCACATTAAATCATTAAAACCACGGACTAAGATATACAGGACTGGAAACGATGGTACATTCGTACAATAATACTAATTATAGTGGTAGTATAGGCTATTATTAAAATTATAAAATTTCAATATTAATATACCTATATAAATATCATGTATTATAACAGCGGTTCCCGACCTTTTTAGTTTCGCGGACGACTAATTTTGTGAAAAAAATATTTGAGGCCCACTCATAGCATACCTATATACGTTTTCATAAAATTATAATATATAATTATTATTTACATAGTTATTAGGAATAAAAGATGTAAAAAAAAACTTGATTCAACTTTATCACAAGATAAACACGAGATAAAAGATAAACAATTTAATGTGATTTTTGACATTGCTTGTTCTTCACGAGAAAGTCACTATCTGCGCTATACTTACGAAAATATATTTTAGTTTTCTTTGTTATATTCAAACTTGACCCATCAACAATCTCACGACTAGTAGTTCCACTACTACTAGTTCCTTCGTCATTTACCGCTTCGTCTTACGACAAGACCCAGTTCGAAACCAGGCATTCATATTTACGCGTAGCGTAGTTAATAGTATGTAATACTATGCAGTAACTCACAACAGACACAACGGCGCACAAACACACAACCACTGTCGCGAAATACCTAGTTTACCAATTTACGAAATCGAAAGACGTATTAAGTTTATCGCAACCCGCACGCCTTGCACGATAAAAATGACAAATAACAGGAACCTATTGATTATCAACGAACTATGTAAGATTAAACTGCATTCAAACGTCCGATATCGTATCGTTAATTGTACACTTATTGTACACAATAGTTAAAATTGATTAAACAATATTATTATGATCAGAAATGTAACGAAAAATATATAATAATATTATTTTAAATATATATAATATTTAATATTATACCTGTGGCTCGCGGCCCACGGGTTGGGAACCGCCGTATCATAGTGTTGATCCAAGAATCAAGATCTTAGAACAGTTGACTTACTCACATACGATATATAGCCAGGTATATTATGGGTTGATAGGTAGTTAATGAGACGTATGTATAAGCAAATTTGAATACAACTTACGTCTTATATCTTACAAGCAAAACAGAATAGATAAAGTTAATACATTACGCATTACATGTTATTATGTTATTATTTATTAATTATTATTACATATCTGATGTGGTGGCTAATAACTATAGTATAGCAAACCTGTTAACACCTGATTAACAATAACAGTTGCTATGAATATGAAATATTTTATTCTGAAATTAATACCTCAAAGTTCTAATACCTACGCTGCACATGCATTTGTAAGTGTTACATAAGCATGAATAATAATAAAAATAACAAAAAATTATGTAAATGTTAAAGATTTATATATGTATTACTTAGGTAATGACTAATTTGGCAGATTTTTTTCTTTTTCGAATTGGTTTTATTTTGATTTTTATTTTCAATGTTAGAAAACTGTTTCATCCTTGTTATACAATACCTGATAATGAACATCAGCATATCATTTTTATGTTGATCACATGGAAATGTTAGTAAACTGGTAATATTTTCTATGATATCATCAATTTTATCCTGAAATACACTAGGCATAGTACAATACTTTGAGAAAGAATTGTCTATTGCTGATATGATGTTATGGAAATATTAATTTGGGTGAATCAGCTAAAATTAAATCTGCAGCTATAAAATGATTTTCACAAACACAAAGAGCAATGGAACGTTTTCCATTAGCTTTAGAAACAGCTTGGCTCCAAGTTGTTGAAATAGTAGCTTCTTTTGGTGCTTTGAATAACGTACCTGTATAATTAACATTTTTTTTTAAAAAAATATGACAGTTATCTACACTACATCGCCTAGGCATTTTGGTAATTTATGTTGATTGTGTCAATAAGTCTATTGCTTATGTAATTTGCAATCGTACATATTAAATTTCATTTATTTATAGACTTATAGCATCTGCCAATAGATGGCATAACAGTCGGGGTTGTACCGCCCACACCCTACACTCTGCCGAATGATCTGTGTCCAGTCCTATATATCTTGGTCCGTGATTAAAACGCAGGTATATATTTTTAAATAGCCATCTCTAGTAAGGTTACTATGACATTTATTCCAGATAGGCCGGTACTGTTAAAAACCGTTTATTTTATTAGTGATATCTCAGATATACGGTATATGATCTAAATGATATAAATTATAAATCATAAACCACTTTAGATTCAGAGTGTAGCAAAGAATGTATTGGTTTAGTAAGATGTTTATTTTTATTTTTTTTTTTTGTATACACTATGTACAAATATTTTACCAGAAATCTTGTTCAGATATATACGCGTGGCTCTATTTCTGGAAGGGAATGTTATCCAAATGGTACTTTTAGGAATACATTTTTTGATTTTCCAAGCGGTTTTCATAGTATCTGAGAAAAACCCAGATAACACATAAGACAACGGGGAATTTACGAAAATAATGCTTTTATTATCTTTTAAATTTTCATAGAAACTTGAAGTTTGGACAGAAAACTTATAGTTCCTTTTTCTGGCATTGTAAAATTTTCAAAACATTTGAGTCTTTTTAAAACTTTTTATAAAAATGTAATATTTTTGTTGAAATTCAGTTAAAAATATTCGTATCGATTTTATCGAATTGAAATTTGGACAAAAAAATCATATTATCCTAAATCATACCTTTTCTAGACTCAGTAAAATTTTCAAATATGTAAGCAATTTTTGAGCTATTTATAGACATTTTAATTTAACGAATTTTATTCGTAATTTTCATTCGGTAGGTTCTGTGTGATAAAATTGTTAAATTATTCAAAAATGCATGAAAATTAAAAAGGAGTTTCATTAAGTCTTACGTTGCAGTCGAAAAAAAAAGCAACATTAAAACATTGCTTACGAAAAAAACAATTAATATTAATGATAAACAATAATTGATAATATTTTTCTACTTACTAAATTACCTTTTTCCATTTTTATTTTTTGCGGGGTTGTCTGTTCACGTATTTACCCCCCCCCCTAAAATAACAACACTGTTTATTAATCCTTTTACTTAAATTGCATTAAAAGCTGCAGACAACCACATTATTGATGTATACTGCAGTAGAACGGGGAGAGGGTGTAGGTAGTAACTCCCCAGAGGCCCATAAATTCTATAATATTAATGGGCTTGGCTGTGTAAATGTGTGAATAATTCTCCCCGGGTAAATTCTAAAATGTGCGTTCATATTCCTAAAGTACTGGATCTGGCGGCGAGTCAGTGGCGGCGAAATGACGGCGGCGAGGTGTCTTAGACCCATACCGCCATAGAAATAATACTCTCCTCCAACCCAAATTTAAAAGTGGAATATCTCGTCGAAAAATCGACGAAAATCAAAAATGTCAATACTAAAAATTATTTCAACTAATGCACCATCTATTTATGGACTTTTTAATATAGGTTGCCATATAAGAATCAAAAGTAGGTAGTGGCTTTACATCCAAAAATAAGGGTGATAAAAAATAACATAAATATAAAATTGTAGAGTAGCTTGTTTTTTAAATATTCTAGAAAAAATATTCCAGAAAAAGTTAATGCTTTCCAAGATGATGAGTGTACCCATTTTAATGGATCACCTAGTGCCTACATGCCATATTTTTGTAAAATAATTAAATGGGCTCTATATATTTTCTTTAATAATATTTGTTTAATGTTGTACCAATTTCCCATGTTTTTTCCTAGTTGTTCACATTTGCTGAGAAACTTTAGAAGAAAATCCAAAAACGATTTCTCTAAGGTACCTCCCCAGTGGAATTTCCTTTTAGAAACATTGCTATCATTAAAAGTTGGAGCAAAATATTTGAAGAGATGTACACAAGAAAAAAAATTCGTAATATTTTAGTAATATAATTGGTACATTTTCTCGTTTTTTTCGTCTTTTCCAATTTAATGAGATAACTCTTGAGAAAATCGAAAAATGACCTCTCTAAAGAAGTCATTTCCTTTCAGGAAACGTGCTACACTTAAAAATCTGAGCAATTCTTCTTAATTCAGTTTCAATGATTTCGTTAACAAGTCATGTCAGACGAAAAACTTGTAAGTAAATCCTAAAAAAAATCATTGGAGTCGTTTGAATTTGTTCTTATGATGTGTCTTTGGGAAAATATTTTAAAGTCTACTCAATGTGTATCAAAAATTTTGTAATCTCAAAATATGAACATTCAAAGTGCTTGTAATTTTCTGGAGCAAACTTATCAGTCAATGTTAAACCTTAGAGATAAATTTAATGATATTTTAAATACAGCAAAACTAATTTATTCAAAATGGAATATTGTTACAGATTTTAACAGACATTCGCAAAATATTATTTTGATGAAGTAGATGGAGATAAGACGTTTAAACACAACAAAAGATAATTTTAAAGTCAAAGTTTTTTTTCCAATTATTGATACTGTTTAGTTCCAAATACGTAAACGATTTTTAAAATTACTGAACTCAAATTAATACTACTTATTTATAATTTATGACTAGAGCTCAGAAGGTATAGGAGCCAAAAAATGCAAAATATGTATGCACATATACACGAAAAAATTTCTAAAATATACATGAAAAAATGATCAGTTAATTATTCAAAAACATATAATTTCATTATAAATATGCAAAACTAAGATAAAGATTAAATACGAATTGCACCGTTGTATATTTCTTATTTTTTTTTTAAACTTTCTGTGTTCTATAACTGATATTCCAATTCATTTCCAAGAAATTAAAATTATTATCTACCTACTTAAAACATTTGATCAGTTCAATTTTTTCAATTTTTTCAATCATCACCAATAATTTAAGTTAGTTACCTACTTAATAATTAATTGACATAATATTTACATTTGAACTGGTTTTTCAATTTATATTTTAAACTAAAAAAAAAAACTAACTAACTTTACCAGCTTTGAATTAACCGCTTATTAACTACTAAACAACTAAAAAAAAAACCAACAACGATTCAAATGTTAAAAAAGTTCAAAAAGTTAAACTACTTTATCTAATTATTGGTATAATAGGAAATATAATTACAGTGATCAATTTAATTATTAATTAATTAATTAATTAATTATATTTTATTAACTCATTAATTAAAAAACTTTGATATATTTGTTAAGGCCCATCGAGTATTCTTATAAGAAAAACTGCTGTAAACTTAGATGTATTTAAAGTGTATACTATTAAATATTATATTACAAGTATAAACCGTTTAATAATTTTGTATTTACATTATTATTTTATTTAATATTATATGTTTACATATTATTAAAGTGAAATAAAGTCAAGATTGAATAAAAAAAAATTACTTCAATTATATAGGTTCAATAATATATAATTAATTATTATTATTATATATATTATTATAATAATATATAATTCAATAATATACCTTATTTTTTTTAAACCCCTTTCCACCAGATCAAGATTGAATGTACACTACTAGGGTATATAATACTGTCATATAATAGAATCTAATTTGTGTCTTATAAGGTTGTGTAATTGTGTAAATATTGGATTGTAATATAGAAATAATTTGATGTTTTGTATAATATTAATATGCATTTTAAATATTTTCAGTTATTTATGGATTAACTACTTATTCATTTTAATATTTTTTTGATTAACCGTCCATTTTTCCTTCACAACTCTGTATTTTTGGGTAATACGGTTCTTTATGGTTCTATACATTGTATCATTAGTCGTATTTGATTATTTGTTAATATATAGTCAATTTTGTAATGATTAGCATCCCCCGGTGCTACCCATGTATAGCGTCTTCTTTTCAGTACTTACTTCAAACATTGTATTGGTAAATAGAAAATTGTTCTGCTTATAAAAATTAACTAATCCTTCACCTCAGTTGTTTTTTGTTTCTAATCCATGATTTCTTACTATTTAATTGTCCTGTTCTTTCCCTATTACTGGTTGAAATCACCCATAATAATTACATTATCACTATCTCAAGTTAGGTTAAATAACCTACAACTTTAGAATTTATTTAGAAATTATAGTTAACATTTTTTTTCTTTTATTGATCAGTAATAAGACCATTAAGAAAATGTTTTTGTATAAGACAGAAGGCACGAGATAACAATAACATTTAAATATAAAACAAAATTATAGATTGTGCTTATAATATATTCATCACAAAATTACAAATAAAAATAAATATTATAAATGTTGCACATTTTGTTTTAAATGATAAAATCGGCTTAAAATAAATTAGAATACATTAAGTGAACAGATAATTCCTTTTGTTTTTACTGGAACAAATCTATCTACATATAAATTTAACAAAAATTTACTAATGTAAATTGTTAACTAAAAAGTATAAATGTATTAGGTATACAAAAAAAAACAAAACTATTTAATGATTTAATTTATTATAACAGAGTAATAGTAATAGCAATAACACTAATAGTAATACCTGAAAAATATAAATAGGATTTTCTTAACATTTTCTTTTTCTATAGAATAAATGAGGTACCTCTTCAAACTAGTCATATCTCTTAAAATATTTATTTTGCATAGTTATAATTAGGAATTATATGCAATTGCATGTTTATTTATAACGTGTGCACATCTACATTAGTTCAAAATGTCAACAATTATTTATATCACATCAAATTTAAACGCCAAATTTTATTTTGCATATTTGGGTGATTGTTGCAAAGTAGTTCAAAAATGCATGAAAATTTCAAAAAAAAGTATTTCACTCATTAAAAGTGTTTTTCTAACACATCTTAATAACATAAAAAGTTTCTTTACTACACTAGAATTTAAATGTTTAAAAATGTATTGGACATATACATATCATTTCCTCCCTAAATGGTTCATGAAATAAATGGGAAATGTCTAAAATATCTATAAATATAGTAAAATGTAAAAAGTTCAAACTTAATATTCAAGTTGGCATGGGATCCAACAATAAGGGTTAACTAAGATTATCTGATAAGTCTGATTGATATAAAATTCTTTGCAATTCATTTTTTTTTTGTGTACATACATTTACACACTGAAAATTTTGACTGAAATGGGCAAAACTAAAATTATTTTGAAATTGAAAATTAAGAACTAACCAATTTTAGATCTTTAAAAAAATATTAATGAGCACTATACATGTATAAGGAGCAAGGGTATTTCATGCTCAAATTGAAATTGAAGTTTCTATACGTCAATAATTAATTGTTGTAAAACTAATGTTTTTGTTTAATTCATTTTTTTTTTCATTAAGTAAAACATAATACATACAACAGATATATTTTTTAACTACAATTGCTTTGCTAATTTTATATTTTAAATAAAATTCTGAGATATGTCTTGTTTTACACAAATGAAGTTTAGAAACATATTATGATATTTATTTTATTTTATAGAATGGAACAAACTCATTAGATATGAATATAATAACAATAAAACACTTAATAAAAACTAGGCTTTGTGTAAGAGGGAGAAAGAAAGGTTAGTATTGGCAATGCTCATAAGACGGATGGTAGGAGAGTTGAGTATTTGAGGAAGACAACGAAATATGGAATGGAACAGATGATTGTGTACGGCGGCAGGGGACATTGAAAGAAACATGAGATAGTGATTTAGGGCTGTTGATTTTGGATGAAAGTAGATTCGATAAGAAGGATATATTTATTGAGTGACAGCAAAGAAAATAATTTTTTGGATTGGTGTGTAGTCGTGAGGTGGACAAGATACATTTAATTAATAAGTAGTGTGATGAAGAAATTTTCTTTGGACCCTTTTAATCAGATGATGAGCAAAAATGGTGAACAGGTTCAGAGTACGATACCATACTCAAGAATAGGATGAACTAAGGAACAAAACAGGATGTTTAATGAGGTGAGAAAGTGAAATCTGCTGAAACACAATTTATGAAGCTTAGTAGCTTAAGAACCTTACAACAGATTATCTGAATATGTATATTGGGGCACAGGTTCTGTGTAAGTGTAAATCCTAAGTCCTTCACCGAATTATTAGAAATTTTCAAGGGGGTATTACTGAGCATTTGGGAGGATATTAAGAGCAAGTCGTAAAAGTTCTCCGCATGTCACTAATCATTGAAGGTTGTTTGGAAGATAACAATTGGAAATGGATTTGATACAGAAGATTTTCATATCAGCAAAGATAAGGAGTTTGGCCGGTCGCAGGACGGAAGCGGCTGACAGATAGGGTAAACAGAAGCGGTGAAAGGACAGCACTTTGTGTACCACAAGGTGCTGTCCTTTGTGGTATTCTTGAGGAGGGTGAAAAATAGTCTGAAGAAATGGAGTCAACATTTACTCATTGCATCCTAAGTGTAATATTTGAGTGAATCTATGAAAGTAGAGGTTGACCGATGCCTATAAAGTCAAGTGTTGACATAAGATGATTATGACCAACACGGTCGAAAGCCTTAGAAAAATCAGTGTAGATTGTGTCTACTTAGTAGTTATTGTAAAAAGAATCAAATATGTATTAGTAAAGAACAAAGTTACAGATAACAATAAATCTACCAGGATGGAAGCTGTGTTGCTCATCTACCACAATATGATTCAAAGACGAGCAAATCGAATTAGGAACAAGTGTTTTAAATAACTTGAATAAATGAGGTAGGATTGTTATTGGACAATAGTTTGAGACATTTGTAGAATCGCCAGACTTTCATATTGCCAAGTTTAAAGATAGATGGGAAGATACCAGAGTCAATTGAATACCTGGTAAAACAATAACCATAAGGGTTTTACCAAAACAGATCAAAGTTTATACAAGAATCACCTTGAATACAACTGGACTAACAAAATTTATTTTATGAAATTAATACATTAATTGAAGTATACATTGGTTTTTTTAAGTTCATATTATATTGATTATGTTTTATGTTATATCATTACTATTATCATACGAGTGGATTTTAATACTGTATCACAGTGAAAGCTCTGATTATGGACAGTTAATTAGGAATTTAAAAATTGTGACTCAACAATTGAATTGCTTAACTATTAGGGCGAAATAAAATTACGAATTATTTAAGTATGACATAAAAATATATATGTATTATGTTTAAAATAAATAAAATTTAAATATATATTTAATTAATTAATCAGAAAAAATAAGATAAAATCAATCCAATCAATGTCAAGAAATGTTATTGATTTCTGAAAAATGTAAATTGTAAATGAGAATGGTTAGGAATGAACGAGAATGTACACTTAACGCTAAGTTTAAATCCATTTTAAGAATTCTTATCACTTCACTACATTAACCAAAATGATTTAGGTCTACAAATTAATTTGAATTTCTATATTATGTGTTAGACAAATGTTATATCTTTTACACATATTTTTGTCAGGAGAACGGAAAGTGTCGACTTTTAGAAGATGTTTGTAAACAAAGGTTTTACTAGTCTCAAACTTAAATAGAACAATTTAATATAAATAATTTGAGAATCTTAAATGTAAAATACCTGATAATTTCTAACGAAAACAGACATAAAAATTAAATAATATAAAATAAAAAAATGTCTTGGAATAAATAATCATCTTGACCTAGGAACATTAAGTACATATTTTAGTAGTCAAGTGATTAATAACAATTACCATTGAAATAATTTAATTAATTAATTTCTGTGTAATCTAATTGTAAAACTGTATCTGCTTTAAAAAAATATAGAAGTATATACATTGTGTATAATATATTATATTTATTATAATACCAAGGATTTTGAAATTATTGATTTAGTGCCTTGTCGTGACAGATATTTTTATTAATTGATGTTTCAAGCCATTTATATTTTGTATTTAAAAATAGGTTCCAGGTAGTGATAGGTGAATTTGTATTTTATATACTTTTTTTTTTATGTACTTAATAATAATAATACACCGATTTTTTAACAATGCTCTTACATTTGTATGCGAGTTTTGAATTAAACTAAGTCTAACGAAAAAAAAAAAACAAAACAAAAACAAACTGTATTTTAATACTCTGTGGTATTAATTGGACGGATAAACATTTGATAACATTTTTACTAGCCACTAGCCTAATAAATGGGGATGTTACATTTGAAAACCAAACTGCCTATTAGCTTAGCTAACAGTTAAATCAAATTCAGCAGAATATTATAAATGTTTAACAATAGTCCTAAGGCTGTATATTAAAAAAGTCAGTTTTGTAAATCTCTTAATTATTGGAATCTCCTTGGTCAGTGGTTAAAATTTTCCAATTAAATCTTTTATTGGTAGAATTAGTTAAAGGTGGTACTGGAGGATCTACAAATGCCCAGTCATTAATTCCATCAGTCATTAATGTTACTAAACCACAATAAGGGATATCTTTTACCATTTTTACAAAATTTTGTTTACTACGCGGGGATTTGTGAAGTAGCGGTCTTGATAAAGAGTCCAAGGAACAAGCATGGCCTACCAGCAAAATATCACCACCTATTAAACCAAAAATATACATATTTTTTTTTTAAAAAGGCATTTTTTCAAATGGGCTTTTTGCAGTTACCTTTAGGTTCAGTTGTTTTGACTATATTTTGCATTACTTCATCACACCTAACATAATACTGTTCAACTGTTTCCGTTATGTTTGAAATGAGTAATGGTAATGATACTAGAGCATCATATTTGGAATTAATATTATAACCAGCAGCTATTAACTCCTCATTATTCATCCAATCAGGTAGTCCAGATTGATTATACCAACCAAGCCATTCAAATATACCAGGTTCAATACAAATTGATACTTGTTTATCAATATCAAGACCTATGTAAAAATAAATATTAATACTTTTATAAATATATAAAATAATAATACAAACCAACTAATATATTATGACAAGTTTGAATACAACGTAAGGATGGTGAACAATAAACATGTTTTATTGATTTGGTTAAATGAGCCGCTTTCATGGCCAATCCAGTCAATTTAGCTTGGTGTTCGCCTACACAAGTTAAAGGGGTATCTGTTTGGTAAGAATTTGGAAAATCACGGCGTTGAGGTATAATTAGGGGCATATTTAAATCTTTTCTAATATATTTTCCATCAGAATCAAAACTGTAAGGTATCCAAGTTCCAAAAGTGAAATCTACTCTTTCGCCATGACGACAAATATATATTTTTCGAGGTTTGGGACCTTTCGGAGATTCTGTTAGTGGACTGTAGTCAACTGGAATAAAAGTAGTACCATATTTTTCAACTAATTTTTCTTCTGTCATACTTGTATCATTAAGTTCATTTGTTTCTTGGTAGCTACCATCTAAGGGTAAAGAACTGTAAAAATAATATGAAAATGGTAATATTAAAAATTATTGTAATAGTTAATTTAATATTCAATTTCACCAATGCAAAGTCCATGTATCAGATTCGGCAGTGCGCTCAGTGTAGCATAATGGAAAATAACCATTACACCCTAAAATATTTAAACTTTAGTTTATAACATATAGTTATTATTTTATAAGATATTTTATTTATTACCGGTTAACCAGGAAGTTCCTTCAGCCCAACCATCAACAGAATTTTCTATGGCTTCTTTAGATACGTATATATAATCACCTATTCTTAATTCTAATTCATCAGCAGCTAGAGGTACATGTGCATAAACAACCTTGTAAACCTAAAACAAAAGTACATAATATTATAATATACATTTATTTCCTTATTTAATAATAATATGATTATGATATAAAAATATTAAAGATATGACATTTAAAAAATAAAACAGATACTTATTAATTTTGAGAAACAATTATAGTGTAATAAATTTAAGTTAATAATACAAATAAAGAGAAATAGTTATAATATTAAATTAAACCTGTTTGAAAGCTGATGATGCTTCTCTAGAATACAATTTCAGTTCCCATAAGCAAGGAGTAGATGGATTTATTGTAGATTTGATCAATGACTTTAAAGTTTCTTTTTGGCTCACATCAAATTGGTAAGCCAAAGTTAAATGTAAAGACTTCAAATGAGGATCTATTTGTACTCCAACTAGAGAAACATTTTTGAATCAGAAATTACTTAAATTAAAGTTTTTCTTTTAATGACTTATATAATAAATATAAACAATAAACAAATATTATATTACATAATATTTTGTTTCATACCTACTTTAAAACCCTATATACCTACATCATTCAGTAAAATAATACTTATCCAAGAGACAACAACCTGATTTTTATTTACCAGACACATGAGTGTTAAAAAAATTATTCATTGAAATACAAAATACAAAAAAGGCTATTATTTACCAAGATTGGAGATTCTTTCTGCACATAACACAACTATTTTTTTTAAAAAGTTTGATCCATGATCAGATAAAAAAAATCCCATAAAATTTGATGAAGTGTAAGTTTCCAAATGAAAGTCATTGACTGCCATTTCTTTGATGACTTCATCTAAAACATTTTTCAGTATAGTCACTAATGCATTAGCATATTCATCAGGTACCTATAAAAATAATTTGTAAAATATATTATCTACTTGTTTGATACAGTTTATTATTCAGTATCTATACATTCAACAATTAAACAATAAAGTAAATAATTAATAAGTACCTGAAAAAAGGATATCAAAGTAATATGTGGCAAAAAATTATGAGCTCCATTACGACCACATTTGCTAGCAGATTTATTCCAAAATTCTCTAAGCTCATATAACAATGATCCACTGGGACAAGCATATATGATATAATCTCTGCTAGTGCTAGAATCTAAAGCAGTATCATTGACATGAGCCAAGAGCCAGTCAGCAGCTAATTGAACTCCTCGATTGGCAGTCGCAGCTAATGCTTTTTCCCTATAGATATAAATGTTAATATTTAAATAATGTATATTTATTTGTATTAAATTGTTGAACTTACGCTCGATTTTGAGGGAACCCCATTTGTAAAAGAGTTTGAAGGGGCGTCATTGCATGTTTACTAGTATTTCCAGTTGATGTGGTCTTCGACTTCCGAGGTGGAAGCATAGCCATTAAGAGGTACGTAATTAAAGTAGCCTAGGGAGTTGTAGGCTTATTGTAGAATTTAATATAAAAATCGAGACCCTCTCTAACGGGCAACAACAAACGACATTCGACAATCAGGTAGGTACAAACTAGTCACTACTCAACACTCGACTACTCAAATACTCGACAGTCGACAAATGACAATCGACAGCCATAAAAACGTAGATATACGTCAATGCCCAATACCCGTATTCGGCGTGTTTACTGTACATATATAATAATAATAAACATCAAGGAACATTTATAACAATAATAACAATATACCTAACATATATTACACTTTTTGCGTATTTGAGGTTATTTGATGAAGTCCTATGTTATATCTTAAACCGCGTTCTAAATATTTACATTTGTTATCATTTTCTTATGTTTTTTTTATGTTGATAACAACTACGTGCAGTTTAGCGGTTTGACTTCTTAATTTTTGTAGTAGAAATAGTAATTATAATTTAAATTACAATGGCCCAAGGAATGGTATTTGAAGATATATTCAATGTGAAAGACATAGATCCAAATGGAAAACAATTCGACAGAGGTAATTTTATAATATTCAATAATTAAGTTATTACTGCTATTAGTTTATTTCTTACCTACTAAGTTTCTTGATTTAATTACATTTTTGTTATCATATTAGTACGAACTATTAAATTAATATAATTTCCATAGTTAAATAATTATTAAGTAATGTAAAAATACTAACATAGAAATATATATATTTTTTTACTAATGTAGTTTGTAAGTATTTGGATATATAGATTAAGACGGTAACAATATGTGGTATTGTATAATACCTACTAACTAGCATTTCCTTAAACAGTTTTTAATTGAACCAGATTATGTTTAGATTAAACAAATTTAAATATGGGACATTAAATTAGTGGTCATAAATATTATGGTGAATAACATTTTTGTTTAAATTATTTATATCTTTGATTTTTAAAGGAGCATCATAATGTGTTATATTTGCATTTAATATATATATATTTAAATATATTTATTCAACATAATGTTATACAAATATTTTTTAATGAATACTAACTATGGTAACTTATACTATTAGTTTTAAGTTAACATATACATTTAAAATTACGAATTATATAATTTATACGCAGAAATATATACATTAATAATCATCAGAACTATTTATTAGTTTGATTAATTGTTTTTTCAAAAATTTAAAGCAAACTTCTTGTTTCAGCATTTTATATTATAAGGTTGTGCTATGTTCGTATAGTATCATATTCATATTGTCTTAGCTAATATAACATCTTTCATAGTCCTAACCTTACCATCAACATAATGTTTGTAAGCAGTATTTATGATAATATATTATGACTAGCAAATTTACAAAATTACCTATAAGATCAAAGCTAGATAATAATGTTATAGGAACTTTAAGATATAGAAATTCAAGCATCTATACACAATTGATTATTTTGAAAACAATTTTTTCAATTAAAAGTATATTTTTTAACTATGTTTGGTGTCTTGAGGAAAAAAAAAATGAAACTATATTATGGTTTTCACAGTCTGAATAATCTATTTGATTCTTTTTTCATGTCTACAAATTATTCATAGGTATTTGAAGAAAAAAATAAAATTTTATATGTTGGCTTTAGACTTGGGATGCTGATATTCTGATGAAACATACTTTATAGTGATGACTTAAATAAATATTTTTTTTTTCAGAATTTTGTTCATGCTTAAGAATATTAAGTAGTGTTTCAAGTTGGTTTAAATACTTGATAATTTACACTTTTCATACAACAAACATTAATGTTCTGTTATTGATATACAATGTAATTTGGAGCAAGTAGAAAAATTTAAAAAACTATACAAGAAATAATTTGTATAATATAATTCAATTTTGATAGCTAATCAATAGTTAAAATAAACTTTAAATAAAAAAAAAAAAAAAAGTTCTATAGAAAATAGTTGCACTTTACCTTGTTTTAAAGTAATTCACAGTATAATTTCATAACTGTTCCATGTTGGAATGCGTACGTGAAATGAAAATCAAGGCTATTTTCATGGTACATTTTACCGTCTCTTCTCGGTTTTTCCCAATTATTAAGAAAACTTTTTTATTAATTATTAAGTAGAAATTATTATTTACGAACTATTAAGAAATCAAAAAATAATACCTCGATAATACACTAACTAGTTAAACATTTGCTAACGAATGAATAGGTCATGTTGATATTTAAAATTAACTATTACTTGATCCTATGTTTCTTGGTAACTGAATTTAAAAAATCCAACATTTTACATAACAAATATTTATTAAAAATTGAATGTTCACTGATTACCAGAAAAAAAAAAATTATAATATCAGTGAATTGTCACTATTACACCCGGGTTGCATAGTTCATTAATATTAAAGCAGGCCATGAGCCAGTGCAAGAACAAATGAAACATAGTATAGTCTGTGAATCATAATATATTAGAAAAAAAAAGTGTTTAATTCTTATTATTTGACATAGAGGACAATAAATCAGTTCTTTCTTAATCAAAACTCGGTTTTGGTACAAGTGACCACTATCAGCTTTTAAAAATAAAAGTGTTTATTGCTTTTCAGTTTTTAAAGTATTGGTTTATATTGATTCTTAATGAAAACATGTTCCCTGTTTAAATCCTGCTGTATATTTATTTAGATATAATGTTCGTCAATATTTGTATTTTTATGAATCTTGTGCTACAGTGGTTTAAAATTAATATCGCTTAATTTTTAAAAAGCCAAAATTAATATAAAATTTCAGAAAAATGCTTTTTTTTTTTTTTATAAATACAAATTCTTCATTAAAAAAAACTTGCTAAATTGTGTTGGTATAACATGTAGATATTTTAGTATTTGACATGATAACTATGTATTATTATTAAGGCAGAAAACTTGTTTATTATGCAAAATTAAATTACAAATCTAGTTTTATTTTGGCATAAAATGTAATTGCTTCTTACTCTACTATTTTTTTAATAGTGTAAAACAAATATGCAAATTCTACAAGTCCTTAGCCTTAATTATATACACAGTATTATTTTTTGTAAGATATTATTTTATTTAAAACGTATTTACATAAAAAAAAAAAATTAAACATCATTGTAAAACCTCGTCCCACTCTAAGATACATGCATGTGATATTTATGGAATGCATATTACCTATGTAAAAAATAGTTCTATGTTCTATTTGATATATTGCCAAATTACAAGACTTAAAACTAAAATTTTATTACCATATGGCAGGCCACTGGTTGACCTTCACCATTATCACCAGTGGGGGGACACCCCTATTTCGGAGACACGTAACAATGTGGTCCTAAGGAGCCGAGTTAAACGCGTTCATAACGTTAAGGGCCATAAGCATGCATAGTTCCCGTTGTCATGACGGCCCAAGATTCACCCATTTGGCCAATTTGACCAGGTCGAGGATCTTGTTAGATACTAAAATAACGAACTTGTTGCCTGAAGCTTTATTTAATTCAAATCATAATTATTTTTTTAACAGTATAATACATTGAATAGGTACTGTTTTCACAGATTTTCAGTGGTATAATAAATTGTAAAATAATAATAGTTTCTATAAATAAGCTTAGATTAATAAGATTAATATTATCATTTTTGTTTTAGTTAAGTCATTGTGTATATTATATAAACTAGATTAGACTCCTGGGTTTCCACACGAAAGACTGGGTGAGGACCAGTATTTTTTCTTTACGAGAAATAAACAATAATAATAATAAAATAAATTCTTTGTTTTTTTTTTTTTAACACATATAAGCTGAATTTGATAATAAATACAAATATTTGAAAATGATATAATTTACCTACATTATTTGAATATTGCTACCAACTTGTATCTTAATTTAATGTTTGTGACTATAACTAAAATCTGCAAAATCATAATTTCTATATTAACTATGATAAATATATTCATATTATATATTATAATTAACAACTTATATATTTTCTATTTTTTTTATTATTATTTTTTATAAGAATTACTAATGTTCAATGTTAAAAGTTCAGAGGGTGTGTCCATGGCATTTGTGAATTTCCCTACCCCATTTGAGGCGCATGCTCGGCGTCTTGAAAATCGATAGAGCCCCAGAGCCCGGATTTAAGCACGGTCAAGGTCCTTCGCCACCTCTTCAACGTTTTACTCGAATCGAATGTGCGGGTTGGGTTTCCTTTCAATTGTATTTCTCTAAAAACCACACCTACATACTTTATCATAACCTGCTCATTGAAATTTCTTATATTACTTTTTACATTTTAAACGTAACAAAAGCTTAGTAAATATAATATTACCTATCCTTTTAATATTTACACGATCAAATTAATGCTAACAAAAATATTAAATAGAAAAGGTTTGGTTCATTAAAAATTTGCACGATCATAATAAATATAATAAACTTCGTGTTCGAGATTTATATGATATTCGGAGTATTGATTTTTCGTTTAAAATGTGTAATCCAGTGGTGGTTATATTTTTAGAGAAGGGATGAATTTCGGATAACATACGGTTCCACTCAATATACCTTTTTACCTACGTGATTTCATAAATTTTGTTACACAAACAATTTTTTTTTAAATTTTAAAACGATTTCTCATAAATATTGCTACAAAGTTCTTAGTTATGGTTTTTATAAAAATAAAAAATAATGTTAGTCTAAATGTATAGGTAGGTACTGAATTAAAATAGCTATGTGAATAAATGTAATGTAATTGGCTGTTATGGGTACTACGATGAAAGCTTTCAGGACCATTCGCCTTCTTATAATATATCGTTTTATTATATTATAGTAATTTCATAGTTAATTTTTATTTATGTAGACATCTTCTTGAATTTCAATGACATTTTTTAACGTCACTAGTTCACTATGGTAACGTTATAAATAAGTTTTGTGTGAAATCATGAATCATCGGAATTTAAAATCCATATGGGTTCATTAGATTCGTCCCCTCCCATTATCTTTGTAGGAAATTTATTACTTAAATAAGTACAGAAAATATGCACGTTTTGGTGAAATTAAAAAAATGGTCCGTGGTTTTATTTCAAATTTATAATTACGTTTCTGTTCAAAATGTTAAATCCTTCCCTATTTTATCAGTTAGTGCATAGGTATATATCATATTAAAATATCTATTTAGGTACTAAAATGTGCTATTGTATTTATAATAACAAATTTTATTATTGTCTACTAATATGAAGGGACGAAAATTCTAAGGCGGTAGATCCATCAATCGTCCTCCTTCTAAAAATGTATATTTAGTTACTAGTGACGGATATGGCAGCACGTACTTAAATTATAAAAACTAGATATTTTATTTCTATTCCCGAGTATGGAATCGCCTAAGAGAGTTATAATTCTGATAAATTGTGTTAAAATAATTTTGTTTTGACAACTGAACATTGGACACCATACAATTGCGCATATTATGTGTATTAATAAATTGTAATGGTTTGTTTTAAAATCTCAAGGATTACAAGGAATGTATTGGTTTTACAATGATATATTTTTATTTTTTTTTTATCTGTGAATAATTTTTTTACCAGAAATTTTGCTCTGATTTTCAAGTGTAGCATTTTTTTTGAAACGAAATTTAAATGGGGTGATACTTTAAGTAGGCCATTTTTTAATTTTTCCTTTGGGTTTTCGTAATAAATGGGAAAAATGGGAGAATTTACGAAACGTATTACATATTTTCAAATCGAAAATTTTACGACTTTTCTAAACATGCACTCGTATGTAACCGAACCCCGCTCAATATCATTCTACGTTAGCAATGATTAATTGTTGCGTATAGATGTACATTGAATTTCCTCTTTACCTTCTCAATTTCACACTTAAAACAGTAGCCCATCGTGCGAAGTATGTCCTTTTTTTTTTTTGTAACAATTTTGAGAGGTTAAGTTAGGTTTAGTTAGGTGTAATTTGTTTGTTTTATGTTTTCTACCATAAATATTATTCCAATAAAAAAAACGACAAGAGATCATTGTTGTTACATTTTTAATCTAGTCGGTGAGTAAAAAAATTGTTATTTGATTTTTCGTGTAGTTTTTAGTTGTTTGAATACTTAGGTTATTGAGAGAAACCGAATAAAACATAGAAAGAACGAAACAAATTACGAAAATAATACTTTTATTGTTTTAAATTTTGTTTTTTTTTTCAGTTAAAAATATTCTTAGAGACTTGAAGTTTGGAAAAAAAAGTCATAATTGCTTTTTCTAGACGTAGTAAAATTGTCAAAGCATTTGAGTCATTTTTGAGCTATCAGTATACAATTTAATTTTGTGATTTTTGTACGTAATTTGTATTTGGTTTGTACTCTGTGGATACAATTGTTAGACTTATCAAAAATACTTGAAAATTTAACAGAAATTTAGTTATAAGTCGAACTTAGTGGTAAAAAAAAAAAAGAAGTTTAATGTAGTATTTATTTTTTTGTATAAAAATTTCAATATCAAATTTTGACAAAAATCGTAAATAGATATTACGGCCTTTCAAAATGTGTATGCCAGAATTTTGCTCCGAATCATTTTTCTTTTAAAAGTTTTAGCCTAGTGTATAGTTATAAATTGAATTCCCCTCTATATTCTACCTTTTTAACTTCTCACCTACAATTGTGCACTGTGGTCCATCCGTCATGCGAAATATGTCCCGTATTTTTACATTCAGAAAACAATTTGTTTTTAATTTAGTTTTAATAAATCGATTACCAATATTTTAAATCCGTAAAATGTATCATTTTATTCCTATATTTAAACTAAAGGTAAATAGTTACCTGCCATTAAAATATATAAAACAGAAGTATTTAAAAGCAAATCTAGATGTTGTGTTTTTAATAATATTTGATTAATCACTATAGAATATGAATGTGATACATGAGAATTTGTAGTCTATGATGAAAAAAAAGTAATTTTATAAAATTTAAAAGCCTGCATATAAGGTTAGGTTACTTAATATGTATATTGGATGGTTTTGACAAGTGTCAAATGACAACGTTATGTTCAATATGTACATTTGAATAAATAAACAAATTGTATACCGTATTATTGATTGGAGTTTTTGTAAAAAATTAGGTTATTTCGAAACAAAATATTCGATTATTCTATATTCGTTTTAGCTGTTTAATACCGTAGCTAACAGCTTTGAATATATTTTTCTTATATTATAATTCGGATGAAATAGAAGTATCAGTGCAATTCTAATATTTCGGTATTCTATTGGTAACAGTTTAAAATTTGCGTGTAATTTTAATCATAGTGAAGATAAACATAGGTTACCATCAAAGTATAGAGGTAATTTGTCAAGGTCTTTTTAAAATGCATGTGTCAATGTAATAATAATGGCTTGCTTTTTTGGGGTCAAATCGAATTTTGTTTTTATATTGCTCATTATTATAATAAGTACTAGCTGTTACTGTTGACATCGTCCGCATAGAATTGCTTAATGCCTTCTATAGGGTGTATGAAAGGTAAATAGGTTATTGATGTTGATAAAATGTGAATATAATCTTAACTGTTATAGTAATAGTAACAGATAATTTAACTATTCGTATTAGCTTACTTAAAAATCTTATATGATTTGCCTTCGAAATTATTTATCTACCAAGTTTTATCTAATTATCTTAATACCCATCTAGTGGGTATCATGGTGTATGATGTTTGTAAATTGCTTTGGTAGACGGAAATCTGGGAAAAGTAAACAATAGGATTGAGGAATAAAGAATACCATTTGATTGAAGGAAAAGGATTAAGCATAAGTAGAACTAAAACAGAGTATATTGAGTATGAGTTTGGAGGAATAGAACAAGATAGCTAACGACAATAAGTAGCGTCGTAATAGACAAGGTTGAGAGTTTTAAGTACCTAGGATATTTAGTACAAAATAACGGTGACTTTAAGGAAGAGGTGAAACATAAGGTTAACTGTAGTTGGATAAAGTGGAGAGAAGCATCAAGTGATTTTTGTAACAATTTAATTCAAATGAGATTTAAATATAAGCTCTAGTGTGTTGGGACTTACTATGTTGTATGGTTTGGAGTGTTGAGCGGTAGATAGAAAAGTTTTATAGAAAATAAGTATAGTAAAGACTAAAATACTTAGTTTGATGAGTGGAGTGACGAAAAGAGATAGCTTAAGGAATGAGTACATAAGAGGTAGCTTAAACTTGGCTTCTGTTGTAGACAAAATGAAAAAAAAAAGTTAATATATAAAAATATTTCAATTTGTCAGTTAAAAATTAAAGAATAATGTAATAATACTAAAAAGGAGGGATAGTAAGAGTAGAAGTAACTCAAAAAAGAATATAAATGTCTCTCATTTTGATATTATCTTTTCGTATTATAAAAAGTATTATCGTGTCTTCCCACATTGCCGACTTCCATTTTGTCGAAAAATAAACTGGTTCTATATGGTATTAAAAATTTTCCAATTTCGCCGACACATAAATCGATTATATTACTATTTTGAATTGAAATATTATTGTTACAATGAAATTAATATTACTAAAGAAATTCCAGCACCCTAATTGCGACATGAGCGCAAGTAAATATATAAATTTAGTAATATCGAAAATACAAAAACTGTTGACAATAAAAATAGATAATCAACTATTAAATAGATGTTCAAAATAATTTTTCTGATCATCTTCATAATTTAAGTTTAGTACAGTTTTGCAGTTAAGTATAGTGACAATTTAAGAAAAGCATTGTAATCCTTGCTAAAAGCCAACGAAAACGAATTGTTTTAACATGAACTATAGTGGGATAAAGTCATGCATACGTTTACTTCAAGCAATGTACGTTAAATTTTCTCGTTTTGGAAATTAAAACGGGCCGTATAAAATAGACCCGCGGGCCAGATGAGTCTCGCGGACTGCCGGTTGCCGACCACTGATATAGATTATGTATAGTTATTTTTCCATACTTATTTTGATAATTTTTTCTTTGTGGTTGAATTACAAAAATCAATGAAATAAATGACAGATTATTTATTTATTAGATTTCATGTTTCGATAATTATTTATTTTGACTCAAATAATTAAGAATATCGGATTTATAAATAGTTTTTATTTGAAAAAAACGTTTTTATTGTCTTTAAGTTTTTTTGTAAAATTTAATGGAAATTTGGCACATCTTAAGTCTACAATTTGTTTATAATTCTAGTCGATTGCTGAATTGATACACGTCACTGTAAACGAATTTAAACATTTTCTATTTTAAAATATATGTGAATAACAGAATAAATATACTCGTTACAGGCTCGCTCTAAAACGTGTAAAATACTATAAAAACTATAATATAATTTCTTTCTCATAATTTCATTCTGCTTGAAGACTACCGAAAATGTAAAACTACATTATAATAAGATGTTCATATATTAGTAAAATCAATAGTCATTCAATATAATCTGTGAACATTTTATAGTTTATTGAATTTTGATAACGTTAAGAAAATAATCATTAAATTTATGTATCTTGTTATTACTGTATGGCAGATTTTGATGAAATTTCATTTTGTATTTTGAGGTTGGCGAAAAATGTATTGATATTACTATGATGTTTATTTTTTATGTAAACACTTTTTCTACCAGAAAGCATGCTCCGATTATCAAGTATAGCACCTTTTCTGAAAGAAAATATTCTCTGGGTGGTACTTTAGAAAGTTTTTTTTTTTAAATTCTCATTAATATTCGAGGTAATGAGAAAAATCTCGGTCTTTTAGTTAAAAAAGATTAAAAGATTAAAAATGAGGTTGTCATTGGCAACCGTTTTTAATTATATTTTATTATTTTTAAGTTTTTATTATTTTATCCTTTTTTAAACAATTATTGTTTATGAAAACTAATACTCATATTAATACTATATTTTTAACTCATACCTACATTTCTTATATTTTCCCGTTTTTTTTTTTGGTTTTTCAAATTTGATGAGAATACTCCCGAGAAAATCGAAAAATGACCTCTTTAAAGTACTACCCTAGTGAAATTTATTTTTATAACCATTGCTGTTATTAGAAGTTGGAGTAAAATGGTTGAAAAGATGTGCACAGGAAAAAAAACCGTAATATTTTAGTAATATATTTCGTACATTTCCCGTTTTTTTTAATTTTTTTAATTTTAAAAGATAACTTAAGAAAATTGAATAATGACCTCCCTACATAGATTTTCTTTCAAATAAGTTGCTACACTTAGAAATCCGAGCTAGTCTTCTGGTAGAAAAATTGTTCACAGACTTCACATCTATGTAAAAATATAAGCTTCTTTCCCTCCACTCAGATTCTAAAAATACATTTGTCATGTCATTTTTTTTACTTTTTAAACTATTTTTTTAGTTTGGATTTTTACAGCATTAAGATCTTGGCCCTAGTCATTACAATATCGAATAATGTATATTTATTTAAAGTATACTTTAATTTAGATTTTAATTTTAATTTCCTTATAATTTCATTTATATTGCATGCATTTATATAATTACTTATAAAACCTTGACAACTAGTCATCAATTAATACAACGTGAACACGCGTTCATTATACGATAGCAAACAAAATTAAAATATTTACTTAAAAAAATTGAAATATAAATTAAAATAATAGATATTTTGAAGTTCGCCATGTTAAAAAAGTTTTACTTATTTTGGTTTGTATAAAATTTGTTCTCCTTATTTATTTTATATAGTCAATTTATAGTGTAATTTAAATATAATTTATTTTTGATTTTTTGAAAAGCCAGAAATGTTTTTGTACATGTATTATATTCTATACGATTATGTATACATTTGTTTGGGTTAAGTAGATTTTTTTTAATTTTTATAGAATCTTTTTTTTTTTCCTTTGATTAATTTTTTTTATTCTTTACGTCATAATTTAATGTATATCTATCATATACGCAATGATTAATCATTGTTAACGAAAAACGATTCTGAACTGAGTTCGGTTATAGTGTTGCTTTGGCAACAATATTTATATCATATGGTAAAATAATTACATATACATTATATATTTTTTTTAGTAATATTTATTTAATATTGTACCTATTATTCTGCTTTACTTATTTATTATAAAAATCCCTGGGAAAATCAAACACTAACCTCCTTAAAGGAACTACTCCATTCAGATTTCCTTTCAGAAAAAGTACTATGATTGAAAATCGTAGCAAAATTTCTAGTAGAAAAGTTGTCCGAAGAAAAATAATAATAAACATCATTGTAAAACCAATACATTTCTCGCTTCGATCAGAATCTTTAACTTGTTTTTCCGTGACTACCTAACAATAACTATTTATTTTAATATTTCATTCTGGCGTCAAGGTGACAAACATATCAAAAAGCAAATTCAATTTTCATACTAAAATTTGTAGGGGTAAATTTAGTAAATTCGGTTTTAAGATGAACACGGATTCGTGTACTCGTTTCTGTTTATACATTTGCAGATTTTTTACATACAATAGACATGTCTATTTATTAATATCGATAATTTTAAAAACATATTAATATAAAATTATAATTGTGGTGTATCGTGAATGAACGTAAATTATGAAGTATGTTCAATAAGTTTAGAAAATCATTATTCGTACCAAATTTGTTTAGGAGCACGTATAAATTGTTTATACTGTATAACTTTTATAAATAATATTTAATTATATTGTCATTTTTTAGACTGTTCAGAATAGTATTTTGAATTTAATGGTTAATATTATTTTCATTATATCTTCCGATCAATATTAGACAATATCTACTAGCTCTGAAATGAGCAAGTATGACCTAATATAGGATATAGTGTTATCAGTCCCCTGAATATATTATTACTATACAATCTCAGTGAAAAACCCTGTATATATATATTAATAACTTTACAGTCTAAAGTTTAGATTTAGATACAGAAAAAGTGATGAAGTGAGTTTGTAATATTCAGAATCGGGACGCGTGGTTGGTGTTTAAATGTTTAATGTAGGTTTTAACTCGTTATTATATTTATTATACTCGGATAAAACCATCCGTTTAATCTTCTCTACTGTTATAATATTATATTTTATTATTTAACGTGTCGCATATTTATGTTATTTTAATTAAATATGTATGAATACTGATTTACATTGCATAATAATACTATTATAATGTTTTTATACTTTATTTTTCAGTAGGTTACTAATCTTTGTTTATATTGAACGTATGACTGAGATACAACAAAAACAGTTTGAAAATTTGTATTTAAAAAATCAGTCGCTAATTTTTGTATCTATATGAATATGAATGGGTGGGCAGTAAACCATGAATGTATGATAATTTTGCATACGCTGTGAAATTAAAAAAAAAAAAAAAAAAATTTTACATTATAAATATAAAAAAATAAAATATGCCTGCTCAATGTTCAGTTAAATACATATTTTTATTATTTTTTTTTTTTGATTTTTTTTATCGAAAAAAGGATTTATCTATTATGTATATAGTTTTGAATGAACCATTTCGGGCAATAAATTAATTACACAATTAATAGTATTTTAACTATATGAATAATAATAATAATATTTTTTCAACCTAATTTATTTAGCGTACTACACTTAGCTAAATATTCTCGTACTTCATAAGGTATTCTTTTTTTGATAACCTCAATCCACCAAATTCTACACTATTTTTAAATAATATTATTTTTTAAGTTTAAACAATAACTCCAGTGCAAGACATTATTCCATTTTGCTATCTTATTGACAAATTATGTGGTATTCTTGTATTAGTTTTATTCTCAAATTCGGTTCAAAGAGATATTTAACGGGTATTTTTTTAAAAATGTGACACTATTATAGATAACTATTTATTCAATTACTCATCTACTGAGTTTCTTTAGATTCTGAGCATAACGAGAGTCGAGGGGTGTATTAGTTTTACATTATATATGTCTGAATGTGTCTGAACAACTTTTCTACACGAAATCTTTGCTCCAATCATCAATTTCATGGGTGATTTTTGGTATCAAAATTGGCCTAGTTGGTGCATTAGGGATGTCATTTTTGTATGGAAACAATATCGAAAAAACGGAAAAATGTACACAATAACAGTTTTTTTATTTTAGAATTTTTAATTTTTTTATTACATTTTCAAAACATTCTGAAGGTTTTTTATTTATTTGTAGTTATTTGAAATTTTTAAGTTTTATTTGATTTTATATGGATTAAAATGTTCGGATTTTCAATTTTGATCGAAAATTAGATATTTGAAAGGTTCATTGTAGGTTTTTCTTATGACAAGCGTTTTAAGTTCATATTTTAATGAAAAATCACTGCATTTATGTTTTATGTCAATACAACTTTTTGATTTCATAAAAATGATCAATAATTTGAGACGAATAAACACAGGCAGTATTTATTTTGTATTGTTACAATTTTTAATTGAAGTTTATTAAAACGTTTTTTCGGTAACAATTATTTTTATTTGTGTACTAATAACTGTAAATATTAATATAAATAAAATAATATAATTAGTAATAATTACTATATATTTTCTATCGTATTAAATTCTCTCCTGCAATAGTGGCAAGCATGGTGCGAAATATGTTGGTTTTTTCATTTTGAACGTGTTTTCTCCAAAAGAGTTTCAATCGAAAAAAACATTTATTGTAATGTTATTATAGCGTTAGAATCTAAAATAATATAATGATGTATTTTTTAAATTCCCCTAGATAATTTGTATAAATTATAAGCATTATGGTTTAAATACGAAATAATTTCTATCTAAATAAGCTTCTGATCTGCTATAATAAATAATATGTATGTGAAAGTATATTTCTACATTAGTATTTGAAATTAATTTGTGTCGTTATACTATATTATTACCTACGAAAATGTTCAAAATTATTAACTGGGATATTTAACTGTCAACAATTTTTGTGTAAAACTATCTGCATTTAGACGGTGAACCGGACAAGTGAAAGCTATAATGCGGGATCTTCGCGATAGCGCAACGACTAAATCAAATATCTAACACGAACTATGTTAGATGAATTAAAAAAAAAAAAAAGTGGGAATGCGGGTACTGACTCAAAGTAATCATTAACGGATTACTTCTTTCTCTTATTGAACTTACGTCTATCTTTATATACGTTTCTATTATATTATTATGAATGTGGTGAACTGTTGCAAAACTGCTGTACATATATATAATTATATAACATACCGAACCCTTACTCTGGATTATATTGCATAATTCCTAATTTCATATTATACCTATGAACTCCGCGTTGCCCAAATATAGGGTTTCGAAAATAACTGCTAACAATACAATAAATACATGACACAATAGTCAAAGCAATCGCTTAATATACACAGACAGACTAGGATTTAGCAATAGTTGGTCAAAAATAACTGTTAGAGCTCGTAGAAAAAAACTATAAATGTATACTATATAACCGTTAGAATAAAAAATCACTAACATTAGTCATAGTTTATATAATGACAAAAATACTAGTATATTAACCAGTATTTTTTGTTTATACAAATTATAACTAGGAAGAAATATTGACGTTTGCAAAATATTTTTAGTCAAATATTTAGCCATATTCTAGTAATCGAGTATTTTTTTTTTACTAAACAGTACAGTTCATTTTTATACATTAAATTCTAATTTTTAACTTGTTGCAATTTTAATAAAATATAGACTTGCATTGTTTGAACAATGCAAAATTACGGTCAGAAAAAATTTTTAGATCATATGTATGTAGTCTTTCTAGGTATAGTTACGTTTATAATTATGTATTAGCTCTAATCAAGCCAATAACCCTGAGGAGTATTCGTGATGTACACCTGACAATGAAACGTAATGATAAAAAAAAAAAAAAATATATTTAGAAAAAACTATCTATGGACTATGAGTTATTATATTAGATGATCGTAGACATCCTTGAATAATGCTGGCGCATTGTGTTACGCCTTTCATCTTTTTAGAAGTACAATTTTAAGATCAATGCACTTAGTTGATTGCTTCCACTATATGTAGTCTATGAACATATTCACATTTATAGGATGCGTTTAAAATAATATTGTCAATATCGTGTAATAAAATAGTATCTAACACATAAATGTCATTCAAATAATATTTTGATAAAATGTGGTCATCTGAAAACAACTAAATATTATTAAGTAGTGAATATTAGCTCAAGTCGATATCATATATCTGCTGATATTTAGGATACCTAAAATCGAGTTTTTTGAAAATCGATGTTTAATCTGATATTTTTTTGGGGGGGAAATGTCTATAATATCGCTGGAATAAAAAACAGCGTTTTCAAAAAAAAATCGGATTTTCAACTTATATATCGGTTAAAATCAATATCAACTCGGAATATTAAATTCAAATATCGGATTGAGTATTTATAGTAAATATCGGATATCAGAGAAAAAATTAATATCGGTTCACCACTAACCTTGGTCCAGGCCCATCTTGTGGGCATCGTCCATTTGCACCAAAATAAAAAAGGTACATTTTTCCGACTGCCATTTTTGCCAAATTTTCCTTAAAACATTTGGGCGGCATTTATTACGGATTTAACAAGAATCACCAATAATTATGAATCCTTTCATGCCCACTTTAACGAACAATTTTATAAATCACGCCCTGATATTTTTACATTTTTAGAAATTTTAATAAAATTTATTCAAACAGATTTTTAGATTAAAATCAATAACAATATAAACAATATCCTCAGCCATTCTAAGAATTTGCAGACTAAAATTCGACTTAACAAAACTATAAAAGCAATTTAAAACTATGCAAACAAAAAATTAACGCGATATGAATATATAAAAATAGTGGCATTTAATTAAAATTACGATTAGGTTATGTAGGTTAGTTAATATTAGTTTAGTATTAGTAGTTTGTACTCATAATAATTTTTTCAAAATTACATTTAAAAAAAATGTAATACAAATGGAACTTCTTGAATATTATTATTTATTTGAAAAAAATTTGTAAATTTATTGACAATAACTGTAAAAATTAATTTATAATATTACAATTTGTATAATACGTATTTATTGAATTGCCAATAATAATAATACAAATTGACAAATTAACTATCATGTAAACGTTGTTTCAATAAAAATTTATATTTATTTAGTACTTATTATTAAAGAAAAAAAAAGTAACATTAAATTACTTATAAATAAATCGAATAAAAGTAACTCGTATATTATACGCAGGTAAATTTGGCGTAAACGGGCAGTCGGAAAAAGTACCTTTTTGTTTTGGCGCAAATGGGTAATTCCTCATCTCGCTGACATCCGATAAACCCGTTACATCGACGCGTAAACCGGTATCTGGTAATAATGGGAAAAGTTTCAATTCACAAAAACATTATAGTCTCGCAAAATACAAATACAAAAATGATTTTTATGTAGAGTATTACGAACATTTTTACTTTGGTCAAAGAGCTAAAAATCCAGCCATAACAAACTTCGAACTTAAACTTTTAAACTCATCTCATAAAAGAAACTATAATCGTCTACAAATCGTAAATATAACTTGCAAAAATAAAATTATATACTTTTTATGTCACTGAATTTAAATTTCGCAACAGTTTTTAAATAAATCCCTAAATAAGAAGCTTATTTTGGGATTTAAACAAGCTCGTGTGTTTGTTTTTATACAAATAAGACCTTTTGTCTTCAACATACAAGGTCTGGCTATTAAATAACGAGACTGTTTATGAAACATGGTTTTATTTTAAAAATTATTCCACAACCGAATATTCCCCTTCAATATACTCTCTTCTCCTCTTCACACACCATTTCATTCGTTTCTTCCATTGCTCGAGGTAGTGCTGGAAGTCTGTTTTCGTAAGACCATTCAGGAGTTCCGCCGATTTTTGTTTCACCTCTTCCATCGACTCAAACCGGATTCCTTTTAAGGCAGACTTTATCTTCGGAAACAAATAAAAGTCGCAGGATGCCAAGTCGGGTGAGTAAGACGCGTGTTCGAGTACTGGAGTGCCTTAAGCGGCCAAATAACGCTTCACAGACAGAAATCCTCACTATAGGCCTCTTTTAACAACTTATAGCACTCAGTTGGAGTTTTTTTTAGTTTAACGAGAAAATTTTACGTTTATCCGTTGCTCATGTTTTTCGTCACACATCGTTTTCGGCAAGAGAAAAAAACATGTTCGTTTCTAAACACTACAGAAAAAATACTAATGCACCAACAAAAACCCAATTCTGTACTGGTATAATAGACACTTCCAGTTAACCAGCGCTGTATTCGGTTTTCCCCTAACCTTTTTAGGACGCTCTCTACGATCGCAGTCTCGTTATTTAATAGCCAAACCTCGTATCCCTCTACTTACGAAATAATAGTGTTACTATTAAGTGCCTATATGACTATGTAATACGCCATTTTTTTTATGAAAATAGTTACGATTTTAAGTATAATTTATAAAAAAAAAAACATTAGGTACTCTGTTAAATTGTATAAAACATTTTATCTTCATATATTTTATACGTGATAAATGATTTAGAATTCTTGTTTTGTTACCAAGAAGAGTATATAAATACCTTACAAAATGAAATCAGTTAATCGAATATAATAGAGTTGTTCCTCAATATAAAATAATACTCTGACTATTTGACTAAATACAAAATGTGTCTAATAGTTATTTAGGCACACTATGAGAATTCTATCACGGGAATTATCCTCATTACATTTTCGATTCATAAATATTTGTTGGCATAATTATCCATCATATTTCTAAAATTAATAGTACTATTAATTTTGTATTTTACAATGTTTATATATATTTAATAAATAATAAATAAAAATAAATAACATAAATATAAATTTATGAATTATAATTTGCTACACTCGTCACCCGTTTCTTACACGACCTTCAACGAATTATAATTTCACCCAACTGAAACCATACGTCACAGATCGTTTAACGATTAATTCATGTCTATTACTTTTACACACAAAATATAATGTAATAGTACCTAATAAATTTCTAATAACACTAAAATATTTTGTTTTTGCAAGTGTTGTAGATTTAAAAATGAAATCAGCATCATCATCTTTTTTGTGTTAAATTCAGTAGTTATATAGTAACCGTATTTATGTTTGAATATTATATTTGTGTCATCATTAATTCCAAATTATTTTTTTATAATTTTTGTAAATTACAATTCTAAAATACGATGTCATCATTTAAACAATATTATCAATTAAATGTACTGTATAAATATATATTTATTTCTATAGTACATATAATAAATATATTACTGTAAATTAGATACGGGACAAAAAAACGTATCTTTTTTTTCTGCCTGTTAACAACTTTTAAACCAGAAATCAGTATTTGTAGAGGTATTCTCTGGTAGAAAATTTTGTTTAGTTAATATATTGCATTTGGGAGAACGCAATTTTGATTTTCCTTATAGTTTTTCCAATGATTGGGAAAAAGAGGAAATTTACGCAATAACAATTTCTGTTATTTTTGATTTTTTTTTTTTTTTAGTGTAATTTAACAATTTAACAATATAATATATTATATTGTATTACATTCAACTATTTAAATATGATTATATGCGGTTCATGCTTGAGTAATAGGTATGTGCGTTTGAATGCGTACGATTCGATTATGATCACTAACGCCACGGGGTCGTATATTATACAAATATATACTAATATTATTATTGTTGACTTTTATTTCTGTTGGTTGTATCAATCTATTTTAAGCCATATAAAGCGGCAACTCTTAAGATGATGTCACACTTGCATATTATGCTGTCTCCGTCTTCCATTCGCACGGCATAAGAAATTAGCGTTCAGCAAAATCAATTTTTTGTCTGCTTAAAAAATTGAAAATCAAAAATAATCAGCATAAACCCAGATGATTTCCTTTCCATTAAGTCTGATAATAATAGGTCAATCCACTCTAATATTGAAATTGGCAGCACAAAATTGGTTCTTGTTGAGACAAAAAAATGCGTATGTATTTGAGTGGCGTCTTCATTACACCGATCCATCAATTATTGTGTTTAAACAGAATATGTCATTCACGATTATTACATGATATTAAGTTCACTTGACAGGCTTTAAAAAAACGAATTATTTTTAGATTCTGAACGGACAAGGAATTTATTGGTTTTACTATGGTACTGCTTATTTTTAAAATGTATTTTTCAAGCAACTTTCATACTAAATGGGAAAACATGAAAAAAAACTTATACAGAGACCGAAAAATATAAAACATTTTTATTATTACAATGCATAGGAAAATTGTAAATTTCAATTCGTCGTTAGTGTCTCCGGATACCGGTGATTCTTTTCCCTCGGGAGAGGGGGATCATTGTTTGATAACACCTGTAAAATTCTTGTCGTCTCTGTAACCTGTAACAGTACAAATTACACTACTGCACAGTATACACATACGTATGATACATACCTACTCATAATTTTTATAATTTTTCTAAGATACCTATACATTTTCATAGTTTCATATTATTGTTTTTACTAAATCTACGCCGGATCTCGAAAGTGAGGGGGGGGGGGGGGTTATGACCACTTACTGACTTTGTTTTTACGTTTTCATTGAGGTTTCCGCAGATCTTGTCTTTGTGATGAATAAAATATTATGTAGTACTAATAAAATGATAATGGAAGGAAAAAATATTGTCGAGTTGTTGTATCTTATAATATTATAGCATATAGGTTTTGATTCTCTTGCACCGATGATGACAGCGTGATATACACAATACTCATATAAGTGTAATAGGTGGAAATCCGGGGGGAAAAGCTTGAGGGGACTTATTCTCCTGGAATTTCAATAGCCTCTTGACATTTAAACTTAAAAAACATAATTCGTTAGTATAGTTATTTTATATAAATATCCAAATAAATAAAAATAAAAATATTTTTTTCTATTCGTTTGAACGTAACGCATTAAAACGATTTAGTGTGCCTATCGCAGTACAGTAAATTTTTACAGCACAATATATATAAAAAATAAAACATAATTAAGGTTAGATTTTACATATAAAGATAACTATTATCTATGTTTAATGTTTATTATAGTTATGACTTACGGGGGTTGCAGAGGTGAAGCCCCTGCTGTTTACTACTACTCTGATTATTGCCAAAACCCCCCGCTCGAAAAAAAAAAAAATTCAACTAAATGTCCGATTATGGGTATACCGATATTATGTGATGTATATACACGTGCAAATATAATCATTTCGGATGATATAGAGAATTCGTTACGCTGTCATGTGCGGCGGCGGCCGCGGTGTGACGAAATGAGGCCCGGATTAGGTTGTTGGGCACGGTTTTTTAGTATATTACCGACGTTTGTCCTTGGCACATCTGTGCGTTGTGTGCGGTGTGTATCGCACAACAACAATGGGGCACCCGTGGGCCCCCTTCGTACAACATTTTCGGCAATACGCTCTGACCACATCGCCAAGGACGTGCATGTGCCAAAACAATATTATCACTAATAATAATCAAGCGCGCGGATCGTTAAAGAGCTGTTGTGTATATATATATAATATGTATGTATAGTATATTATTATGGTATGGTACTCGACGAGTTTCATTAAATAGCAATCCGCTGCTGTAACCTTATAATAAAATACTACAATACTTGTAATGATATGACGCGTATTTTCACGTACCTACGTGTAGACCCACGGCCGGAGGGGGGAGGGTGGGTCGCTTTATTCGCCCGAGCCCGTGCATACGGACGTTTTATCGTGCTTGTACATTTTTTAATTTTCACGATGTGAAAATGGATCGTCCGGCTTTTTTTATTTTCTTTTTGTGTCTAAAAACTAATTTTCTACCATACATCTCGCTTCAATCAACAACTTCATATAGAAACTTTCTTGTAGCATCGTTGACATATTTGTTGCACTGTGGGGGTAATTTTTGATAGTTTTTAGATAATTTTTGATAGTAGGTAGTTTTCTTAAAATCAGTTTTTATTGCCACGTTTTTGTAAAGTTTGTTAAAGTTGTGTCCATATAAATTAGAAAATTTTATTGAAAATGTTGTGATTTGAACTTTAAAAGATTATAAAAAAAAAAAAATGTGTCACGGATTTTCGATATCTTTGCACTATCAAAGAAAACACTTATGATGAACTTTTTTAAATAACTTTATTGAAGCCAATGAAATCGATTTAAAATATTAGGTCTACGGTTATTTTTATCTGAACTCCAAAATAAAACTAAAAATTGCATACATTGACCCATTTTTCTTGCGTTTTTTTTTTTAATTATTAAGGAATCAATATAAAACAATACTATGTAACGCAAATAATCATATTAATACGTTTTCTCTTACAATAGAACTTACTACAATTTTATAATAAAAAATAAAAAGTTAAATGGACATAACTAATTATGATTTTAGACCCAGTATCTATCTTAAAATAGTATAGAATGCATATTTGATTGAGCATATAAATCTAAATCTATTAGTGTTAATGCCAAGTCGAAGAAAAACTTATTTTTAGCCATTATGATTTCAGCATATTACTGTATAATAATATTATATTTGAGTTGGTCGTTTTTTTTCTGGGTGTGTGATGATATATTCAAGAGCTTACGCTTCGTTATCATAGTATACCGCGATCTCAATTGATAGACAATATTTTTGTAAATTATTGTAAATTTTTTTGTTATTATATATATTTTTACCGTGTGGTATAAGTACTTTACGGTGCAGGGAATTTAATTGCACTGCAATAATCGCTTTCACGTGTAACCGATTAATGTCATTATATTTTTCGTTGTACGCAAAAAAAAACCTGCGTTTTAAAACTTTTCTCAAGGCCGAAATTATTATAAAGTCCCTTGGATTTATTGCGTGTACAAAGTACATGCGCGCGCATATACTGCAACCTGTCATGGCTACAATTTAAAAAAAAATTATTCGAGTACCTACATATATTCAGAAATGCAAATATAAAAAGTATAATGCTATAGAAATCGATAAACGAGTAAACGTATAAATTATACAAATTTTTTTATTTTATATATATTTATATATAAATAAATATTTAATTAGTAATTAGATTTTTACGAATAGTGTTCTTTTCACTATTCTACTACCCGATACCCATTTAAGGTAGAGGGCTACAGTCGTTTATATGTTATTTATGTATTTTATTCTTCTAGTTAATTTTAGTTCTTACAGTAGTTCGATTTTTTAAAAAAAAGCTGGTACTACTTATGAGTGCGCTATTGTTATAGGTGGAAAGATATAGGAATATAGGATACATAAAGTTATTATTATATCTGTTAGCAATGATAAAAAATTGCTAACCAACTATATGAGGATGTTTGGTGTTAGGTCTTTTTGACCAAAATTGCGTGATGTTTGTAGTGGTCTTTATAAAGTTGTATACATAATAAATAAAATAATAATTCATAATTTTAGTGGAATTTTATTTAAATTAACCCTATACCGCCATCCAGAGTAAAAACATTTTTTTTTTAGTTAATATTATTGTATTTTATACCTATTATTCGAAATGAAGCACGTGCGTAATAATGTCATTTCTGCCTATCAGCCTTTTTTTTTTACATCTAGGTCAATGGTAGTCATTGGTTTTATCAAATTAAAAGCTAGTTTACTTTTGCAAGATTCCTGAAGTTTAATGTGTGGTAAAAAAATTATAATTTGTGGTTTTGACTTTTGATGTATGGATTTTTAAAATTTTTTTTTTGTACTTCCATATGAAGAAATCCTGCTTACGAGCTTACAGTGAAAATGTTTTATATCAGTTTGAAATGCTTTAAATAATGCTTTAAACCATAAAATATACGAAAGATGGCAGTCTATGTGTACGGAGTAGTTGGTCAAATAATGTTTGTTTTGAAATCAAATGTATGTAGGTAATCCAAATACGCGATGTAATCGTATTATAAGTGACTGTTTCTGAAATTACTGTGTTCTAAATAATTCTCGGTATCTTTATACTATATTATGATATTTTAAAATTCGAATTTTTAATTATTTTGTTACAATAAAACGATAGTTGATATAATTTCAATACCTATTATATATTTTAATATATTTTTATAAGCGTATATCAGTGGTTTCCAACCTTTGGTCCTCGGACCACTGGTGGTAAAGCGATAGTGGTTGTCAGAACTTATTACTTCGTTTATTTATACATGTATCGTGCATTATGTCATCTTTATAATTATCGCCCGTAAAATACAAACAAATTACAAAGTTAGGTACAACAAAAAAATCGAGGTGGCGATTTATCGAAATTTTCTGAAAGTGGCTGGTCGTGTATAAAAAGTTAGGAACCACTGTCGCTAATCGTATCGAATTTATTTGAATAATAATAACACGTCACTTCTATGTGAATCGATGCGTACGGTTTATTATAATATAGAGTAGGGCGAATTTCGGTTTTTTTGAAATTGAGTCAAGTATTATTTTTTTTAGTCGAGTCGAGTATACGAATTTACTAACAGTAAGCAATATAAATACATCAATTTTCCTGTTTTCCAAAACATAATTGATTAACATAATTGTATTCATTATTTAAAGGAATAAAAAAACAAATCGCATGAACTGATAAGATGGAAAATAAACTTAGTTGTATATGTAGCCTATAGATATACCTATCGCCTATTATATTACATTGCTCGCTAAAATGTATATGGTTATTTAGTTACATATTATTGTGATTTAATGTAATACAGTATATTTAATTAGGTAACGGTTTTCATTTTTTTTGTATGTTTCTAAAATAATTCGGTAATATTAACATAAAATCATTACGGTATCGACCGTTTAAGAATGAATTTTCAAAAACATGATAGGGAATACTGTGAGAGTAATATTTGAAACGGCTCAACCCATCGTCTTAATACGATGATATTATATGATTCAACGATTGGTTAACTACGGATCTACCAAAACAATACAAAAACGAAGGTATGAGAACTCATTAATCATTTTTCGAAATAACGTTGTACACACTTGTAAATTGTGTGAAATTGTATTTATAACGTTTTGAAACGTATCATTATACGTTCTCGTGATGTGAACTGAAACATTGAACTGCAAATATTCAATTATTTAAATTATACACTTTGGCATATATAATATAATATTGGCGTGTCTCGTTACTCACTGTTTATGAATATTATACAATTTTAATAAATATTGAATTTAGACAGAAAAAAAAATATTTCGGTAAACACGATTGAGCGTAGTATATTGCAAGCGACGTTGCCACATTTAAACCGAAATTTTGTAATTTTAGTCCGAGGTACTACTATTCTTAGGTACTACGTTCAATATATCTCATGCAGGTAAACTTAACGGTTATCGACAGTGTTGTCGGTTTTAATAGACTGGTTTTGCAATAAAAGTTCCGTTAAAATTATTACCATGTTAGTTTTATTCGTGATGGTCGTTATAAACATGACGAACTTTTCAAAATATTATTCGGAAGTTTATAAATGGTCATTATTATTATTTATTTATAAACTTTTTTTTTTTGAAATTGAAAGTCTAGCTATCCAAATATTGACCCTTGAAAAAGGTTAAGAGTTAGTTCTAGTAAATTCATATATTTAGTATAAGTATACATCTATTATTAAATGATGTTAAAAAAAAAAGCTAATATTATTCCAAGATTGAGATGTCCTAATAATAAATGTTCTATTATAGCAGTTTCTAAACGAAATAAATGTAGTGTTGGACAAGGGTGGCTCCAGAGATTTGTTTTAGGAGGGGAAGGTTAAGTCATAATTTTCAGAAAACTTTATAACAAAAATAAACCAACAATTTTTACACAAATTTAAACCGTATCTATTTTTAGTATTGGCAAAAATATTAATAATATGATATCATGCCCCGAATTACACGCTTGTACATGTCTGTAATAATCGATATGGTGTAATATTTTTTTTTTTCTTTTTTGTAATTTTTTGTTTAATAATTAAGAAATGAAATTATATGCACTTAATTAGAATGGGGACTTTAAAATCACTCTACCACTTTTATTTTTGACGAATTAAGCGCTTTTTTAAGGATTTTAAGTGCATGTAAATCCGCTCCCTATTAATAATATACTATTTTTTAGAAATTCCTGCTTAGGGTCCGTGCCATATAGGGCTCGGGTGTTGAATATTATATACTTATATATGCTCAATCGCAGTTTCTATCAAAATTAATATGTTAACGCTACTACTCAGTATGTAAATATTCTTTTGTATTTGTCTTTAATACACTGACACATTAACTTAATCATGTCGTGAAAAGGTATGTCATACTCAATCGTTGTAATAGTCCAATATTTTGCATGTCAGTTGGCCATTTTTCGAGTAAACCGCCTAAAATAGACGAGTAAAATAAAGTAATTATATTATTTTGTTTTATATCATACCTATATACTTGGAAATAGTTTTTCTAGTATTCATTTACCATCTTGTATTTTACGACCTTTTAACGCTATTAAATAATTAGGATACAGCCAACAAAACCTTTATTATTATTATTATTATTATTATTATTATTATTGTTATTATTATTATTATTGTTATTATTATTCCAACAGACATTTCAATAAAATACAAATTCAATAACTATTCGAATTTCTATTATCTGTTGTTACAGCAAATTTGAATTATACAATATTATCTATAATAAATTTTATAATACAGGGTGATTTAAGAAATAAGTAGCTCAAAAATTTTACCCAACCTCTTTTTTGTCACTCTTATTTTAGGGTAATAGTAAGAAGTAGTTTCACTTCTTACTTTTGATTTGAAAATGGTACCCTATACTACGAATTCCATAACAATATAATATATTATTATGGAATATGTTGTATTATAAATATTATTTATATATTATTATTATACCATATTATGACGTACCTATTAGTTTAAATTAATTTTTGTATTGAAATTGTTTAATTTCCGACAATCCGTTGACTAGGTATTATAATTTTAAAATTCGGCAGGGAGAATTTAGTGGTGTCTCATTTGTATTGCTTGAGGCATTTTAATAGTGGTCCTACTAAAAACTTAAAAGTGGAAAATCTCGTTAACAGGTTGACGGAAAAGAAATTTTAACATCATAAGGTATTTAAACTAATACTATATCTATTTATAGAAATTATAATATAGGTTGCCATTTGAAAATCAAATTTAGGTAGTGGTAACCCTTTAAAATAAGGGTGACCAAAAATAACCGTAATGCAATATTTTAGAGCTACTTATTTCTTAAATGATTTTAAAGACAAATTTCGAAAATAGTTAATACTTTCCGAGACAACGAGTGTCTAACGTTGATTACCCTTTAAAATTAACTTGTAAACTAATGTATATTAATTATAGTTGTACAAATAGGTAGCTTACTTAAATTAATATTTTTAAAAAAAAAACGGCATAATTCGTACGATGGTTGGACCACTGTTGTAGGTGATAAGTTGGAAAGGTAGGATTTAGAGGGTAATTTAATTTATATCGGTACGCAACGAAAAACCATTACTAACTATAAACGATTCATTATATAAATACGTACATTTTACCTTTATTTCTACGTTTTTTCTCGTTTTTCCTGATTATTATGAAAACCGCTTAAAAAATCAAAAAATGATCTTCTCAATGCCCTAACTAAAATAAATTTTCTTTCAGAAAAGGTACTACGATTTATATGAACAACAAATGCTCGTTGGATGGGGATTTCTGGTAAAAAAGTTGTTCACAGATAAACAAAGAAAAACATTATTATATTTTAAAACCAATGTATTCCTTGCTACGCTTTGAATCTAAAAAACTTATATTCATGGTAGGCGAGTGGTATGCCACTATTGTAGATAGGAAAATTTAGGGAGGTAGGGCATATAAAGTAATTTAATTTATCTGTAGATAACGATAAATCATTGTTAAAAAAAAAAAAACGTGTCTCCCCATGGAAACAAATTGATATAAAAAAAACATATCTCTTGTGTGAGCCCCACTTTAGGGGTTACATTATTTTCCATACATATATACCACTCTCTAAACGCCCCTGGAACTAAAAAGAGCAAACTATGAAATTTTCAGCGAATCGATTGAGTATTTTTTGATCTAATAGATATATTATAAATCGCGTCTCGGGTAAGTGTTTTTTTATGTTGTCGATAGCGGTTAGCCGTATAATACGTCGAATACGAACAAACCGTTTTGGTGACGTGTTTTTATATTAAGAGGGGGCTATAATACGAGCTTTTCATTTTTTCCGACATCGAAACTGAACAGTTTTTCTATAGATATATAATATACATAGTCATAAACACACGCGCACACATACGCTCACACACACATCACACGACCGACAAACAATCAATTCCGTCGCCCCACTACAAAAAAATAAAAACCGACCAACGGGTTATGTGTACTGTACACGAAGTGAGAGCGAGAGAGGCGAAGAGAGGGTATTGAGGTTTTTTTGGCAATCTAGGACGGACCTTGGAACCTTGGGAATATGAACGGCGCAGTCGTACTCGTTTTGTCAGTGCGCGCTGATCGACAGCTGATTTTCTCTTTTTTACCGTATACGCACATACGGAAAATATCGACGTTTTATGATTATTTTTACCGGTATTTCATTTTAAACTTGGTAAATATGTATTTCAAAATAATCAACTACCATCAGACGACCCCGTACAATTCGACGATGGAAACGAACGTTCACACAAGGTCTATATTTTATTTAACGTATTGTTATTTTTACTTATTGGTAGGTATACACTGTTCCTTTTTAAATGTGTATTTCGTTAATTTGTCGAGTTTACAGTATACTATATATTGCATTAAAAACAAAAATGATTTCACCACATACCAATACATTTCGTTAAGAATACCGTATGTTGCCATAGCTTGGCGCATTTCTATTTCAAATTTGATTTCCAACAATATCGCAATATTAAAGATTATACTACTGTTTTTTAATTCGAATAAATTGGTTTAAAATTTAAATCACTATAGTTTTTATTAGTATAGACTTCAGACAAAAAACGAAGTATATACTAATATATGATAGAAAGTTAAAAGTAGACTTTCTCGGCTCGACATGACGTATTCACTGTATACTATAATATACAAAACCGTTAAAGACCTTGTGGTCACATTTTGATTATTGTTCTATATATACATATAAGTAGTATGTACCTGTATAATATTTTTATTTTCTAACAAACGCGAATTTATATCCTAATTATATGTTCACGGTAATATTTTGTACGATTTAATGAGCCAATGTGACCTTCTCATTTTCCGCAACCTTACATTTTCAAACATTTCAACAATAGTATTAAGTACTTTAGCTTCTCTTTTTTCGAATATTATATATATATATAGGTATAGTCCATTTCCAAAATGAAAAACGTATGATTAATGAGTGTCAAAAGTTTGAAAACTTATGAATAGACGACCTTCGCGACGACGTGTCGAAATGCATTTTTTATGTCATTAAATATAAAATGTGATGACTCAATTCGTTTAGTTGTACGTCTAACTTTGATTGTTATATAATAAGGTAAATACTATGACATTATGTAAATGATGCCGTTTTCTCAATTTTATCAGCAAAAAAACAAAATTGTTGTTTAGGTATACCTACTTAAAACTATTATTGATTTATTGACCTATGTTATGTCTTTGTTATCATATATACCTACAATTTGAAATCATATTTGTGTTTATATATTTCTGATTTCATTTAATATTGTGTCGCTAAACAATAAATAACATTACGTGTTTGTTGATTAACGTTTTAAATTCAATATATTTTCTCGATTTTATTTGAATTATTTGTTCAGCGATTATTTAATTTAGGTAATTATATATATATACATATATATATATATATTTTCCAAATTATTTTGGTATTTAAATAGTCGGTAAAATAATAGAAGTAAATTAATACATTGAATTAATTTTATGCAACAAATTTTGTATACCAAATTTAACTTAATTTATTATTATTGCCCCAGGTGTATTCAATTATGTACATAATATATTAGGATCCTTTATAAGTTCTTCATTGTTATTTATTAAGTCTGTTTTATACTGTTTTCCGCTGAAATTTAGAAGATAATAATATATATGCACGTCTATTAGTTTATTACCTACTATATAATATGTAATGTGATTAATCGGATAGTGTGTATGTATAATAACTAAAATATTTAGTTAACTTATAAATTACGTTCATGTTATCAAATCAACCAATTATTTTACATAATTGTGTACAATTGGAAAAACTAATATGGTAAATGACATACAATTTAACACTTTAACCAGTTATTATACATATTAATTGTATTAACAATAGTAAACTATTATGGTTTGTTAAAATGATAAATTGTAGGCTAATATGAAAAATGTATCACTTTCACTTAAGTGGCTGGTTATTATGTATTATCACCAGTTAGTATAACGAATTTCAGGAAATCATAAAATAGGTATCATACTAACAAAATTGATCAAATTAACAGTAACATATATATATAAAAATTAAATTCTATTGTTTACAACTTGTATAATACATATTTTGTCTCTAATATATGCTAATTAAAATATCGGTGTATAATACACGCTGAGTTTGTTAATATATTTGATTAATAGGTACGTATGGATTTAGAACCGTGTTATAATAGTAAGTTATAAAAAATTTGTATTAGCCTTAATGCTATGTAATTGTTTAACGTATATGAACAATATATTAACATACCGTCCTTGTTATTATGGAAAATTAAATGTTGAATTATTTAAACCAAATTTATATTATAAATACATTATACTAATATCTAACAAATGTAATATTATTGTGACTATTAACCCTCGTATAATATCAACTATTAAGATATATCATATAAGTGAAATATATGAAATATGTTTCTATAATTATAATTGAACTCAAAAAAAGTTAAATACCTAAGTTTTTTAAACGGTACCTATATTATATTATCTTTATTATTTTTGAAATTACCGACAGTTTTAAATTACTATACCAATTTAAGTCAGGAAGCAATAACAATCAAATACGGGATGATCACATAACCTAAGACATTAATTTTCTCGAAAACTATAAACTGTTTTTGAAATTTGTTTTTTAGAAAATTCAAGTTATTTCTTAGCTTTGAAATTTTATATTGCCGCTATTTGTTGTCACTCTTATTTTTCATACCCTTGTTTTTTTTATAAATAATGCTCCATTACCTTCCCCTAACTCACAAAACGACAAAATTAAGATTACATTAACACGTTAAAAATACCATTTCCAAAATCTATTTAAACTACAAAGTCATACATTTTTGAAATTGTTAATATAGTTCAGTACTTAGCAATGAAAAGTAGTTTTCATCAAAGTTATACCAAAAGAATTACGATAAAGTAATATTTTAGAACTTTTTTTCCCTTAAATTTCCTAAAAAACAAATTCTGAAAAAAATTAGTACATTCCGAGCTTCTGAATGTCTTATGTTGATCACCCTGTATGATAAATATTTTTTAGCTGTTTTATTTCCTAACATATGGAATTTATTAGATATTTTTATAAGTCTGGTCCAAACTAAAATTTTGACATTTTGGTTAAATCTGTAATTTTATGTAATCAACGTGTTTAAATTTAATAAAAGAATATTTTTAAAACGTAGTTTTTCTTTGATAAAATATTATCTAACAAACACAACTGTATCATTATAACATATTAATTAGGTATTTGATTATGATTAGTTATTATAGGATCAAAATTCAATAATATACGTATGCAAATGCAAGTATGCATTTTTATTGTATACTTACAATAAATCATAAATATGTAATTTTTAAGAAAATTGTTAAATAATATGCAACAAAAAATACCACACATAAACTGATTTTTAGCTCACTTAGCTATAAATTGAAAACTATAATTACATTTATGCAACTTCTATAATACTTCCCATCCATAATATAATGACTAATCACTTATGAGTATGTATACTGATATAAAATAATGTAATATTTAAATTTAATTTTTATTTTCAATTAGTATTATACTTATGGTGTAATATTATAGTTATACACGTCTAAACGCAGTGAAACAATAATTAATTATTCTAAAATTATATAAAAAAGAAAATGTATTATTTACAATGTAACTTCTACGGAATATACAAAGCATTTAGAATTGTGAGTTGATGCTATCGATCTTTTCCATGCCGTTCATTTTAAATGTCAAACATCGTTTGAGTCCCCTACCTCCTCTTTATATATACCACCCTCAAGTCCCGTGCTGTTTACGTCATAACCCCTCTACCCCGAACTCCATGTATCTCGTTTCCCTTTCTAAACCGTTGAAAAACGTCCATCCCTTTGTGTACGTGTGAAGAGGAACAGGGACAGGGATTGCGAAATATTGCGCCATCCACTGACTCACCTACATACAATTTCCTATCATAGTGTTATCTGATGAAATGCATATGTATAAACTATATTGTCATCGACATTACAATTTTTGATAAAGTATCTACGGTTCAACATATTTTATTATTATTTATATTTTAAAGAATTTATTTTTGATTAAATAATTATATTTTTAATATCATTGTTCAATTTTCAATTTCGTTTTTAATTTATTTTTTCAAGTCTATTAACAAATTTTTTTTATCGGAAATATTACTCCATTTATAAAATGACAAAAGAACTTTTTTACAGAATTTTTGGATTTAGTAAGTGCATTGGGAGGTTATTTTATTTTTCTTATAGTTTTTTTATAACTGGGAAAAAACAGAAGATAAACGGGAAAGTTAACGGGTTTTTATTTTCGATTTTGTTTTTAAAATTAGTCATAGAAACAAGAAATTTTCGTAGAACACTCAAATTAGCCTTTTTTTTAGATGCGGTAAAATGTTTGAGCTCTTTTTAGGTATTTAACATTTTCGGTTTTGTTTTTTTTTTTGTAGTATTTATTTTTTTTATGTATATAAAATTGTTTAGCTGAACAGAAATACTTAAAAATTTAACACTAGGTCCATTATAATTTGCACATAGAGTTAATCAAAATTTAAGTGCAATGCACCTAGTATAGTTTATAAGTGTTTTCAAGTTTAAATTTTGACGAAAATAGTAAAAAATTACATCAATTTAAAACTTGTTTAACCAAACTTCACTTAAAATTGTATTTTTTTCAGTCATAATTTGTCGTTGTGTACATATATAAATTAAATAACTATATGGATATATATATATATATATATATTACTCTCTCAACTTTGCACCTACAATAAACTGGTATCGTAGGTACTGAAAATAAATTTCAAGAGGTGGGAGAGGTCTACAATCAGTTTAATAGTCGTCTTATACACGCATATATTTTTTAATACGTTTAAACGTACACCACTATTGGACACCTTTCCTCCATTTGTGGCTTTTAATATCTATATAATTCAAGTAACAGTTTTTTTTTTAAATCCGAAGGTTGCGGCCGCCCCTTCCCTCGAATTTTTGACTGGTTTTAAGTCGCATTATATTTATTATAAATCAATGATTTTCAACAAAAAAATATTTCTATTTTGTTCTCAGAAACTTACCCCTTTTTGCTTATCAGATATTTTCTGATTAAATTTTTCTAATATTATAATGTAACAAAATAAACACACATACACACACATGTAATTATAAATGTTTATGAGTGTGTGTGTGAACTATATTTAATGTTTATTCTGGGCAAGCGTGAGGCGCTATGACGGGGAATGGGTGGGATATATTACCCCGATGTTTTCTATGAAGGGTTCGTTGGGCGGCGTTGGCGGTCTGACGTCAATGAATTTTAGCGCCGCCCACAATATTGTTAGCTAAGGCTCGTGTACCTGCTATTCGGATCGAAGTCTCATTCAGCAAGGCCACAAGTGTCAATGGGCATCGGGACAGTCTTATTCTCGATAAAAACTTTTTTTACACCCATTTTCCGCTCATTTTTTTTAAATATACGTTTATATGTATATTTTTTTTATTTAAAAAATAACCATTACCACCTGCAATATAAGTATATTGCGCATTCATAAAATGGACGGAGTCGCTGATGGAAATGTCATCATCAGGTAATATAATTAATAATTATTAGGTACCTATATCATTGAGTATTATTTTTACTTATAAAAATTGTTCGAAAACTGCGAATAACATCCGGAATTTGTATTTTTGTTACAGTATATTTTTAATTTAACAATAGCAATCGATATTATAATATATTATATTATATTTTCTATCATTTTTTTCTCTAAACTTATATCGACACGTCATATTTTATACCAGCTCTATGAGTATAAAAGATAGTATTATTATATTGAAATTTGTCGATTGAAAGTACGAATATTGTTATTTTCTTTTATACCGCAATAATAAAAAAATAATAATTAATATTCGGCCTTAGAGTATTGAACAATCGTATAATTCTCGGTACCTATAATACCTAATCTGAATTAGAATTCGCCCACAGCGAATCGTATACTTGGATCAATTTCTTTTTATACTTATATATATACAAAATTACTATACCTATGTGTTTAATACCGCGGAATATACTGCAGGGCTGCGCGTTTATTAAAAAAGTCTTCTGTTTTTATAATAATAAAAAAATAAAACATACACTCGTACAGTGTATATAATTCAACATCTGTTATACATTATTCTTGTCATTAAAATAATACAGCTCATATATTTTAAATTTATCACCCAACTCTTATTAAGAGCTATGAGAGATAATATTATACTTATTATCCCTGTATCTAGTGTATAATTTAAGGTACTAACCGACAATTAAGATAAGGTATTAGGTATTTTTACATTCAATAATATTATTATTGTAAAATATAATTTATTTTTCTTTTGGAAATTTGTCATAAAAATAAGATTTGTACCACAATTGTAGGTGTGTAAGACACCAAAAAATTATTTTATGTTTATCTATACACATCAAGTGACCATTGCTAAATGAAAAACAATTCTGAGTGAAGTTCGGTTAAAATTTTTTTTTTGAAATGTCATGATACGATATTCGTCATAATTTGAATCTAAAACACCTACAAAAAAATGCTGCATTACGTTTAACTTTGTTCCTACCACCAAGTAAACTTTGTGACGAACCTTTTCAAACATTTTTTCTTGACCAAAAATATTCTGCTCAATTGTAAAAGCTGAATAAAAAACTAAAAAAACTAGAACATTTCAAATGCCTGTTTTATCGTGTCTAAAATAGTCTAATATAAATATTCTGTGAAAATAAGATTATTTTTAACAATAAAATTAATCAAAAAAATAGCGGAAACTGTTATTGAATACATTTTCTAACTGGTTTTTTACAATTAACTTAAACGAAAGTCAAAATATGACCTAAAAACAATGCCTCTTTAACTTGATAAAATATATACTTTCAGAAAAGTTGCACTTGCAAATCGGACCAATAATTTCTAGTAGGAACAATGTTAACTGATACAAAATAACGCATCATATAGTTAAAACAGTAACAATTTACACGTTCCTCGTTGGGGAGAACTAACAGAGAAATATGAACGTATATAGTGTTTACACATAGAATAAATTGTATGTGTGCAACAAAAAAAAAATAAGCCGTGATTACAGTATAATAATATTATATTGTATATAGCAATATCTATATCTTACATTTTATGACATTCCCACCGTTTAATAATAATTTCGTGTATGTTTCATAATAACTTGAATGTTTCTAATCGCTCTGTATAATATTATCACGTATATATTATTATTATGTGGCATGCCGAAGCAGTTGATGCGATTCGTTGTAACTTTTTGTTTGTTCATCGAATAAAATAAATCGTACATTATAATAATAATAAAACATTTTTTATTAATTTTCATTCAAGTATGTACTATATATATATATATATTCAAGTATACATATAATAATTTATACATAAAGTGTTGAAGCATTACGATCAACAAGGCTATTAGAGGCTCAGTGCTGGTTATCTACTGCAGTGAAAACTTTTGAGTCGTTAAAAAACTACGTTAAACAAAAATAAATAATAATAATAATTTACGTTTGAAATACTTATGTACATTTACAATATAATAGTTACGACGATACCCGACGTATGGAAAACAAATTATTTTCAGTCGTCGATAACTGTACAAATATTATAATAACATTAAATATAGTTATATCCGGGAATACTGATTGTACGTGCGTGTTATTTTAGTGAAACTATTATTTACCCATCATTGTAGTCGTGGCTATAATAATAAACGTATACGATGAGTAGTATTTTCCGCGATGGAAAGTGCAATTTCTTTAATTTAATATTTATTATTTGCTATAATATTATAGCCACTCGACTATAATAATTATAATAATAATATACAGTCATCGCTCGATGTCAGAATACTTATTTATGTGTATACTTAATATATTTCACGTTTATTTTCATATAGGTCTGTTCACGTTATAATTTTAGTTGGGATTGCAATGCACTTTGCATTGTTTTCCGAAGCTCGCTGTGCGACACTCGTTTCATGTTTGAATAAGAATTTAGAAATTTTATTTTTCATTTTACGCTAATGTTTTATTTTTAAGTAATTTTCTTCGTTTTATTAAGAACAAAATGGTTTGTGGCTTTTTTGTGGATTTCGGGTCTTACATTTGAATTTGAAATTTAATTTTTAAGATTTTCACACACTAGCGAGAATAAAAATTTAAATGATTACTCGAATATTGAAATATCGATCAATAGTGTAATGATAAATTTGAAATAAATAACAAACTCGTTTCGTGTATTTTTAATCGTGAGTAAGACATTTTTTTTTAATTTTTTTTTTTTTTTTTTTTGAAGAGCCTTTTTAGGGTCTTATGGAGGATTTTCACATTCCCAGTGTTAATTATCATGTATCGTTTGGTCCGTGATTAGTTTACCTCGGCCGAACATCGTTTAACGGAAATCGGCTTGTTCGAGGCCACAAATAATATTCTGTTTTCTAATATCATACGCGTGTTTAAGAAGTACGACGGTAGATTCAACGAACCGTATCATTTGGTTATTATTATTATTTATAATATACAAGCTGAACGCTACACCGCACAAAAATAAACATCTCAATATTGTCATCAAAATAATTAATACATGCAGCGTGCACGGGTCGTATGCGTGAGCCGAACCTCATATTATAATGTATGACTATTTCTAAAATTATTTAAATTTGAGAGGATGTCACACCAGTAGCGTAACTATAGAACACCTAATGCCCGTGGCAAAATGTTCTGAATTAAGTTGGATCTCAATTTACACGGACTGAAGCAGAAGAAAAAAGGTCTGGTTTTTTCGGCTGTTTGTCCACTCAAAATAATGCCTTGATCCTTGATTTGTGGCCCCTAAATGCCACGGGCCCATGATCCGTCATACTACCCTATCGGTACGCCAACGCATCACTCAGTAACATTGGCCGTCTCTGTTTTTCTTTAACGGGCAATATATTTTACATTATAGCGACAATGTGTTTTCCGGCCTCGTTGTATAATAAAGTTAAGGCGAGCGAAAGCGATCCGTTTTTTTTTTATACATTCCGACAAATATATAAGACAATCGTGTTACGTCTGAAAATTAGATATTCTTTTCAATAAGTCTGTATTATTCAGAAACGCCACTGAAGTACCGTAGCCGAACTCTGAAAACGCATTTTTTACCAATATTTTACGGAAAGACGGCCAATGCCACTGTGACGTTTTCTCACAGTTAACATATTGATTGACATACAAATGTCAATCGGCCCTGTTACACTCTGCATTATGTATGGGTATAGCACTCGGAGTGCACTTCGCGTCGTGGTATTGAATAACCCGCCGAAAAACGCAATAGGGGTGGGACGACGGGGGAGAGGGAATGAAAAGTGTCAAAGTACATATTGTCCGTCGCTATATGCCCGTACCTGCACGTGAACGCGTAAAAATTCGCGAACATACCAATGTACAATATAGCGTAACACGTATGACCGTAGCAATGATATTGATGATGATCGCGCGTGTTGCGCGACCGTGTCGCCGACGGAAACGTCACGATGCACAACGGCGCGAATATAATAATTGTTCGACGACGACGGTGTTGTCGGCCATTTTGCTTTCGGCGAATTTCCCGACCGACGGACTGAAACGGTGCCCGCGCTCCTGTGCGGGGCGGCACATGCCCGTCGCACCTGTGTGTGCACAACGCGGCGGCGTTCACAATTGCGCCGCGGGTCGCCGTCTCCCATTCCGATTCTGTTGCGCGAGCCTCCGGGCGCGCGCGGCAAAAGCCCGAAAAGCGCGCGGTCGGTAATAATGTCGTCCCGTCGCATACGGCCGTGCATAGTTGTTTACCGACAGCCGTCACACATTGTACGCGGGCGTATTTTATTATTATTTTTTTTTTACTACATACAAATACGCCGTCGATCCGAATATTGTCATAATGTCGTTATCGTCGTGGTTTTCGACGCGCCGACGACTGTTTCGTAATTTTTTTTCCTCCTCTACAATTGTTTTCGACGACGTCGCGCGATACATTATTATAACAACGTACGTGTACCGCGCGATACGATTACGGTATTATTATTATTATTATTATTATTATTACTATGGTGGTCGCGGCGGGCACATCACGCGTTCCCGGCGAGCGATTTCGTCGCCGCCGCCGTTTAATAACCGTCCGTCATTTGATTACTGCGCAATATTGTTGCGACAACACTGTGGTGATTATACGAGACGACGGCCGCGCGGCGTTCCGTTCGCGAATCGCGCGCGTCGTATTTTACGGTTCCGCGTGCGCCGTACGGCGGGGCGTGGGTTTCGCGACGCGGCGCGTTTATCCTATTGTGTTTTTCCGCGAACGATTTCAACCCGGACTTTCCGGTTTTAGCGCTTTCGCCGGGAGGAAATTGGCCCGGGGGCCGGGCGGGCGAAGGGCCGTTTTTCGATTTTCCCCCGGGGGTTTTCGTGTGATGAACGGGAAAATTCACAAAGTTCGTTGTTTTCGTCGATCGCACAAACGCGAGCCACGAATAGTTCTGCTTTGTTGATCTCGAAGATCGGTGGTTCGAGTCGATTTTCGGCATTTTATAATAATTCGGTCCGGTGTAATTTTGTAATTTTAATTTTAATTAAAATGTAATTTCCCCCCCTTTATTCGATCGAAACCGCGTGGATCATCAAACTCTTCGAAATCGATCCGAGCCGTTCTTTTTTTCGGGCCCGAAAATATACGTATAGTAACACAATATGTTGCGTGCATATTCATTGTTATTGTACGGTTAATTATTTTCTTCGGTAATTTAAAAAGCGTCGAATGTATTTTAATATTAACGGATCGGAAGATCCGACAAAAAAAAAAAAAAAAAGTAGCCAATTTTAAAACGATAATTCCTTTTCCGACCTCGGCCGTATATATGTAGACGTATAATATTCTATTGAATTCAGCCTTTGGTACAATAGGTCTGAAACCTATAGTATTGGCCCTGTGTATTTTTATAGACTCTACGTTTATGGTTACGGCCTCGAAACAGGACGTGCCGTATAGTTTTCGGATTCGCTTAGCTCGGGGTCCGACGGCAATAGTAATAAATAATGTACGTGAAAATCGGAAAATTTCGCCGGTGCCAAAAAAAACTACAACTCGTGCGCAACGCGAACATACGAACGTGTAACATAGTTAACAATCGGAATTTGTTTGTTGTAATATCACTATGCCGGCCGCGTTGTTTATGCGACGTTGATGTTGTTTATCTCGTTACGTATTGTGTTTTAAACAGAAAATAAATAAATACATTTACGCGCGTGTATGTACTTCAATATACTCTCGTGTATAACATGAATTCACGACGAAACGCGCGTCACAGCCGTTCAGTAAAAACATCGTTGACCGAGTCGGCCCCGCGCCCGGCGTTCGCCGTGCCACAATAATATAATAATATGTAAATTGTAAAGGACGTCCATTTGTACGACACCTATAACGTTCGGTACGGTGTGTACAGAGGGCGACCGTGTATTTAAATAACCTTCCGAGACGAGATACGCGGAGATTCAGAGTGCCGCGGTGTTGTACTGTGAACTCGACGGTTTGTTTTTTTTTTTTCTTTCTTTCTTTCCACGTCGCCGGACTGACGGAATATCGTTTAATGACATTTTGTCGCGCGCGTAACCTCGATCGTGTTGTTTAATATCGGCCGTAAACGATTTTGAAACTGTCGTGATTGTCGATACTGTCGCGATAATAAACCGCGTATAATAAACCTAGCTACGCGGCGATATAATAGTGTTCAGCAAGCGACGGTATATACATACACACACACATATATATATATTTATTTAGAAGCAATCTGTTTTCCCGACACACGCGTACAACAATACTTTTTATTGGATTTGATTTTTTTTTTTTTCGTAAAGTTTCGTGGTATAAGCTACACAATTTCCGCACACACGCCCTCCCAACCTCGTCATAAAATTTACAATGTTCGGTAATGCGTGACCCTTCGCGTATTGCGACGGCTAACCGAGGCGTCGGCGCACACCCGTGTAAAGCGAGAAAACGCGCTTACCGATAATGTAGTGAGGCCGGCGGCAAACCGGCTTGGCTCCGTAATAAAATACGTGGGCTTTACACGGATGCCCGAAAAGTAAAATAAACGACAACCACAACGAAAACGCCAACCGATTCGTGATGGCCGAGTCGGTGCGGGTGTGTAATACGCATAGAGTACGGTGTAATTTTCGTTCACTGCCCGTATAAAACGGCTGACACCGAATTCGTTCCCGAGCTCTTGTATAGTCATATCCCGCATGCCGAATCAGTCCCCGTTTAAAAAAAAAACGTATTTTATAAAGGCCTAGCCGAATCGGTTCCCGTTTATTACCCACATTGTTGTACGATAAATACAATACTTGGAAAACTGTATGACGGAATACGTTAAATGTGGGACGCCTAAACGATTAAAATGTTTGAAAAAAGTTTACTTCAAATTATCACCTCAACAACATTAATTTATTGTTATTATTATTTTATATAAACGATAACTTTTTGGCTTTAAGTTCAACGTCTAAGACAATTTTAGATTTTTATTTTTATTTTCAATTATTATTGTTATTTAAGAGGTGGCCGATAATTACTTCATTTTACGTACACTTTTAACCGTGCCTACTTTACTTCTATGTTGATAGTCCTAACCAATTAAACCAGTATAGTGGATAACATCGCAATTTACAAACCAATTCGGCTACGCCCTACAAAACACCCATCGTCGTATAGTTATTCGAAAATGATAAGAACCGTTTTCGGTATCGCGACCCGGTCGCATTATGTTAACGTAATAAAAGCTTACCCGACGTGGTTTCGCGTAACAAATCGGGGTTCTTTTTCGATCAATTTCCCCCCGTTGTCTCGTTTCTTCGCTTGGTCCGGGGTCCCGGACGAAGTAGTTTGACATTTAATTATAATGTATTAACGTTAAAACGTATTACAAATTTAATTATGAGTATAGAAATTTCGTTCTCGGGGCCCTAGTTCGTCATTATCGACATGGAATAGCCCCACCCGTCCCAATACACCGCCGTCGCCACGTTGCTTCGGTGCAGTGTTTTCCACGCCCGGTGTGCGCCCGAGAGAGGTTTTTCGAGCGCCGGACACCGTTGTTTGGCGGTATATTATTCGGTGTATAACACAGTGGCGTTACGCATATTATACCTACGTCATAACGTTCCGAGGACGGTAAATCGATTCGCGCGGCGCCGAACGGTGTACCGGAGGGGGCGTGGGGCGGGCGGGCGAAGAGATTCGAAAATATGTCATCGGTAAAGCGTTGTAAAAAAAATAATAATAATAACGACCGATTATTTTTCGATAATTCTGTAATATTACTGTGTTAGAAAAAAAAAAAAAACTGTTGCCGAGCGACACTTTAACTAACGAGTGTTACTATTCGCTACGCGGCCATATTACAATAATATTGAATTTGATACGTATCGTACGGAAGTCTGTATTAAATTTCGTACTTTCGAAATCGTATACGCGGGCCACCGATCTAATCGTGTTTTTCTTATTATTATTTTTTTCCCCGAAAGGGATATGTGTAGTCGTTATCATTATTTATTATATACGGTCGCACAGTCATATTAAATCATGTATCGAACCCACGAGTTAATAATTTAATAACCTTGAACCGGAATTTATTATTAACGTTATGTTTCAGTTTTTATGCTGCGGAGAATACGGTTGTCGGTTATTTACGACGATTAAGTTGTTGTTGTTTTTTTTTACTCGCAGCGTTCCTCGCGCGACTTAATAAAATAAATTATTATCTTTATTGTTTTTATTATTACTGCGTATCTGTACGGTAAATCGTTAAAAAAAAAATCAATACAACGTTGTCTATGTTACTTATATTGTAACGTTGATGAGATGTTAATACTACGGTCCTTTTATTTAAGAATGGGGTCAGTCGTGTCCCACGCCCGAAAAAATTGCAGAACATAACCTCAAATATTCACGTATTGCTTCCATTGGTGATGTATACACTATATACAGTGTATCATTATACACGGATAGAACATAATATCATGTATTCAAATATGATCGAAGAGCATACTTTACAGTTACCAAAGTGTTTACTTATAATTAAATTGTGGGATCAACCATACGTGATGTTGTACTGACGCCCCAAAAAAAGTCAAAAATTTTGTAAAATAATAATATTATTTATTGTTTGCGTTAAATTGCGTATAACATCTTCGATCGTTTATACTCTGTTAAAAATAATATAATAATATTAGTATTAAAATTAATCACAAATCGGATTGATAAAAATGCTGTTTATCATAAACCATTATCTATAACCGTATATGACCATTGTGGTATCTAGTAGACTCTTCGCTCCCAGTATATCGTGTATAATTGGTATAGGAATATCCTATCCATGTGTTTATTATTTATGATTGCTTGGACCGAGGCCCGGCTTCGGTGGCCACCTCCGATCGAAATCAACCTTCGATTTTTCGTATGAATCCTATAGATAATAAAGAAATGGATTGGCCACTCCTACCTAGAACAATTGTAAGTGAGGCGATGTTCCCTGAGGGGTGGTGAACCAAGGCAAATTATCATATATACATAGATAAAACGCTTCACTTTATGAAAGTTGGAGTGAATTTACCCGTCCCTCTTGAAATGGATGAGCTTATCCGTATCTTTATTATCTATGTCGAAACCTTGCCGAGTAAGTCGGATCGGTAGGGTTACGTTTGTTTATTTGTTTATATAGTGGCGCTTTCGTTGATATTCGATTTTCGGTTATCACCGTTGGAAAACTATTGCCCGGATCCGTAAATGAAACATTTGTATTATTGTCGGTATCCGTTTTTTTTTCTCTAAACAATACGACTCAAATAATAAACGGCAGTGCTAATCAATAAATTACTGTCGACCGCAAAATATTTGCTCTATTTATATAATAAGATAACCTCATACCCTATTTCTCTTTCGGTCAACTAGTATAATACAATATTATATTTATACGAATGTTACGAATTGACCCGTTATTACGGTAAATTATATTCGTAATACACATACGTGACCTAATGGCTGAGTATATTATTATAATTCTATGGTTTTATTAAATTTTTTGTCCATAATGTATAGTTTATGAATGAAAATATTTAAAAAAAAAAAAATAATAATAATGTTTTCTGTGTACCGTTCCGTTACAAAGTGATTATATTGATATCCTACTGCTAATAATTTTGCTCGTATTACGTCGTGCGTATTTATACTCGGACCATAAAATTATATTATATTATAATTGACGAAAAAATTCTGTTTTCTGTATTTTAGTGAGCCGCCTGCACTGCGAGAGCGAATCGTTCAAAATGGAATTGATACTGGACATCAACTCGTGGATCTATCCGATGGATTTGGGTGAGTGCCAGCTGCTATAATTTAATAATACAACTATCCAAAAAACGTTCCGACACGCATCCTGTTCGTAAAAAATACTTGTTATTAGTTATAACCTACAATAATAATACGAATAATATTAGGAAACACTCGATATGACGTCACACGTCGTCGAATACTTAAGGGGTGGCTATTTCTGCGAGGAAGTCTTTGTAAAAATAACAATATATTGACTCGAAAACGTTTAAATTCAAATAAATTTAAAAATAACGGTACCGTGTTATTATTACAAGTACTTACATATTTAATGTGTAATCGTGATGAAATTTTTTCGCGTAAAACAGATAAAAAATAATGGCCCTACTAGGATTTAATTCGGAGAGAGGAAGAGGAAGAAAGAGTGTTGTGAATTCCAAAAATTTATTTACAGTAGATATTTTATTTCTTTAGTGCTCATTTGCACCCATTCATATTTAAACTGGGCTTAAGGTAAGCTTTGCTTAAACGTTAAGTTAAATTAAAGTAAGTGTATGATTGTGTTGCGCCATCGAATTTTAAGGAAACTAAGGTAATGAACTCTTCAAATTATTTATGATGTTTTGTTCCTAACTTCAGACAGTATTTTTAAACATATTTGAAGTTGATTATTGTGTAACAGATTGATTGAGATCTGAGGTGTGAAGAGTACTCCAAATCCGACATTTAAAATGTGTTTTTGATAACTTGTGAACCAACTTATGAATCAAAAGTAACCCGATCTCAAGTAAACCTGTCTTTTTAAACCATAGTACATGAAAATCAAATTATTTTCATCATTTACACGGTATTCCCTAGAATATTTCATAATACGCAATACGAAGTTTTCGTCGAAATTAATCGAAAACCGTAGGTAAGAATATGCACACGAATTTATTCTTACTTTTATTGTAGTTTGTAAACTGTAATTTATAGTTAATGATACAAATCGGTTTTTGAAACATCGATAACATATTTAAGAAATACTTACAAATAATTAATTCACGGTTGAACCACGGTTTAGTGTGAGCAATGAGCATTACAAATTATGTTGGCAATTAGTGTTTGTGCAACAAAAAATAATTTGAATAAACTCGGAAGGGGATGTGGTTAAAAAAATAAGAATTGGCCGTTAACTAATATTAGTACTGTTAATTTTTAGTAATTATTATCACTCGCATTATATTCGTATTAATTGTACTTTCCAAATAACCGATTCCTCAATTGTCTGTGGGAGTGGGGGACCCCATAACTCTCCCGCGTCCGTGTCACTAGATTCAACCGTTATGAAAGTAAGCAGTGCGTTTTTTATAATAGAATATTCAACTAACAACGGGTACGTTGTCAATTTCTTATGAAAAAAGTCGTGCTCTTCGATTTTCATCGTGAGTGATTTGTTTTTTTTCTACGCTAAATCGCACACTAAATTTATTTCGATAAAACAAATTCCATGTGGAGGGGTGTTTATTATGTTTACTGTAATAAGTGAACGCACTGCGAGTAAGCCCACTTGTAAGGTAGAAGTGCTCTCCGACGACGGTCAAACAAAATTAACTGTTGTATTGACCGTTTTTTTTTTTTTAGATTTTGAGTGGAGCAAGGAATATATTGGTTTTACAATGATGTTTATTTCTTATTTTTTTTTTTTTTATCTATAAACACTTTTCTACCGGCAATTTTGCTCCGATTTACAATGACAGCACTTTTTCTGAAAGGAAATCTGTCTGGAGGTCATTTTTTGATTTTCCCAAGAGTTTTCCCGATAAATGGGAAAAAAACTTAGGGAAAACGGGTACAATGTTAATTAATATATATTAACATAATAACAATATACATATACATATATACATATATATATATATATAATATATATATATGATCAAATGCCCGTCTATATCCTATACCTTCCCGGCTTCCCGCCCGTAATAGCGGCCGCACCCGTTACCCCCGTTATCCCAGGACGGCTTTGTTTTTCATTTTTTTTCTACTCTCGATTTTACTTATCGAACCGATATTTTCCGACCCGCGCACGTTACGTCAGAGCGTTACACTGGAAACGCCCGCGAGTGCGTAGAAAACTAATCCGCGGGACCTGCACGGCCCGACGTTATTGCTGTTGCGCCGAAAAATTATTAATTTCGATAAATATTTCAACGGCGCACCGACCCGCCGCCGGCGTCGGCGTTGCCCGCGCCCCGTGCACATTATATATTATTTGTGCTTGCGCGCCGCTCATCTGCTCCTCGCCGTCCCCCGTTTTCGTGTACGCGCTGACCGTGCGTGCCTGTGTGTGTATGCGCGACTCGCCGGCTCACGCGTGCGCGTGTACGCGCGTGTTGCGAAACAGAGACGTTATAGTCGCTGCGCGCACGCGCTCCCGTTGAACACCGCGGCGATGGCGACGACTACGACGGCCGTGGCGCCCAGTGTTTTGTACTCCTACGCCCGCCCGCCGCGTCGGCCCGCCCGTATATTTGGCAAAATATGCGTGCGTGCGTGCTTGCCGCCGAACGGGAGGCCTCGAATGGGTTGACGCGAAAGTTCTCGACGCGTATTGTTGTGTCCGGGTTCTTCGAAAAACCGGCCGCATAGCGAAACCGCTCGACGCAGTTGATACGCAGTTGTTGTTGCTTTTGTTGTTGTTGTTGTCGTTGCTGTTGTTGTTGTTGTTGCTGTTGTTGTAGTATTCGTCGACCAGAGTCGGCGCATTGTAATACAATATTATTGCGTCGCGTCGTCGTCCTCGTCATTATTGCCGTCGTCATGATTCGCACGGCATGCCGTCGTGCTCGTCGTCGCCGTCGTACGTCTCGAGTCTCGACAAAAAAGTATTGTCGAAACCGCACGAAACCTTGGACACGACAACAGTCAATAAGCCACCGTCGCTTATCGTTTAGCCGTACCCTTCACGACCGAGCATGAAAATATCGCGAACGAACAATACGGTAGGTAACGATAAAATAATAATAATACGCATTATACTGTTCGCTCGCTTATCACCGCGTTACTTGTGTGCAATATATTTTATATTAAACGCGTACAATATAATATTTTATCGGTACGCTCGTAGAATAAATTGGCATGCCTTCAATCTAATAATAATTGTACAGTGCATAATGTTATTACAATATTACTTCCACTATGCGACGTGCCCGAAGAGGAATGCTCAGTTTTTACCACCCCCCCCCCTCCATCATCCCCAAATTCATCGTGTTAAAATACGAAAAAATAAGTAATTATAATTATATAAACTATTATTATTCAACGTTAAAAACGTATTGGCCGGACTCGGATATCAAATAAATTAAAACGTGCGGTTATATGAAAAATGTTTTTGAATAGTATTTAATTTACCCAGTGAAATACCCCGAAACCAAATATTTCAAAATATTCAGTTATTTTGTTATTTAATATTTTAACTCGCTCACTTATGAGACTTGTAGCTTGTGGCGTAGGCAGTTATATAATGCGTGTACATAATTGTACATTTAGCGCGGAGTTAACAATTATACTTGAACAGATGAAAAAAAATTGAAATTGCAGTAATATTATAAGCGACAGAATTATTAAGAGTCAAAAAGCACTCGACGTGTACCATAATTGACGTATTACGTAAATATTAAACGATTTTCAAAAAAAAGAAAATATATCATATAGACACGAGAATTTCATTTGAGCAAACGATATGCTCAACCTTCGTAAATCGGTGGTGATAATTGTGACATCGCGTATTATCTGTCGGGTTCGGTCCGCAATAATTCCCCGTCCGTTTCACGTCTCCGATTTGTTTCGGTGCGACGACAAATCTCGGAATTTCTATTCAATACATGGCGTTTCGTATTTGACTCCGTACCGCTCGCATCGCGGTCCTCGCGATATGCGGGTTTTCGTTTTTTTTTTTGGATTTGAACACCTACGCAGACACCAACCCCCCTCCCCCCGAAATTAAGTCCGGTCAATGCGATTTTGTAAAAGCGCGGAGTACGTTTCAAGGATAGGTCTTTTTTTCCGGGGGGGTTCGAGCCTCTACTCTGTCGCGTGCATGTGCGCGCACGGATTTCGCGATTCCGCGCACGGCCGTTGACGAATATTTCAAATGCGACGGGAGAAAATTCCGCTCTAATATAGCGACCGGTGGTTTTTTATTTTTTTTATTTTCTTTTCTCTCGGCACTTTCGATGCGTACAAAACATTCGCGTATTGCGTCGCGTGCAATGCGACGAAACGCGATTCGCGCCGAACGGGCCGGAGCATATTTTCCGCATCGTTGCGGGTCGGTTTCGAAACCGTCGACTTTCGATTGTTTGTGTTGCGATTCCACCGCTCCGCGTACGTCGCGACGGTAATTTTTGTTTTTATCGAATTATTATTGCCCTACATACGCGCGTGTGTTCGCCGCGCACCTGTCACAATATCAATAACGTTGCACGCGTTTTGGGCGGAATATTCGCGTGTCGACGTGCCCCGCGGCGTTTCGCGATACATTGTTATTTTATATCGGCGGCCTTTTTTTTTTCGCTATAGTTTTGTTTTATTTTTCGTTCGACGCCGGAAAAAAAAAAAAAAAAACGATCGTCGGGTTATAGTCGAGAAACAATTGCGCGCGGTCGATAAATGCGCACACTGCAAGCCGCCCCGCTGTATTTTATAAAATAATGACGCGCGCATAAAAAATTCTGTTTTTCAAAATATTGTTTTCCGTCGCGCGCGCTCGGGCCGGCGTAATGGGGATTTTCTTTTCTTTTTTTTTTTTCCGTAGGGGGAAGGGGTAACGATTTTTAAATTTTTTCGCCAACCGCCTGCGAAAATCCGATTTTTCGGCGAGAAGCCTACACTTCGGGAGGGATTCAGACCCCGCGGACCCCTCCCCCTCTCCGGCTACGCGCACGCGAACGGCCACGCGAAATTTCACCCGGACCGTAGGAAAATTTTGGGCGGTTTCGTTTATAATTCCGCCGCCCGTCGGAAAACGCTTTTTCGGCGCGTAAAAAAACGCCCGCATATCCTCGCACCGTACGATGCGACACGTGAATAATGTCGTTATTTCGCCTCATTGTGACAGGACTTGGTCGTGTCCTCTTGACGCGTATGCCAATTATGTATCGCCTTTAAACATCATGTTTCGGACGATAAAGTGTTCTGTGTTTTTCGCACGAGTTCAGAACGGTGTTTATTAGTCCCGTCCCGTAATCGAACCGCCAATTGCTCCGCAGCAGTGTTACTCTCGGAACGCTATCGTAAACAATAATTATAATCGACAGTCCGTGGGATTATCGTTTTTCTACGTGTACGCGGTTAGTTTACGAGCGGTGGCCGCCGGTCGGGTTCTCGTTTCATTGGTCCGCGTTGAATCCGCCCGGTGCGTATCACTCGTTTGCGCGTGCAATTACCGTTATTTGCGTTAATTTGCGTTATTATTGGTGGAAAACGACGGGACGGGTACGAACCGTCGTCGGAACGACGGTTCATGGCGGTTGCGTATGGCGGGTTGGACGGCGAATCATATTGCGAGACGAGCCGTCGTTGTTTCGTTACGGCGACGCGACGGTAATAAAAATACGCGGGAAAAAAAAACCGGCCACTCCTTCCCCCCCTGACTCCCCCGTAATACGGTCCCCCTTCGTTCCCGGCGTTTATTTTTCTCGCCGCATAGTTTCGCGTATTACGAGACGGACGGCGCGCGCGGACCCGAAAATAAAGTTTTCGCGTCCGATCGTAATATTGAAACGTTGCCAACAGATAAAAAAAAAAAAAAAACCAACCGAAAAACGTTTTGCGAATAATTCACGCCGGGTACCGATACCCGAAACGAATATTTTCGCGACGTCTAGTATCGATGTTATTGCTGCGCGCACGATTCACGTATCGTAGGTACGCGTACGTTATTATTAACATACGTGTTACCGTGGTGTCGTTCGCAATGCGCGACAACTATACCGCCGAAAATTCGAAATCTCGATAGTTTTTCTTCTGTTATTTTTTTCTGTTTCCTGTTTTTTGGCACGAAAGAAAAATTACATTATCCAAGGTTACCGCGGCCGTCAGCTGGTGGTGTGCTAAACACGCGCGCACCCACTCACTGCGTCGTCGAATCGATTGGCCCCCTCCCGCCCCTTTACCGACCGTTCGCGTTGCGGTCGGTGTCGCCCCCGCAGATACCCCCTCTCGCCGCCCCGCCGATTCCGCGACCCCCGTCCCGCTGCAACCGCGCCGCGCTCGCCGCTTTCGAACGGCGGCGTGACGCAACACCCGGCGTAGTGTGTCAGGTCCCCGGCGCGCCGGTCCGACCGTTTCTCGCTCCTCTTCGCCCCGCCCGCGATGCCGTCGCGTCGTGCGCGCGCGCGCGCCTCCGATCGACCGCCGCCGCCGCGCGTTTCCATCGCAATAATATAATTTCAACGTGCCTCCCCCCCACCCGCCCCGTCACCCGTCCCGCCCGTCCGATCGACCGCCGCCTCCGTTTCTCGCCCCGGCCGCCAAACGCGATTTCAATGCCAAGGTTAGTAGAGGCGCGCACCGGCGACTCTGCTCAGTGCCAAGGTTGTACATAGGACGTCTCCGTCGCGGACCCCGCGCGCCCTAGCGCTTCGCGACCGCCGCCTCGGCGAATTCGACGTTCGTCGTGTGACCGCGCCTGTGCGTACCCGTCCCGTCCGTCAACGCGGTTTTCGTGTACGCGCGAGTTTATCGCAGCGCCGCCGCCGGTACGCTTCGTGTGTACATAATTGCAAACGTTATAAAAATAATACTTTGGCCCGGGCGGCGTAACTACGCGCGAAATTATCGAGACGGAGCCGAATTGAGGGGCGGATTCCCATCAGCCCTGCCGAAAAATAAACGCGCGCGGCGATTCGTTCTCGGATTGGTTTTTTTTTTTTTTCGTTTTCTCAGCGATTTCCCAGTCGTTACGGCGACGTTTATAGTGTGTCGAATACCCGCGAAACGCCTTGAACGAGTTTATTTTCTATTTTCCAACCGCCGCGCGTTCGAACGGAGAACATAGAATTGTTTTGTTTTGTTTTTTTTTTTTTCGTAAACGTGTCGGAACATTAATATTATTACGTCGGGATTTACCGTTTGCGGTCCGCGTAAAACGGACAGCGGTTCGACTCGCAAGACCGAGCCGAGCGGCGGGGTACGGCGACGGACGTCGTGTCCATTTTTAGAGATGATACGTTTTAATAAAATATTATTGCCCTTCCCGGCGCGTAGTCGTCTAAACTAACCGTTGGCACTCGTTTACGGTATAAATACGACGCGAACGGTGTGCGTGCGCACGCGCGCGCGTGTTATTATTATTTCTCGGTTCCCGGGAAGGGGACCAGTGGTATTTTAAAACCCGGAGCGCGCGCGGCCCCGCGCACGAACGGACCGCGGACGGGCGGGTGACGTGGAGGCGAAAATTCGAAAACTGTCGACGATCGACGGAAAAAAAAAAAACACCGAGAGTTATATTGGCTGGAAATTCGCCGGATCGCGACATAATGTTTTTATCGCGCCAAACGCACGCCGAGGATCGCCCTGTATAGAGTCCGCCTACTTCCCGCGCAGCGCCGGTATTTTTTTTTATGACCGTGCGAAAAAAAAAAAAAAAACTGGGGCGTATACGCGCGCGTTCCTCCGCGCCGCGCACGACGGTACAATATTTTTTTTTACCGCGGAAATTATCTGCGCAATCGCGTACACGTAGCGCGTACGAAAACGTATGTAAAAAAAAATAATAAAAAAAAAAAACGTTATACGATCGCTCGCGCGCGCGGTTTACGAATACATACGGCGGCGCGGCGGCGTTCGATCGGCCGCGGCCGTGTACGCGGTCAGTCGTGTTGAAAACTCCCGCGGAGTGCGAAAACAATAATAAAAAAAATAAAAAACAATTTTTTTCCATACTCTCTCTTTATTACCGACCGTTTGTCCGAATTCGGAAAATAACTGCGGCTATCGCGGATCGGCCCGGGACACCGAAACCGCCTGCAGCACCGTACGCAATAACGTCGGTTGTTATTAAACAGTTGCGCGGAGCGTTCGGACGGAATGTCTCGTTGAAAAACGTCGAATGTTTTTCCCGTCGCCCGCGTGTAACGCACGCCGTGTTGTTTTTTTCGACCGTTCGTCTGCGTGATAACGCGTCGGTATGTAATCCGTTTTATCGTACCGGGCCGCACAACGGGCGACGGGATGAATGTACGGCACGACGCGATTATTGTGACCAGACGAATTTTTTTTTTACCTCGCGCGCCGTGCGTGCCTACAGAAATACAAGCGCAATGCCACACTCGCGTGGGCCACCGTGATGTGGCCCCGTCGTATTCGGTTTTCGTTCGTCGAAAACCGTGACGGCGCGCGATTCGGTTGCGTCGACGTATGCGTTCCGAGCGCGTTAGAAAAACCTTTACCTTACCGGGTAGGTAAAATGATAATAATAATAATAATAATAATAAAAAACCATAATTCGTTTCGAAACGCCGTATGGTGAAATGTACAAACGCTAAAATGTATTATTGGAATACCGACTCGATCCTGTGTACCAGCGATTCTCGACCTGTGGCATACCGCCGCAGTGGTACTCGGGAGAGCTCGTGGGGCGGTACGCGAAGAAATGTTTCGACAAGTGAAAAGAAAAAAAAACAAGTTATTGGTTGTATATAATGCAGTTTATTAATCCGTAAATGTTAACAAAACTAACAACCGTAAGTATTAAATTTTACTTTCGTGTATCATACATAATTATCTGCGGATTTAACAATGTAAAGCTCCGTGCGTGTAAAATAACGTACGCGTTTTATTTTCTGATAAGTGAAAGGAAAAAAAAAAGTTCAATAATCCGTATCAAGCGTTACGTGAAAAACGTATAAATGCGTTAGTGGTACGTACGCGGATATGAACCGGTTGACAACCGCTGCTGCGTACGATAAAACGATTACGCGGGTTGTTTTTTTTTTTTCTCCCCGAAAACTCGCGGGGAAACACGTCGTTTTTGGAAATAAAACTCTCGTGGACGTGATTCGAAAAGAAAGAAAAAAAAACCGACGTAACCGTGGACTGTTGCGTGTTACGCGGCCAGTGTCGGATTTTCGCCAGTTCGGCAAAACGTGTTTCGCGCCGTACGTTTTGAACGTTAGAACGGACTGTTACAGTATAGTATCAAACTCGACTGTATGCAAAACGATGTTCAATATCGTGTGCGAAACGTCGGCTTTTTAACCGACGCGTTCACAAAAATCGTTTTTTAAAAAAAAACATCTGAAACGGCGCAAAAACCGTTTTACCGAACGAAAAATCGAAGTTCGCGAGTCGATTTTCGTCGCCGTCCGCGGTATTCAAACGGTTCAGACTATTCGTCCGTTTCGCGCGTTTTCGCCCCGTTATCAATTCGTTTTAGTGTCGTCGCCACCACGACGCTCGCAGAATTATAATCAAATCGCATAATATACGTGCAATACGTTTGTACGTCACGGTAAGATTATCGAAAGATGCTCACAACTTACAAAGTTTCAAACGTGATTGGGCTTTTTAAAAAAAAAATCATCCGTTCTTGAGGTCGGTTTCTCTGTGTTTCTCTCTCTCTCTCTCTCTGTCTACCGTCCTTAGTTTTATTATTATTTTAAATTTTTTCCCGCGAGAGTGTAGGTACTACGTACGTGTGCAACATAAAACTTTTCATAAAAAAAAAAAAAAAAAATATATGTATACCGATTAGTATATAGAAACACCGCGGAACGCATTTAGTAATTCCGAGAGTCGCCATAACCCACCTGTACAAATAAATAATGAATACGCAATTGAAATCAATCGATTATATTTTTAACGGTGTTACGGTGTAATACCCGAACAATATATATATATCGAGTATTATTTTCGTTGGAAAACGCATCAATTCAAACTAAACGCTAACGAGTATTTAATTGAAATCGTAATTAAATAATTTCTACACAGAGATTCCATCAAACAATTAGCATAACAAATGGTTTTTCGTTCGGTATATTATTATACTATTCAATTAAAGTCTTTGTAGTTCATAAACAGACCCGGTTCAACGCTTAAATTGCGACCGTGTAATATTATACATCATTATGCGTATTTCTTCAAAAAACGTTACTTTTCGTAATAACATTCAATTGTAATATTAGTATAAAATTTCATTCAAGTATTATATTTACGTAAGAAAACCGTACAGCCTTGAGCGTTTTATTATAAGAGGTTTGTTTTTGCGCGTATTTACCAACAACCAGATCCAAGGTATTATATTATTATTATTATTTTATACAAAGCCAAAATTTGAAAACTTTTATAATAATACTCCGGGCTACGTTTTATTTTATTTTTCACGAATTACAATCATATATATATACTTTTATTGTTTTAAAACGTCAAAAACAATTTTTAACCTCGTAAAATGGTGTATAATATTTTAATAAAATCCGCGCAGTTCCCTAAAAAATGTCGAGTGAAGTAGTCGAATGAGACCACCCGTGATACAACCCGAACGATAATGTAGCTAAATATTTTACGAGACTCGCGTATAATAATTATATTACAATCTCGTAACGATTGAGTAAATTATAAAATTAATTGGGTTAGAAAAATAATTTCTATGCATAATCTAACCTATGGAATTCGTGTACCTATTACAGATTATTTTGAACAAATACCACCACTATCATTGATTATATATAATCAATGATAGTAGTATGAATGTATAATTATACGCGTACAATAAGTAATTATATGATTTTCAAAATATAATTTGTATACAACGATTTAAATGCGCGTAAATATTTGTGTACGAATTTAATTATCGCAGAGACATTGGTTTCGGTTGTACGTTGTTATTTTGTTTTTTGTTTGATTTTTTTCCAGATTAGGTCGAGTCTCATAATAATTAATGAAATCGATTCAGTCGAACAATCTGATCGCCTCTAACTTTGTATACGCCGACCTATATGTTTATCGCGCGACCATATTTTTCTTCGTGTATAACAGATTATGAGCCCAAGGGTGTCGAGACCTTATTATACCCCGTCGTTATTTACGTATCGGATACGTTAGATACCTCCGATTGATAATTTCGAGTATAACAGGCAAGTGAAACATAAAAACTCAAACGGGTGTTATACCAGTGGCGGTTATAAGGAGGGGTGGATCGCCCGTCCCCCCTGGTCCGTTTTATGTTTATAATAAATAATTGAACGAGAATTAATCACGGTAGAAAATGTGAATTGAATTTTAAAATATTAGGGAAAGATTATTGGCTCTCCAGCATTATTGTCTTGTGATTTTTTTTTTTCTTTGTCATTTTCGCCCCACCCCCTTAAAAGTCAGTTATGACCGTCACTTCTGTGTTATAAACTGCTGAAAACCACTCGTCTATTGAAATGCAAAATAATAATATCTATAAAAACGCATAAACGACTATCGTTTTGCCGTACAATGTCGTTACATTTCGTTACAATATAATATACAAATATTATTTGTTCTGCAAAATATCCAAATACCGCCGTCAATTAAATTTTTTAATATTTGAGTCTGGTGTAATATATTGTACACTGTATTATTATAACGTGAAATATTGATTCGGGACGACTATTGACGGGCCGACCTTCATATTATACTGCGTCCACCGTTCGCGTTTAAACGAAACCATCCCCATTCTGAATAATTTATTACACAAGTACCTACGAATTATTGGACACACCTATATAGTGGAACAAAATTTTCAATTGCGTTTTATTACAGTACGTGCAATATTATTATTTTATTATTCATGTTTATTTATTCACGCCTCGACGGGCGACTTTACAATGAAATTATATAACACTGTATTCATAGGGAATAGCCCAAGGGTAGTTTATACACCGGTAATACAAAAAAGAACACCGATTAAAATACCATAGAACATGCAGATTTATGAATTTAAAATAGAGAGGTTGAACAAAAAAAGAAAGCGTGAAAACGCAAGGAGCTCTGAAAACTCTGAAGTTCGCCTGGGAAATGAGAGAATAAGGTGACCCAATGGAGTCATCAAGTAGCTTGCTCAAGAATAGAATATTAGCAAACGCCCTTTTGTCCGCTATAGTGAAACGATTATTAAATATAGTTGATTCAATAGAGTCTATTGTTGTGTGGTCGTTGCAGCAATCGTTTCGTTACTGCAGTTTTCTTTAAAATTTCGTACAGTTAAATTGTATAAATTCGTGTACTCTGTAAAATAAATGCTATATGTACACACGGTGTATTAATACAAAGTCGATACTGGTCATGGAAAGGGGTAGGCGGGTTACTGTTGTATAGGTGGTTAGTTGAGAAGGTAAGGTACACGGGGTAACACGAGTATTTATATACTGTGTGTAACGGTTAACCGTCGCAAACGAAAAATGATTCTGAGCGGACTGATATTTTTACTAAGTATTTGTCGTATTCGTTTATCCCGTAGACAGAGCAAGATACGTACGACACTGCAGAAATCGACAAAAATAAAACCGATGTATTTTGACGTTTTTCGTTAGTTTTTCAAATCGTATTGGCAAACCCCGGGAAATCCATAGACATTTTCTGATTTTCTGTCAAATAAAGTACTGTCGGGTGAAAAATCCACATCTTTCAAGCCCATAAGGTAACCAATGGAAACATGAAAAAATCTGAGCGTTTTTTACTAATCGAAAAATTGTAATCCGAGACGTACGAAACACACGCCGACGCCCGACGGCTTCGTATGGTAATGCTGCACTCGCAAGTGAAAATCTAAAACACATTATATTATTATTTATATTATAAACAATCGAATTTAACGAAAACCGAACTGTTTAGATTTGATGTATTTATTTTTTTACTAGACATTTTTCACGTTCGTAACGTTTTTATTTGTTTGTGCCGAATATTATCTATAATATACTTGCACAGATTACCGCGCGCGCCGCTTACGTCATTATAAGCGTGTTTATTTTTTTTACGAAACGATTTCGGTGTATTGGCAAACCGAGCCGCGCACATCATGTAATAACGCGTTTGAAATATTATTAAATATCGTGACAAAATATTACACATAGTCGACTCGTACATTTTATAAGACCCACAACAATACTGGCCGATCCGGTAACGCTCTGCTACTGCTGGACAATAGTGGTGAATAAATGATAACAGCAGTTTTCTGGTCCGCGACGGTGAAATTGTCGTCATCTGTGTCGCCGGGGTAGTAACCCGCGAAAAACAAACGAAAATAAATTTACACAGACAATTGGACGATTCGTATGAAAAATACCCGAAAGAGAGGAGAGCCCCTCCTATTACCGCGGGAACGAGAACGCCGAAAAGGCTGTCCAATCTTCCGAGTCAGACCAAAACCACGCGCTCCTTTCGTCTTGTCAAAACCGGCCGAGTACAGTGATAACACGTTGCACGGGTCGACCGATATCCATAATATTTCGGTATTGTCACCGCGACGAGAATATTATTTTTGCCCTTGCGGGGGTGGAGGCGTAATGTACGAGCCGTTGCGTCTAAACGACGACTGGTATTGTAAAACAATATTATATTATATTTTCATGGCGTTCGATCGAGACGATGTTCAAATATTTGTTCGCGTATATATTACGGATGCGTAAAAAAAAAAAAAAAACTTATTATATTGCGTAGCGGCATTACGGTGTGTATACGGGTACTTTGTTCTTTGCCCCCCCCCCATCACTCTCTCTCACTCTCTTTTTTCCAAACGCTCTTGAAACGCCATTTTAAATCAATAACCGTCGTCGTCATCGCGTGACACCGTCGTAATATATCATACCGATTCGAAGGCACATAATGACCATCGAGACGATAATTCTATAATTTATTATTTGCAATATATATAAACGAAAACAAAAAATTTTTGCATTAGAATTATACTCGATAAAATTGTGTATGGACGGGCGAACGAATATAATAATTAGGAATGTGTGGATAAAATTCCTTTTTTTTTTTTTTTTTTTTTACACCGGGAGTAAACCAATTCTGTTATGGAAGAGATTGTAAAAATATCCGCGCGGAATATCGTTAGATATTTATTTTTTTTTTTTTCACGTAATCATAAAACTTCTCGAATCTGCGACGTTTCGCAATCTCTTATTGACTCCCCGCGTTGAAAACCGTAACGTTCGCTGCACGTACACCTCGTTCGGATTCTGTTCCGGATGGATTTTATCGTATCGTTCAGTGGCCTACAGTATTTGCGGGTTTTGTTCGCCTTTGTCGTTCTATATTACCGGCCGACGATGTTCAATTAGAAACCGTTGGTATAATACGAGGCGCACGCGAGTTTCACTATACAATAACAATACCGCCAGGTTTCGTTTTGTTCTTTTTCGAATTAATTTTTTTTTTTGATATATTCAGCATTTGGTGATGTGGTTCGCGTGTTATTTATTACGCGTATGTACGTATAGTTACCGTATCGCCTATTGTCGCTTTGGAGTTATTTTAATTTATAATTTTTTTTTTTTTGTTTGTCTGTAACCCGCGGTAATTAACCCAAATCGACACGATTACGTCAATGGCATTACGGCACGTATATTGGAATCGTACGATATTATTGTTCGTCGTCGATATTAAAATGATAACAATAATACTGCGGTGTGTTGTGAGCGTTCAAACGGTTTCCTTTGCAGAAAGTATCGTTGACGACCCGGACGTGCGCAACCCGAGCGCCGCGGGTAATAATGAGCGCCATCGTACTATTTCGATAATCGATCGCGTTCGGACCGTACGGATTGATTAAAAACTATTAGAGTTTTTCCGGATATTCGGTATTTTTTTTCGCGTACAATACTATTCCCGGTGCCCGGGGAAAATATTCGATGTATCGGTAGTATAAACTATTCGATAGTGGCTGTCACACGGGCGTGGGGGAGTGTGACCAAGACAAAAGGGTCTTGTTCCGGACTGCTCCGGGTGGGCGTGTGTGTGTTCGATCTGTGCGAATTTTTCCTGTTCACGTGTTTTTTTCTATCGGTGGAGCAATATTTGGTTGGATCGGAATCGGTTCGCTTGAAATTAAAAACGATTGCGATTCGTCGAGACAAATGGTGAACCGCGTCGTGATCGAAAAAAAAAAGGACAAATATAAAGGACGAAAAGTCAGGGTGGTAAGGGATATAGAGGGAAATTTTATTGACAGATATCTGTTTATGCGACGATTAACCGGTTATTGCGAACGAAACACGATTCTGAACTGAGCTCGGTCAACAGGATTGCTTTTGCTCGTTTTCGCGACGAGAACGATTGTTTTGAAAAAAAATTAAACGTCGAAATTAATAGTGAATTAATAACAACAAAAAATCAATAAAAACGGTCGCCAATGACGATATTATCGTTATCGTTAATCTTTTTTGGACCTAATGTACAAGTTTTTCCCCCATTGTCTTGAATATTAATGACAATTTCAAAAAAAAAAAAAAAACCCACCTTTCCAATAAGTACCGACTATAGAACCGAAAGGCAACGAAAAAGATCTCTTGTCGTGTTTTTATCGGAGCGATATTTCTAGGAGAAAAATTGTTTGTGGACAAAAGAAAAATGCACATCGTTATAGCAGTAAAACTAATTGGTTCGCTCGGAATCTAAAACAAACAATAATTATTATGCAATTTTAATTCGTATTCATAATTACACGCTATGACCGCGTCGAACAATGCGTACGTTATTGTGAAAATTACTTACTATTGTAATAGTTTTTTTTTTTTTTTTAGTTTAAATGACGTAGTGTTCGCCCACTGTCTTCGAAATTTCCCAAATAAATAACAATAATCGTACGGTTTTACGGTTTCGGATACATAGGCGTGCGCAAGTGAGGAAGGGCAGGGTGGGCAGGTGCCCTCCCCCTGCGGGCTGAATATTTTTCGAAATGAACTAATATCGTTACATTTTTTTTAAGTAATCGTGTTTACTCGAGAGTTCGAGACTGATATAAATTTGATAACAATTTACCACGAATCTATGATATGAAAAAAATTATCCCGCGGTTAATCATTATTAATTATTGTTTTTGCATTAAAAACAATATATTTTTTTGTGATCAATAATGAGAATGTAAGTTTATAAATCAAAGTGTGGTATCCGTATTATTATAGGCACCTATTAAATTCACTATAATATAAATGTATAATATCAGATGGTTCTATTTGGTTCCATTTCTCCTAGAAAATATTTCCGCAGTCACCGGTGATGTTGAAAAACATAACTTTTGCCCCCCCCTCCCAAGCCATTAAGGTCCGTGCACGGCTGTGTTTCGGGTACGATACAAACGTCTCCGGAGCAATTTATTCGCCCGGTTCGTAATATTGTATACGTGTCGGATTACTGCTGCGGTATCGTTTTACCGGTTCCTTCTCCCCCCTCTTCGAGATTCCGAGTATAGCGAAAAGCCATTGGTTTTGCTAGACGTGTATAGTACATGCGGTTTTTTTCTCCACAAACTATTTTCCGGTTAATAAAACAAACTCCGACCCGCCCGTATCGGCGAAAGACGCGGTTTTTTTCGACGTGAAAAACGCGTTTCCCGGTGGGACAAAAAGCTAAAAACTCTCCTGTCAGCAGACCGCCGATAGGTTTTGCTTTTGTCGATCTCGTCTCGGACACGTACGTGTAACTACGCGCGACCGACGCACAATAATACCACACGCGAACCACGTATACCACCCGTTAACCTTGCCGCGGGTCCGCTCAGAATGGTTTTTCGATCATTCGTCGTTGATGCTCTCGGAGCTAAAAATAAAAACGACGAGCCTATAATTGATACCCGCGATTCGAAGTACGACAAATCTGCCTCGGGTTTTTTTATTTTTTTCCCCCCGGACAATTAGTCGAAACCGTTCGGTCTACCGACTGCGGGAGGGGAGGGGAGGAACGGATATCGAAGTAATTAATACACGTATACAGTTCGACGGTCTATAGGTGTGTGTGTGAAATACACTCGAATTCCGCGACATTGGATTTCGCAAACGCGCAGTGGGCCAGTGTGCTAAGTAACTGTACATGTTGCGATATCTACACGATAAACGTTCGGAAAGAAAAAAAAAACGCTTAAAATACGCGACGAATCGATTGTATTTTCGATCGGTTCATTTTGTCGCGCGACGGGAGCAAAAAAAAAAAATTATCCGCGCGGAGAACGCTTGCATCGAAAAAATACCGGAAAAAAAAAACGATTACCGTTGCATAACTCATAACGTTTTTTTTTATTTTATTTTACAATCGTGCCGGGGAAACGAGCGGAGCGTATATAATGTAATAATATTATAATTTTCGGCGGCGAAGTAGAAACAAAAAAAAAAAAAAAACCAAAAAATTCAAACCGGTTTTTTTTTTTTTTTTTTACTATGACTCCGGATTTTTTTCCGCCCGACCAGTTTCCCGCCCGACTCGTCGTAACACGCGACGTCACGATACGCGCACGTAAATGTCTACGGCCGCGGCGTGGTATTCGACTGATAATAACAATAGTTGATTAGGGAAAACGTGTTGGAATCGAAAAATCGAAACACTGTTAGTCTCGTGTACCCATTTATAGGTGCGAAAACCGAGTAGGAGTCGCGTCGCGTTACACAGTGCGGATGTCACCTGCGGCCAATAACGATGACGTTGTTCGTTTTTTGGAAAACATTTTTTTGAAACTGGATAAAAATACGGGTTTTTTGTGTTTTATGCTGTTTCAGGTGATAAATTCCGTCTGGTGTTGGCCAGCACATTGCGCGAAGACGGGCAACCGGACGCGGGCGATTGGAACCCCATAGAAATGGACCAGAACGGTTGTCGGGCCGACAGTTTCGAGTACGTCATGTACGGCAAGATTTACCGCATCGAAGGGGACGACAAGGTGAAAGAGTCGCACAAAAACAAACTGTGAGTATATTATCATCATTGTTCAAAGTCAGATTCGTTACGAAACGCGATTTTCATACGATTATAACGGACTGTATCTTGTGCGCGCGTGAAAACGCGCCCGGGTGTTAGGGGGGGGACGTGATTCGCGGGGTTTTCGGCGTATTATCTTTTGGGAATATCGTTATCCAGACCGCTCGTGTCGACCACGATAGAGGTATTGTTGTACAGCAAAAAAAAAATTGTAATTGTACGTTTGGCGAAGATAACACGACAGTCGGACCGCGGTCGTACTTAACGCACCGTCGAGTTCGAGACGTGTCATTATCGTTATTATTTCGACCCGGTAACAGTTACTATTAGCGGCAGTAGTGCGTGTATCGTAGTGCTTAAGTGTAGTTCTTAGATACCTAGCGGCGGCCTCCGCGGTCCGCGTTTTCCGTTCGCGCGGTACGCGCAACGCCATCTGTAGGCGGCGGACGGACGCGACGGTCGGTCGTCGCGGCCGACGACAGATCGCGCTGGCAATACCGAGACCGCGTATGGATGACGTCCAAATCGACATTGATGCCCCTGCCCACAGCTTCGCCTTCGATCTTTTTTCTGCGTTTTGGGACTGGGAACCTCGCTGTGTTAACTTGTAATATTATTTCGATAATAATTCGATGGAAACAGAGTGAACACAGCTGGTGGTATCTCAGTTTCATCGTAGAACAATTACTTCGCGGGACGACACGACGATGAAGGAGAGCTGCTTGTGCGTCGCCACGGGTCGCGGGTCATAAGGAAAATAAAAAAAAAAAAAAAGTGTTTTAAAAATACGAGAAATAGCTGTAACAATAAATTATAATTTATAATCATCGCGTGTATGTAATTACTAATTTATGCTAAAGTTGAATATTATTACTATACTTATAAATTATATAATAGACTACATGTAAGGCACTTATATATACATAATATAATTATAATAATATATTTTTATGCTTAGTGGTTATGGTAACCGTGTTTTTTTAATGATAATAATAAATAATAACGATGGCCGTAGTTGAAAAAAAATAATAAATAAACAAAACGCTGTTTAAAGCCGCAGTATCGATCCGCAGAATCTAGGACATTTTCCGTCCGTGAATTTTGTACCAACAGAGACACTTTTTATCGGAATACTATTTTGTAGATTTTCAGCGTAGTGATGAACGTATTGGTTTTTTACAACGGAGTATACCTGCTTATTTTTTTTTTGTGCGCGTGTTGATTTTTCTACCAGAAATCTTATTCCGATCAGAAACCGACGAGGGAACTTTTTCGTAGCATTTCGAATCTATTAGGTGCATATAGAGGTCGTTTTTTGATTTTGAAAATAGTTTTGATAACTATTAAGAGAAGAAACGTATAGTTAAAACGGACAATCTTACGGCAATAAGAGTTTCGTTATTTTCGATTTTTCACCAGAAACCTTGCTTCCAAACTGGCGTCTTTCCGCGTGGAAAATGTTATCTATTCGATGTGTGAGCGGTCGTTTTTCGATTTTCTGTTTTCTTAACGATCAGGATAAATTTGCGATAATTAATCAAACGCCCTTAGAGGCTGTGCCACTGCACGATACAATAATAGCACTATTGATTATTATACGACATTCCGGTTGTCTGTCCGTGTAACGTTCCACACGTACATACGTGACCGAATAAAAAATAATGTATTATAAATGATTGCCTATTAAAAAAAAAAAAAAAAAAAATGTAAAACGCTAAAATTATCGCCCGCAGCGCACACTCGGCGGATCGTTTAATTCCGATGAGACCTCTTGATGAGATTGAACGTGCCACCGGTTATTTGTAGAGTTCCTGCTATACACGCGATGCGGGAGCACATCACAAAAAAAAAAAAAAAAAAAAAAAGCTGGTACTACTGATGGGTACGCCACAAGCAGGATGCATATAAAGTTATTAAGTTTTATATCAGCTGTAAGCGACGGTAAACTATTGCTAACGAAATACTATTCTGGGCGAAGTTAAGTTACACGTGTTTTGAAATGTCGTCATTTATACGCTTTTTCGTCAAAATTTCATCTTAAAACGGTTTTAAAACAAAAAAGAAATTACTACATTACGCTCGGCTATTTATTTTTACCGCCAAGTTAAACTTATAAAATAGACCACGAATTAGAATATATGCAAGCGTTTGTGTTTTTATCAAACCGTTTTATCCCGCATAGTGCCTACGAAATATAATCTAATCTAGAAAACAAAATCTAAAAAAAAAAAAAAACCCATCATAGCAAATCAAATAGATCCGCTGCGCTCAAAATCTAAAACGAAAATAACGCGTGCACCTATACCGACCCAAATTAGGTTTTAGGATATCGGATAGGTATGGCGTTGTTTTTTTTTTTTTTTTTCAATTTGGTATTAAAAATCTATTGACGATGGCGGCGTCCATTTCTTATACCGATTAATATCAGTATATGTATAGACAGTCCAAGTCGATGGACGAAATGGAAACGAGAACCGATTTGCGGCCCCCGTTGATTACGTGACTATCTCTTATCTATGTATATTGAACCAATTGTGCTACATGACATGGTCTATAATTCTGCACACTCCAATTGCACCGTACGACACATTTTACCGTTGCCTGGACTATCAATTGTAATCTCTGTTACATTTAATCGCGCGTAATGCGCGTTCTATAACAATATCGTAAAATCACCTAATTTATATTCTGCGCGTCTACGCATCAGCACTAAATCGTAAAGGGTTATCATAATCATACGTGTTACACATTGTGTTTACGATGTCAGTTGGTATATTATGTTGTTGTTTTTTTTTTTTTAAGTTTCTTGAATAACTTGTACGCCACAACAAACGTTGTGTAATGTCCGTAAACAAATATATACATTATAGTTTGAATTAAAAATATGGTGCAATCACTTGCAGCTACTCGTGTATAACATTATATACGAGTTGTTGTTATTGAACGAGCACTATATGATGTGCATACAGGATGATTCTTTCGTCGTGATCTATTGGCGTTATTAAATTAAATTAGTATACTTTAATAAAATAATTGTACACGAAGAAATGCTTGTCAGTTGTCCTAATACCTATTATAATAATACAATATACCGAATGATTAAATATACAATTAATAGAAGTGTAGTTTACGTCACGAATGAAACTATAAACATTTTACGAAATTATATCTATAGGTACCTACTGTTATAATTTTATGTTATTTGTACAAATTGTTCATTCATAAATTGGATACTATATTTGTGTTCGGCTTTAATTACCCAATATACATCAATATACATTAATTTCTATAAGAAGAATTCGTTATTGTGCGACAATCCGCCTGCATAGCTAATACATTTTTAATGATAACCGCAACACCGTTTCTGCAGGGTTTATCGAAGTAAACAAATAATTATTAAGGACACGGATCGCGGTCGGTTTAAGACCGTCAGAATCCGATAAGTTTAATGAAACATTTTAGTCTGCGTGTCCAATTAATAATCGTTTTGTAGTGTGTGCGTGTGTCTCGACTACTTTGTATTTTCTTGCTTTTGTCTAGTTGATAATGTATTTGTATATGTAATATAAGGTGGTGTTTTTCGGGGTTTTGAAACTTTTGCGGAGCTACGGCGGTTTCGTTTTCACCCCAAGGAAATACGGTTTATTATTATGCGGAATTTCAATCGTTCGAAAAGTTTTGTTTCGTGTTCAGTTATAAAATGGTACGTCCCAGTTTATTATCCTTCTATACCCCCCCCCACTCCCCGGTATAAATTCTTAACCGGTGTAACTCGTGAACGGTAAACCCAATACGTATTAGTGTCTTGCGTATTAAAACCATATAAAATCAAAAGTTGACAATCGTTTGAGACACAAGGAGTAGTAGGTGTATGATGATTATGTTTTTTCATAAAGCTTAAACCTTTGTATATTGATTGAAAAAAAAAAATGCGAATTTACTTAAAACCTTTTTGTGTACAAAAATCGCTGGATTGTGATAAAATAATCACTACAGGCGTCGTATTGAAAAATCCATAGTTAAATAAACCTACAATTATTTAATTTATATTATCGTTTAAAAATAAAATTTATAAATTTATCGGTTTTAATTCGTTGAATGATGTGTTTAGATAGAACGTTATTACGGATCTGGCACGATATAGCTGTATTACAGTACTCGCGCAGAAAACGAATTTAACCGAGACGTTCGTACTTTAAAATGTGTACATAGTAATAACATTTCGTGGATCGAACGACTTGGCAATTTTGAATTTTGAGAATTATTTTTAATCGTTCCGTCGTGTTTGTTTTTTTTTTTTTATTATTATTATTATTATTATTATTACATATTGTAAATAGCTTTTAAGAAATTAATTTCGATACGTGTGTTTATTTTAATTAATTCAATTCCGTATAATTAAAATACGCAAACTGTATAGTATAATTTACCGCAATTTATCGTTAACTATTAATAAATCACTGTATAACATTGTAGTTATCATTGTCCGTGCACTCCATATAACTTAACCGGGCATAATCTTTTTATATATCATTATAAAATAACAATGCATTTTTGTTTTTCTCGACACCACGCCTAAACACCGTAAAAATAAAATAGCATAATATTGTTGCGACAATATTGTGCATGCAGAATTCCTCGCATAATAGTATTGTTGAGGGCGTTTCGAGTAGGCAATTCAGTGGCTTTGGTGTATGCATCCACCGTGAAAAAGATGGTCGTGTGGACCTCGTGATACACAGGAAACGGACGTTCGTTTCTTTCATAATAATATAACACACCAACAATGCTGTTTCCCTCCTCCCGCCCGTCCTGCTGATCGATTTGTACAGAAAAAAAAAATACGTTCGTGCAGTCTGTCCGGGTTTCCCGTCGTTCTTTCCGTTCGACTGGTCTAACTTATCAATATTTTTTTTAGACCTTGGCGTATTAAAATATGCACGTTGCGATTTCGCAATGGTATTCTCCTATATATAGGTTCGCCTGTTTCGATTCGCGAATACGACGTGAAGGTTATACGAATACGGACGTTGTATACTTATAGCGATGGACACTGTCGAATAGTTGATTCGACTATCCGACACAAACCACCTATCGAATAGTTCGAATAGTCCGTATTGCGTGTTTATACACGACTCAATAGTATTGGCTATCGAATAGTTTCTACCGACCTAATAGGTTTTCCACTACCGAATAGTTTAATCGTGCGTGTTCAGTCCACACTATCTTAGTCCGTGGTCTTATCCTCCCGACATTATCTACGAAAAGCTAAGAAACAAACGTTATATTTTTATAATAACAAAACCTACATTGATAATACGTCCAAAGAATGCCTTGCTACAAAGTGACAAAGCACGTGACTCACTGATCAAGCGCTCGTTCCTGCGTATCCACGAACTAAACTAAATAATAATCGAATACATTTCGTATGGCAAATGGTTTTTTTGCCTATCGAACAGTGCGAATCAACTACCGAATTCTTACACCGGTAGTGAACAGTTCGATAGTGACTATTCTGTATAGTGTTCGTCAATGGGAAAGTGACTGATAAAACCATATTATAAAGTCGTACATATAATTATAGTATTAAATGCTTCCTGATCGTTCCGGAAATTGATACGTTGCTGTGGAAATAGTATAACACTTATGTATGTACAACGACATTTGCAGGTTTTCAGCTTTTCGTCGTTCGCGTACACACACGCGTCGCGTCGTAATCGATCTGAAAAGTTTTTTCTGAATAACGTCTCACGAATGTTTGCGAATAAAAATACGTTGTTGGATCGTTATATACAAAACGGGAGCTATAGTAATAATCGCTATAAAAGACCCGCAAGAGAATGCCGCAGAGAGAGGGGTAGGGAGAGAGTGAGAACGGTTTAGGGCCAAGAGTCGCGTGGCACGAAACCTCACCGCGACCGAACTGGGTCAGTGGTGCATTGCGGCGAGTACTTAAAATATTGTATTCTCTCTTCACAATCCCTCTTCTATACCCCACCGGCCTGTATATATGCTTACACTTATTCAAACCCTTTATGTATTAACGTATATACATTTCTGCCCTCCCCCTTATCTCGTGTATTGCTATCTCTCTCACTCCCTCCCCCCCTCTCTCTCTCTCTCTCTCTCTCTATCTGTGTGTGTGCGTGCGTGTGCGTGCGTGTCCTTTACCCCGACTGACTTGTCAGAAAATCTATTGTGTTCGGCGAAAGAATAAAAGAAACATAAAACGAGAGAGAGAGAAAAAAAAAGAAAAAAGACAGGTGAATGTATAAATCTAATAGAGAGCATATTATAAAGTTCGATCGTGTGTGTACGTACAGGCGTATTAACTACCGCATACTTTTAAATCTCTTTTGCCAAGTGGGCCGCGTCCGTTCCTATTATATAGGACGTTTATTGATAGTTGCAGCGCAAATAATGTAATAATATGCACCGGGTGAGACTTGCTGCCAAACATTTTGTTGTCGCGAATTTTACACTGCACTCATTATCGAAACGGACTGCGCTATTACACGTATCGATTGCGCGCGAGTATGCCAATAATTCGATAGTCAAGGCGCGTTTAATAGGGATACCGGTCGTTATAAATCGATGGCGACACAGAAAAACGGCCTAAGCGACACAATTCATAGTTTTCATGAGAGTCAAAACACATTTATTTGTGATTTTAACATATTTTTTTTTTTTTTTTAAGTTTGATAATAACTTTTATTCGGCTGCAATAGAGAATTTTTTCATTGAATAATTTTTTTTAATTTTTTTCGTTCGTCCTTAATATGAACACCTACGCATTGCTGATTAGCTTTTATTGTCGTTTAGACCCTATAATTGAAAAGACAGAATAAAAAGTATACACCAAACTTAAAATTCAAATATTTCGTTAAATAATGGTTTACACAGCTGTTTTTACGCACGCGCAATAGACGAAACACGTATTTCTCCGTCCAATAGTGAAGTCGTGTCACCATCGATATACTATTAATTTCATAATACTATAGTTTTTATATTTGACCGTAATATTAATTCGAAAATCTGTTTGTTCTGCGTATACAAATCTATAGTATTACTCCAATCTCGACGAAACTTTAACAATACACGTTCGACATTAAAAACAACACGAATTTGTCCATATTTTTAATCCCGGAACTCAATAACGTGTGCATTTCGTCCTTGAAATACGATTGTTTCTTTTTTTGTTTATTTCTGGATTCCCTCGGTTAATTCGGTTTTGATAAAAAGGTGAAAAAAATTACATTTACAATCGTTATAAACGGGGTTACGGGCGTATTACGATGGAAGGATGGATTTTACCATGTGCAACTTTTCTAATGGTTTTCATCAGTAGGACTTTTCCGGACATTTGTGAATCATATCATTTTGAAGTATGTAAATTACGCGATTGGGAAAACGTTAGCCTGAAAAAAATGTACAGATATTATATATGTGTTCAATATGTACATTCCAGACGGGTCGTTCTTTTTTTAATAATGTTACCTATAACCCGAGCAATAAAGATAATATATAATATAAAATATTGAAAGCATATTAAAATCTATGCAGTTGTATAAAATGCAATATTTTGTACGAAATGCGTGCGAAATAATGGGTAATTCGATATAACGTTTGATAAAACGCGTTAATGTATATAGTGAAGTAAACAATAGTCGCATTCTAGACACCTTTTTTATCTGTGCATCCTACAGAAATCTACATAAATAATTAGTATTGTTTTCGGTTTACAGAAAATATACAATTATTTCATTTCATTATTTCATCAAGTTCAGTAAAGCAAAACTTCTTTACAACTGTACGATATTACAGTTATCAGTATGTTATTTTTTCTTCTTTAGGAAAACACGTTTTCGGTTAGTATAAATGATACCGGCGCCCGAAACCTAATGATGGTATTTTATTTATATCAATTTTGTTTAGAATCCCGGCAGTTTTTTTAAAAAATAAAAAAAAAATACTTAGTATGATGAATAATTAAGATAAGTAGGTACATATAGATTTTATTTTTGTTGATTTATGCGTTACACAAGGGAATCTAAGCTTACCATGCTCCGCTCGGAAACTTGTTTTGATTGCAATGATTTATTTTTGCTTTTATGGTGTATAAATTATACCACGTATGCTATAATTTCTACTATGCCTTCTCAACTGGCGACTTCCCGCCTACATTAGTAGTCAACTCGTTTGAATTTTGTCCACTTAAAGATAATTTTTAGTATGTGCGTGTCACATCATCCGGCTGTTGTTTTTGCGTGTTTAACAATTTTACGTTCTTCATTGGTCGTCGCGTGGCAATAATTTTATATTATTATTATTTATTATGATCGTGGGATTTCGATTGATATCGAAACCTGTTCGATATTATAATAATTTATGTACGAACGTCGAACGTGCGGTTCGGTTCGATTTGAAAACGAATTCATGGGCGTCGGTTTCGTAAAGTATTATATAGGTACGCGGAATTTACATTTATTTACGAAAAAGAGAAATCCGTCGATTATGTTGTTATTTTCAATTCACTTTTATTTTCCCTTATCAGATTCAACCGTTACACATAATTTAAATACTAGTTTGGATTGACCATCCATAATAAAACATTGAAAGAAAAAAAACAGTCTATTTAAACACACAAAAACGTACGTTCTCTATACGTAACTTCCCGTTGACACAAGCGTTTCCATCATTACAGTTAATCGCGTCGTTGCTCGGTAATTACTAATTTTTTTAAATAGGTATATGTCCTTGCCCGTGACAACCAAATTGACTAATAATAACTGTTTTTTTTTCATCCGTGTCGCCAAGGTAACCTGTAAATCAACAAAAAAAAAAAAAAATATAAAAATAACACAAATATCGATTTTCATTCAAAAATACAAAAAACCTTATGTGTCAGCACCCTTTAGGGGCACGTGTACTCGTTTATCCATTTCTGTACGCGAGTATTCAATCCTCGTAGAGTCGGGGCCGTGGGTCGCGAAAACGGCCAGACAGACGTACAAACTAACAATTGAAAATTGATAAATATTACTAATTAGTACAGATATAACGATGCTTGTCGTGTAATAAACAATATATTCTTCATGTGTCGTCCGGTATTTTATGTAATTTAATTGTTTGTCGTTTTCGTTTTTATTTAAATTTGAGTACTTGGTGCAATTTTAAGTGCTTTATAATCAGTCAGCAGCCCACTCTTATAGCTCTTAAATGCAATAACATTCAAGAGCCATAAGACGTAGTGTAGACAACTCTCTGCAATAATAATCATTTCTGTGGTAGGTAGGTAGATAGGTACACGCGTGAAAAATGTTAGATAAACACGTGCATGTCCTTGTGACGATAAAAAAAAAAGTTGAATGATACTACTGATGATGGGTGTGTCACTGTTATAGATGGTAAAGTATAGGAAACTTATAGGGGTTTTTTTTAATTATATCTGTTCTTGACGATAAATCATCGCCAACAAAATATGATTCTGAGCGAAGTTCGGTTAAACGTATCGTTAAATGACGTACGTTTTACGATTTTCGTTGAAATTCTAACCGAAAACGCTCATTGAATAAAAACTACCTACCATGTGTCGCCCTCGACCGTTTCTGTTCGGCCGGCCGCGTATTCTACCCGTAAAATCCGTTTTCAATATATCGAAATCCGCCAAACATAATAATTCGGACCGCGGTTTGTCCGGTCCTTGTGGATCTAAATCTATCAAAACACAACAATAATAATACACCGTCACCGATCCCTGCAGTTGTATCGCGAGTATAGTGAATGCAAAACGCTTCGTTTTTCCTTAGATTCTACGGCGGAAACCGAGAAAACGTGTTCCGTTACGTTTTATCCTTTAGACCAGCGGTCCCGAACTTCTTTTATTCCACGCCCCCTTTATGTGAATTTTTAAAAATCTCTCGCCCCCCCTCCATTCCTTTTAAAAAACGCGACGAGCAAAATAAAAAAAAAAAGTAAACAAATCGTATTATTTATCTCAAAATGTTCGCAACTGCCCCCCGCAGTCACTTCTACCTAAATATACTGCCTTGCTCGTAATCTTTATCGATACCCATAATCGCCCGGTCATTATTTATTTTTTCCCCGTGCATTGTGATTATGAATAATTTAATAAATACAAATTTTCGCGATGAAACTGCTCTTCGCGCCTACCCAGCAATTCGTTCACGTCCCCCCCCTCCACTTTGGGAAACGCGGCTTCTTTAGACAGCAGGGCCTATGCACTTTGTCGAGCTGTACATTATTTAGCGCGACGTGTTATTACAGTGTGAATAATTTGTTAGTAACGGCGATAGCGATTCGCTCAAAACACAATAATAATAACAATAATAGCGTATCGTAAAAACAACAACGGCGTGTTCACTATTATACACCTCGTGGCCCCGCGGCGGTTAATCCTCTAATCATATTGCGCGTATATTATTATTATTAAAAAAAAAAAAGAGAACACCGTAAAACGTCATGCGAAAATACGGTATCGCTCGGTGCGTACGTCGTAGACAAAAGAAAAAGAAAATAAACGATTGCGCGGGTATCCCCCGGCGGACGGTAATTCAATTTTCATTATAATCGTAACGTTATAATATTCTCGCGCCCGTTTAAACGCGAACGGTTCGCCAACTCGGGGGAAAAAGATAAAAAAAAAAATCCAAGCGCATAAATCGCGCGAAACGTTACGTCGGTCGAGTAGAACCGTACGGGTCGTAGTAGTGGTAGCCAACAGACGAGGGGGAAAAAAAAAACAACCTATACGTTTCGGTTCGGGTCCAGTTCAGTTCGGAGTGACGGTGCCGGGACGGGGGGAGGGGGGCCTAGGTGCGCGCGGCCTGCGTAGCGTGTCGTTCCCTATTTACGGCGGAGCGAACATAAGGGGGCGCGTCCGCGTGTATATATAGTTTCCGCGGTAGGAAATAGAGCCGGACAGCCGTGGCATGGCTACGCAAAGGACGCGCGCGTAGACCGACAATGCACCGTCGTTGCATACGCGCGCACACACACGCACACACGCCTACATAACAATATGTACACATGTAGGTGTACGCACACACGTACACCTATACACACTAACACGCTCGCGCGCGCACGTACGCGTCGTAAATACAACGCGAAATTGTGCAACGTCGTCGTCCTCCTCGCGCGTCGTGGCTTTGGCTAGCGCCCACCAGCACCGCCGCCTCCGCCGTCGCCGTAATACGCGTCGTCGTTCGTTCATTCGGTTGTTTGCGCCAGAGTCCGACCGATCGGGTATCGCGAACGCGCGCGAGCGCGCGCGCGACCGCCACCGCCGCCGCCACCACTGCCGCCGCCGCAGTCGCCGCCGCCGTCGTCGTCGTTGTCGTCCCCGAACAACACACGAACAGTCAGTGTACGGGCACAACGCGTGCTCGTGTGTACTACTGTTCGGTTATTGTTATTTTTTTTTCCGTTTTCCGTCTCGCACAAGTCCGCGTTCACGTCGTTCAGTGGTTTCAGTCGATCGGGTTTTTTTTTTTGTTTTTCCGCTCCGAATTTCATCACTTCTAGACAATATTATTACGCCGCGTCTGCAAATGGATGATCTCGCGTCTGCTGCGCCGCCACTCGACTCGTCGCCACCGCCGATCAAACAGCTATCCTCGCGCCGCCGTATAGTATTTCGAGGGTGCTCGAAGACCGTACCAGAAGTGTTTTTGACATGGACATATAGTATACCGTTTTACTGTTCCAAAATCATGTAAATGCACTATCTGGTACGACACTTCGGCGCCATTTCTCTCTGTACTGCAGTGTATACACATACGCATGTATATTATTAATATCGTCTCCGGGTCGTCGCCGTGTGTTTCTCGTCCGAGCGTGCGCTCCCGCGCGTTTCCGCCGTCCGGGACCGCGCGTATAAATAATAACCGCCGCCGCGCTCGCTCGTAATAATAATAATAATTGCGGTCGTCGTGCGACATTCGTAACGGAGACACCCGGCGTGCGACGGCTGACCCCCCCCCATTCACCGTGCGCCGTACGACACGCGAAGCTCTCCACTCCCCGGGACCGCGCGTTATGACGATCGTCGCGCGCGTCCGTCATAACGATACGACATTGTGATGCGCGCGTTAACTATTATAATATCGTTACGTACGAACGGCGTTACGGACCCGTGGAATTGCGCGGAATTTGGCCGGTCTCTTTACGAGCGATGACGACGCCGTATACATGTATTATTGTACAATGATATTATTGCCGCCGGTCCAACTGGGTCGGGTACTATTTTTAATCGGTCACGGCGATAATTTTTTTTTTTTTTTCCAACAACATAATAGGTCAACACCTTAACAATTCGTGTAACAATTATCATTACAATAGCGTAATAAGACCGCCCCGTTTAGCGTGGCGACCGCGTACAATAACAACAATAATTATACATGTAACGTTGTAATGTATAGGCGCGCGCGTAAATATTATTATAACAATACGCTCGACACTCGCCGACATTAATGTGGTAACGGGTAACGTTGTGCCACCCCCCCCCCCCAGATCGGTACGCGATTGTCGCAGGAGAAGGAGTGGGGGGGGGGGTTGACGGCGGGCACACAGACATCGCACGCGCGCGCGTTTGTCGCGAGTATGATACAGGATGTCCCGCGGTGATAATATTATACCCGTTGTAATATTTCCGGAGACGATGTATAAAGATAATCGAATTATTTTTTTTTTTTTTCGTATTACTCGCGGTGACGTCAAATATTTGTATTGCGATATTAACTGTTTATGCTTCGATAAAAAAAAATAATAATAATAATAACTTTTTGTTTAATTATTTTGCTGAAAATTTGACGCGTCGGCCTTTTATTTTCGTTGGATTTTTTTGAAGTTCGGAGAAAAATACCTTTTTATAATGTTATTGAGCAGGCTGTATACTCGCATTTTCTAATTGATTGTTACCGGACATCAGGGTTAATTATTGGACCGTACACTTCTACTATTCTCCGAACTTTTTTAAAAAAATTATCAAAAAATCACCAATTTAATGAAAACAAAAAGTTATTCATTTTTTTTTTTTTACCAAAACACGATGAAAAATAATTCGTAAATATTTGTAGCGCCCGCGTCGAGTAATATAAAGAAAGAGAGAAAAAAAAAACCAAAATTCGATTATCTCCGTTATCTCCGGATATATTATACCAACGGGTGTATCATGTTCGCGGGACACCCTGTATATCGCACGGTAATATATTATAATAATAATAATAATTCATACGTTATTATTGTGTTATCGGTACGAATAACGCGTTATTCGCTCGCGATCGACGGTCGGTTTTCCTCTTGTTTCTCTCTCCCGCTCCTCATGCGCGCGCTTATACCTACGTGGCCAGCACTGCGACACGAAACAGAAAAACAAAACAAAAAAAATAATAATAATAATAATACACACAAGGCGTGCGACGCGGAGACTAATGCGCGCGCGCGCGCGCGCAGCAATAAATTATAATACTAATTAACGTTGTAATTATTTTCACGCGGCGGGGCCGCGTAAAACCGACGCGCGTTTGCCGACCGTCAGGTTTTGCCGGTTTCCGTCCCCGTTTTCCCCGTGCAAACGGGTCACGCGATGATGACAACAACATCAACAACAACAATAATATCGGGCGATTCCGGCGCTGCACGCGGACGGCGCGTGAAATCTGTCCGCGCGACGCGCGTACGGTTTTCGCGACAAAACACCGACAATGTTAACGTATTTTGATTGTCGTGTGCCGCCCCGTTACAATAAAAATTATCGGGACCGCCGCAGTCGGTCGACCGGATTTCGAACGCAAGCCTCGGCCGCCGGTCCGGTTTCGGGGTCGATTTCGCGTTTCGACGAACGAGTACGTTTCGCAAACTCGTCCGTCCGAACGGCTCTACCGCGGCCGTGCAATAACCGGGCGCGCGTACGCCCGTCGACGCAATGCCCTCGTTTTCAGACTCGTTGAGACCCAATCGAAACGCGCTACGCGAGTTTTATCCGGCGACTTTCGTGCGGTTTAAAAACATGCCCGGTGCGTGTATAGGGTGGCGATTCGCGTTCGACTTACCGGGCCCCGTGTTGAACCGCGGTTTCGCATAATAAACGGCGTTTATTACCCGCCGCTCTCGCGAACACGCGATCAAAATAACGTTCTGTATTGTATCGTGTAATAATGTATGCCGTAACATTAGTATAATATTTTGTACGCGTTCGCGATAATGTTTTCGAAACGACGATTGTAAATAATTGACAATCATTTTTGTATGTTATGATAACGTAAGTGTTTGTATTCGACCCGTGTTGAAAAATGTGCGAGTACTTATGTAGTAAATAAAATGCGTCTAAGATTTTTTATAGTATAATATTATTGTATAATTTTTGTATTTTTTTTTTTTTTTTTTTGTGTATATTATGTATTTTTGTATATTGTGTTAAAACTGCCTGTAACTGTTACTGTACTTTCGTTTTAATAATATTACATATTATTACCTATAGGTATCTGCCGTGTTGTTTTAGAACAATGATTTTAATAAAGGAAAAAAAAAACTATTACATATAAATAATGTACTCTGGCCTATTATATTATTATAATAAATTATACGGTATTATCGCCGCCGGTCGACGATTTGGTGCGTTCGATCCGATTTTCTCGGGTGTTTTGTTTGTCCTGTCTTTATGATCGTATTATAGTAGTCACACGCGTTCGTGTTCATTATAAACGATTCGAAAGGTGTTTTTCGTTTGTTCGGTAAAAGCATTATTATACTACTGCTACTACTACTACTACTACTACTACCACTACTACTACTACCACTACTACTATTACCACTACCACTACTACCAATGTAGGGGTCGTGGTCGTGTACACGTATACCTACTAACCGTACAAAAATATTAATATCCGTTTGTACGCGTTTGGGTTTTGTACCGGTACCCCGCGTGTATTGAATACCCGACAGCCGTATGCGATTTTTAATCCCGGTACGTGCGTCAAATTGAATTTCAAATATATTTTGCTGCCGGCACACGCGTTAATAAATAATCATGGGCGTCCTGTGGTGGACGAAACGTGGTCCCCCCCCCCCCCGTGGGCTTAAAAATTCCGAGTATATAATTTTATTTTAAACAATTTTCGGCGTTTCTAATGTTATTCCATGCCCTCCCTGATAAATTTCCCGCGGGCGCCCGTGGTAATAACGTACGTAACGCGAAATGTCGTGTAATATTTACGCGTATTTACACGAGGTCTCAACACCGTTACGTGTAACAAAACAAAAAGAGAAAAAAAAAAACGCACACTCGTGCAGTCCGTCGCGGACTTTATGGCTCTCCGGGTTACCGGGAATTTCTCGGCGGGCCCTTCTCGTGTAGGCCTTTGATTTACACACGTTTTCCTATTTATGATTCCTTAAATTACCGATATTGTAACTTTGAGATTTCTCGGATGGGTATAGGCTGGACGGTAGGACGGCACTTAAATTATAATCCAGTACGCGTCTGTAACAGACCGCTCCCTCCCCTCGTAATCTACACCGCGATAATCGTACTTGTTATAAAGTGATTCGCCGCGGGGATATAGCTAATTGGGGTTGTCAACATGTTTCCCTAATTCTATATAGTTTTGTCAGATTGCAAAAATAGCTGGTTCTTTTTCTTTTTTTTTTTTTCATTATTTTAGGACTTTTTAAAAATTTAACTAGTTTAAAAAGATCAGTGTTGGCGCGAATTCAAACGTGTCTTACCAAACATCAGGTATCCATACTAAGGTTACCGTACTGACAAGGACGTGTTAATAACGTTACCGATCCGAGATACAGGATAAGGCGTGATTTCAGTCACAGGCAACCCACCAAACCAGAAACCGGGTATGACGACACATTTAATTCTCGCCAATACCGATCGTTTTGAATACTTTTCCGTTTATTGATTTTTAATTACTCGATTTGCGACGTATTAAGAATTCGGAATAGAAAATTAATTTCATTTCTGAGCTTGCCGTGTTCATCGTTACTATAATATTCGTGGACTAAATCAAACAGTTTTTTTTTAGTTTTTTTTTTTTATTTCTAACCGACAACCCTCATTGTCGGTAATTTTTTCGGCGCTCGATTGTTATAGCGTTGCGGTTATAATTCGTACGCGCATTATTCACGGCATTATATTGTAGAGGTTGGTGTCGACCGCGGGTCATATTATTATCGTTACGTTAAGTATTTGTAGGTATTCTAACGAACGAGGCGACGACGGCGACGTCTGCGCATGATAATAATTATTATATATTTCATAAGTGACGGCAATAAATAATATTATACGGTAACGTGTGCACCGCGCGAGTCGTACACGGTAATAACGAACAATAATAATTATTATTTATTACCGTTCGGCGGGGCGATGCGGGCACGGACGAAAGTCTCGACCTCTGTTTCAATAATGATAATTATTATTATTGTTATTATTATTATTATTATTATTATTATTATTGTTATTATTATTATTATTGGATATCGGGTCGGGAAGTGAATAACCGATGGGCATTTGCGCCTACGCCTCTTTACTTATTGCCACGCACGACAGACCGGGTCGTGAAATTCCTCCGCGGTCCACCGCGATTGACCGCCCGTGTGCGGGCCGTTTGACCGCCGCGGTTAAAGTCGCGATTTTCCGCGAAACACTAGTTAGAAATTTCAACAAAAAAAAAAAAAAAATTCACAAACGTTACGTCGCGTCACGCGTATTTTTTTCAAGGTGACGTAACGACTATACTCACTTTTGATCGTCAAACCTACATATTAAATGTACCATAAATAGACGGCGGCGTATACCTATTGGTTTAAATTAAATAGACGTTGGTGTTGACATTTTTTTATTTCCTTCCACCCCTCCTCCTCTTTGACCGAGATGTCCCGCATTTAAGTTCGGTCAGGGAGAGGGTATAGTGTGGCGGTACGACACGCTGTGTTTGAGTATAGTGTTCCGCTACTCTCCCCTGACCGAACTTAAAAGTGGAATATCTCGTCAACGGGTTGACGGAAATTAAAAATGCCAACATCAAAATGTATTTTCAAACTAAAACGGCATCTATTTATGGAATTTTTAATACAGGTTACTATTTTAAAATCGTAAGTAGGTAGGTAGTCGTCGACTTGAAGGTTTATTTGAAACGACTGTTTCACCTCCAAAAATAAAGTAAAATTGTAAAATGTAAAATTTTATTAGTAGATAGTCATTTTTTTTTTCTTTTAATATAAGATAATATTTAGATGAAATGGGAAAGAAGAATCGAACTTTCGGTTATTCGATAATAATGTGCATTTTATTGATCTGAAATAATTTTAAATTTAAATTTGTATAATAATATTTGAAAAATACTTGGAAAAGAAAAAAGGACCTTTTTTCGTACAAATTCACCCACTAAGACCATAATGACGTGATTTTGGCTAGAAATTATGACGGACGAGGGAATGCAGCCCATTTATTATCAGGTATAGTACAGTGAACAAAACATGTTTTGGCAATAGATTGCAATCTGCAAGTAACAAACTGTTAACCGAAAAATAACTCGCCAAAACACGCCTATATACTATTATATAGCTGACTTGTACGGTTTTGTCTGTGTATTGAACCAAAAAAAAATATTTATCTATAACAGCGTCTATCCGCCAAAGGAAGGTGAGGTAAATTTTAAATCTGATACGTATTTGCGGTGGAAAAGGAACATTTTCGAAATTACATCGTAAATAATATATGCGTTTTATAATTAGTGTAATTAATCGTTCTAAACGATACCGTATATCGTGACTGAAAAAAGAAAAAACACCGAAATTCAACTTTACTCGAAATCTTCGTCGATAATCGACATATCACGATAACATAATCGCCCTGTATACTATTCAAAATGAACACTATTTTAAACATACCGTCACAGTGTATACGTACGTTCTTCGTAGTTTATAATACAATATTATGTTATGCGTCTTGGTAGTCGTGTGCAAAGCTCACGGTCACACGAATAGCGTGAACTCACGCGACGTCGTTATTTGTTACACACACACACACACACCGCAGAACTTTACCCGAGACAATCGTTTTTTGAGTTTGATATGCCCCTTCCCCTCTCGTTACATACATTATATACACATTACATATATATTGGTATATAGATATTAGATGCGTTCATTAATATAATTTATAACTATTATAGCGTATTACGTGTATTACGTATACGTTCGTCAAACTATACGATTTACGGTTTTCAGTGCTTTTTTGTCAAAGTATATTATTATAACGTACAAAACGATTCGGTGCGTTGCATATCGTGAACGCCAGTGTTACAGTCAATACATTTTACCGGACCACGGTTTACGGTTCTCCGTCACCAAGACTTCGCGCTATTCCTGCATTGTGTTATGGCATGATATACATTTAAAAAACGAATTCATAATACTGCAATACTTTTCAGAAGTGCCTATTAAAGTCCCCGAATTCCTCGTGAAAATGCTCTAGATAATGCCTTTACGTAAAATGCGAAATCCCAATGATTGCAGCAGGAAACATTTATATCCCGGCGAATATTATAATAATATGATGTCCTCCTCTCCTCCTTAATCAAAAATAATAACATACCTGAGCTAGGTGGATCACATAATATTATTATAAACCGTTATATTTGGGGTCTGAGTTTTTAATATTTTAGAAAAACCGTTGGAAATTTATAGACATTATTATTTAAACAAAAAATCATCGAGCACCGGGTGATAAATCGTTATCTTTAAAAGTACTGTGTAAAAAATTTGAAATATTTTCAAACTTTGACCAACCGAAAAAGGATTTTACTAGGAAAAATAAAGCTCCGTCAGTTATGTTGTAAGTAATAATTTGCAACGCGAGGAATAAATTGCGAACAAATATTTTTTTTTTACTAAAAAATCTGCTACATATACATAAATGTTTAGTTCTATCAGCCACAGAAACCAAAAGGATACATATAGGTAGCATTTAAAACTTATTTGGCGTACAGGGAAATTCACCGTTGACAGTGCAGTGACGTGTGCGAGATGGATAGGCGTTAGGGGTTGCATCCCATTTTTGTAAAAGTACAACGATTATTTATTTGGTATAATTATATTTTGAAATTATATAATATTTCAACCAAGTTATACTTAGTGGGGGGGGGGGAAGCTCGATCTATTGAATAAAACATTGGACATCGGATCCGGCTTTTAAATTCTCATTAAATTCTACGATTTATTCCCGAATCGTGATTACTATTATTACAACCTTCCCTCCCATTGAAAATCCCCACAGGACACGGCACTGACTGCGTGTTACGTGAACCTACTCGTACGTCGCCCACGTAAACCTACCGATACGTTTCCGACGTTTAAGAAATAAATAATCCTCGAATATAGGAAATTTACCCTACATTGTATAATAATACTTTTGCCGGCGGAGAGGCCGTAAATTTATTACCGGCGCGACCCGTCGCCACGACCGTTATCAAAAGCCACGTATATTTTATACAGCTGCGACTATTATTGTTACTGCGCACGATCACAATTATATTCGAATAGTATTTCGTTTGTACGATATTGTTAAACTAGAAAAAAAAAAAAATTAAAACTTCAAGGAAGCACACGGCGGCATTGTAAAAACACATTATATTAAAATTATCGTGTGCGGACGCCGCAGTCGCTACTGCAATAGTCGACTTTGTATACGCCGTGCTCGTATTGTATGTCAGTATACACGAGTAATATCGTCCAACATAATATTATAAAAAATATCAGTAATGTTTTCGTTTTTCGATTTTATCGTACTTTTCACGGGAGGGACCCACCGGAACACGCATGGATATGGATATGTGGATTACAAGAACACAAGATTTGTACGAAATGTAGAGTTTATGATAGGTCCGTTACGAGACAGTGAATCGATAATCATTCAGGGTTGTGCGCCTTGCGTCAAGGCGCAAGAAAAAAAATATTGTGTGGGTTTCGATATTTTCGATTATTCCCCTCTTGCCCCCTTAACGAGTACCCGTGACCTCTAACAATGTGCAGAGACAGCGGAAGGGTAGGGTGGATTGGAAATTGTTCAGGCAGGGCTTCGCGCTTTTAAAAAAATATACAGTACAAATACATACATAACATTATACATATATTACAAATACTAGACAGTTTAGGTTATTTCAATATAGATATATTTGGGTTCGGATTGACTAGGTAATATGTATTATATTTTCGATGGACCTATGCCGTGATAACATTTTAGTCGGTATAGTTCCTCTTCCTCAGTTTGCCTCTTATAACCCCCCCCCCTCTTTAAATAATGTCCGCGCACACATACAGGAATATCCATTATCCAATAAACAAAAGGTCCTATGTTGTTTGACAAATGTTCAATAAAAATAAATGATGTTTCTTCAGATATAGCTATATTGATTTTCAAATTGATATAGTGTTTTTTACGATAGGTAAAAACTACTGGCGGATTTTAAATCAAAAGGTCTGTTTTAATCGAAAACTTCGTAAATACTATTTTATAGCGTTTTGAATTCAGTCGGTATTTTATGTGGTCATTTTTTTTTTTTTTGAAATTCTCTTTACTTTTACGGTTAAAATGGGAAAAAAGCTTACCAAAAGATCGAAAATCGTCAAATTTCGATCCGGGTGTGGCCGTTGCGTATAGCAGACGGTCTTTTATTGATTCGATAATTTTAACAGACGCGTGAGTCAGTCGCCGAATCGAAAATGCCGAAAAAACTAAAATACAATTCTTTACGGCAAATTGATACAAAATTGTATACGGAGCGTATCTGAATGCCATTTCGTGTAATGCAGATTACAGTATTATTGGAATTCTGATCCATGCAGCAATGATATCGAAATAAAGTAAATAATTTATATCGCTCAGACGATAATATTATTTGTGCATTTTTTCATTAGTTTCCCAATATTGTACATTCGGACTCGTACACACGAAATATCGGAAATTTGCATATTGTAATAGCATTATTGTACCTATTGTAATATCGGACAATATCTTTTGTTATACCGGCCGCGTACAATATACGACACTAATGTGAAGATGTTTTCGATCGATACAATATTATTCTAAACCCGTCGCCATAGGTACATTGACAAAATATGATGTACACTATTATTTAAATTGAATATTTTCTGCGTATACGTTTCGCCCTAGTTTGTCGGTCGGCCTTCTCGCATTTATTTATTTTTATTTATTTTTTTTTTTTTTCTGTCATTCGAGTCTACGCGGTTACCGACCGCGGCGTTAATTCGTCCGGCGACCCGACTCGGCGAAAGATTACAACCCCGGTGTATAGTGGCGGGGATATTTTTTGGCGTGTCTTCGCCGTAGTACATTATTATGTATTGTAATATTGTTGTCGTTGTACAAACTATAATTGTTTATTTTTCGATCGATATTAAGTACGTGTATTATGTTGCACAGGTATACGTAGGTACGTAGGTACGCACTGTATACGCTATCGTATGTATTATACAAGTATAATAATATGTAATAACAAACTGAAAATCGTTTAAATATCGCGCGTCGCCTATATTATTGTGAACCGGCGTAGCGCATATTTAAAGCGGAGATTCAGAAAGATATACATAATATATCCATATTATCCCCGTTTTTAGTTTCGTATCGATAATTTACATAAACATAATATACGTTACATCTTTGCGTATGAGTGTTTCATGTTCATTCTTAAAATTCGACTTTTTCGTTCTTTTTTTTTTCGTTTCGTTTTTTTTTTTTTTAAATGATATTATTACCTACAGTCAATTTGTTATGTTAATACATCAAACAAAAACTCGAACGGTTAATATATAATCTAGTGTATAAAAAAACCAAAACTCATCAAAAACACTGTAGGAAGGAATGTTATATTTAATTTTAATTTCAGGATAGATTGAATTATAAATTATTTACGAAAATCGATACAGAAATTAAAATTGTTTTTTTATAATGGTACAATGTAACACGATTTTAAAATTCAATATACCTCCTTCCTTGAGAAAATCCTAAATACGCCACTGAATTATTATGAAAAATGCCGTAATCTGATTTCAGGAGTCCCTTGGGATATCGTCTAAGTTGAATATATTATAACAATAGTAATGAATTTGTAGAAAATTCATTTTTTTTTAGCTGATCGTAAAATATAAATTTCTCAGCATACGAAATTTGAATCATGTAACAACGAATTCAATTATGAAACTTTTGTTTTACATTTTTTGTCGTCTTAAAATGTTTAGGTCATTTTTTAACTTTTAAGGACATTTTTGCCTTTTTAGTTCATTTGATACCATTTTTATCGATTTCTATATCAATTACATACTTGTTTAACTAACTCAGGTGATGTATGGCTGCATACTTTAAAATATTAATAACAAGACCTGTAGACGATTAAGTATATTAAATACCTATAACTACTACAAATTTTAATTCGTCGCGATTGGATAAGATAAAGCTAATCACGGTCGTTAGTTGCGACATTGATCATGTAACGGATTTCCAGACTAAAGTCCCGTTACACATTATACTGCAATTTTTTAAAGCATTTAATCCACAGCCCTATTTATTTATAAGATAACACAACACTGTAATTGTCAGAAAACATAAATTGTTTTTTTTTTCATTCCTACGCGTGTACCGGTGTGCCGGTGATATTTTTTTCCGGAGAAACGCGGTATAACGCGTTGTGTTTTTTTCGCATTATAGTTTACCTCCCTCTCTATGTACGCGTATAAAAAAGAAATTGTATATTATTACTATTGTTATCATTTTTTTACATATTGTTATTATTATAATAAGAGCCCGTGCCGTCGTCGCACTCTTGTCGGGTTTTCGCACAGTGGCAGTGTGATTAGCTGGTTGTGTACAAATCTCGTATTTAAATATTCACGGCCACTAAGCACATTCCACTGGGCGCCCGGCCATGTCCGCAACGACGAAACGACGACGAAGACGCCGAATATAAGCCTGCTGGAAAAACAACTGCAGTATTACAAATAAGGTTAGGTTAACTTAGGTTATGGGCTAGCAATACCTAACAATAATAAACATTGTGTTATAATAATATTACCGATAAACGTTATGTATTTCATATTGTGATATAATTATATAACGGTTGTATGTATACATTAAATATTGTAAGAAAGGATAAAAAGTACACTCAAGGGTAAAAGTAATAAAACCTATAGTATTTAGACCGCATAAACACGTCTGCCTCGTCTGCATGTTTATTATTGTATTATATATTATTATCATATAGTAATTAAATGTGTAACGTATAATGTTTATGTAAAATAATTAATATGTCCTACTTTCGTTTATCAAACTATAGATAATGTTTATATTATATATTTCATTGTAATAATCAGTGTTTAAATTGAGGAGGGGAGTAGGTGGAATTTTAAATCTAATAATATGAATACCTCATACTACCTAATAATACCTAAAATATTTTAGCGTATCTATGCCCTTTTTTCCAAGTTTTGTTAATCGTCCTAAATACCTATCTAAGCGCCGTAGGGAAAGTGGTAACTTTAGGACTCCTAGGACTTGTACTTGGTAAACGTAAACTATAAACCTATGTTAAGTGAAGTTATACCTAACTGTATTATGGATAGTAGGTATATTGTCTAAATATATTTATAGGTGATATTTACAACAAACTGCAGTATTAATTATTATGTCGAATAGTATCCAATTTTACTTAACGTAGAAAATAATATTAATTTGAAAAAAGCAAAAAAAATAAATAACAATTAAAAACTATTATTATTAAGTAAACAATAGTTAAATATCAATGGCTATACACTGTACAAGGACTAAACGGTTTAAAACTGCTTGTTATTTAAAAGTAAAACAATGTATTTATCGCCAAGGTGGATCCATTATTGTTATAATGTGGGCGTATGACAAAATGCAATCAAACTATTCACTATACTATTAACTTAGTGATAGATATTTGAATTATAACTATTACGTTTATTTGAATAAATTATGTAAATGTTGAGTCTATGTTACATTATTGATCGACATCATTAGTTTAAACTCCAAACACAATTTATGGAACCTAGTATGATATTTTTATTGTATTTATTATTAAGGCTTATTTAAAATGCAGTGAAATAAAGAGCTTTCCGCACAGATCATTATAATAAACGGATTTTTTTTTTTATAGAGTAGGGAATTGGATAATTTGATTTGCCCGCACGCATACAAAATCTAAAATAACAGGAATCGTTATTGCGTAAAATTGTCCGCTTTTCCCAATTGATTAGAAAACTACAGGAAAAATAAAAAAAAAAAAAACGATATCCCCAACATTCGTTTCAAAATATAAATATTCAAAGTATTGATGCTTAAACTGTACATCATCATTGATGTAATAAAACTGCAGTATGTGTGCATGTGTGTACGTGTGGATTATTATATAGATAATATTATTACGGGTGAGACGTTAAGGTAAAAAATCGAGTTTAGACACGCAAGAATCCGTACAACGGTGACGACTATACCTTTTTATCAAAATATAATTATATTATATCGGCCAAAGAACCTATAGTATTATTATTATTATTACACGACAGTTGCAGCTTGCAGTCGTGTTGAAAGTACGTTTTAATATCGCAATGGTGATATGACATTATATTATTATTTTTATAATATTATTCTTTAATACTTGTAACACTGTTATTTTTACACGTGTACGGTGTGCAAATAATAAATTATATTATGGCGAGGTGCGCTAATATTGGAATAAAATACTTTATTTTTGGTCACTCCGAACTCGATAATGGTCAAATGCCGTTTATTAGATTCCGGATTTAACGAAAAAGCTATATTATTATAGTAGTGCATAGGTTGAAAGATGTATTTCACTTTTTAAAAATGCTTCGATTTTGCCAGACCTTGTCACAAAAGATGACGTTTTTTCCCCAGATGGTAGGTACTTTTTTTGAAAATATTAACGAAACTTTCAATATGTTTTCCTAAAAAAAATTATAAAATTCTCACAACTAATGTCGGTACATTAGTTTGTTGTATTGATTTTTGCGTTACCGTGACTACAATGAAAAGAAAAACCCAACTAATACTAGTAACCTTATACTTATCAGTTTACCGAGCTCCGCCTAGAATCGTATAAAACAATTTTTCCCTCGTCTCTTTCGTGTGAAATATTTCTCTATAATACACTACACAGAAATATTCTCTATATTATATAGTAGAGTAGAAAAATATCATACCAGCTTATAGCTGGAACGAGTATGTATTTATTATTATGATAGTGTATAGTGGTTATTAACCCACGATATTAAGTGTAAAGGTAGACAAACAAAACTCAAATATCCGGACTCGCCAATTATATTGGTCCGACCACACCGCGGACAGTGAATTTCATATTTTTTTTCCTTGATTGTAACGTACAAAAAACAAATTTTCGGACCTTGATAAATATTTTTGTTTTTTGTATCAAGGATAACTTAACTAATCAAACAAATTGCCTAACTGGCCCAACTTTGTTCGTATATGAGAGAAACTAATTATTATTTATGAATTTTTGAATTCTTCGGATTTATTTATAGCTATTAATTAAGTTTGTCAACGTTTCATTCTATTATATAGTATTATTCAGTGGCGCCCTAGTATTTCATAACACGTAAAGCATGATGTATAATTAACACCCATCTAGTCCAAAACAAAATTGTATCAGTTAATATTACTTAGAGTTTTTAGTATTTAAGTAGTATAGTAGTAGTAGTTATTTATTATTATTTATACTGTATTTTAAACTTCATTGAAATACACACTTATATAATATATATATATATGTATTTTTTTTTTTTAGTGCCGCTTACGTTTCATTTGGAGGACTGTTGATGCGACTGTTGGGAGATCCAAACAATTTACACGGTTTTGAAGTGGATCAATGTGTTTACTTGTTAATGAAAAAATTAGCTTTTTAATGTTACCTATAATAATGTATAATAAAAATAATAAATATTCAATATCCTATCGAGTTTTTATATTAAACTAGCTGCTGTCTCGCACGGCTTCGCTTGGGCTACTTTATTAAACGAAAAATAATGTGTAAAATAAAAACGTGTTTTTCAGTGACTTCCTGTTTCCATTCCTATTCCTATCACTGCTGTTAACCGTTGTTGTCCTTAAATGTTTCTTTCATTTTCTTTTTATCTGTTAGGGGTTGAATTTTGAATGAATATTTTCATAGTGGATGCCTCCTAAGCGTTTCCACCCTATTTGCACATATGCTTAAAACCATTCACGAGTCTCAAGGAATATGTTTGCCAAATTTGGTGTCAATTTGTTCGATAATTTTCGAGATTATAGATCACGAACAAACATTCATTTTTATGTAGTAGAGAAAAAAAAGATCTAATACTGTCGATAGGTGTACCACTGTTATAAGTGATAAACCTAGAAGATAGGATATATAAAGTTATTTACTTTATATCTGTAGGCAACGATAAATCATTGTTAAAAAATAATTCCGAGTGAAATTCGTTTATAGATGATTTGAAAAGCCACAATATTTAAAAATTTTATCTTAAAACTATTTAAAAATAAAATTATTACATTATACTGCATTTTTTTTTTCCATTAAATATAACTTATAATAAACCTCCTAAAAAAAAAAAAAAAATGAAATGCTTCTTCAGAATCTAGATTGAAAATGAAACTAAAACGGTCTCTTTTTATTTTTTGATTAAATACATATTTCAAGCAGAAAACATTACGTATAAATTAAAAACAATGTAATCGTTAACGGCACAATGCGTTATAAATATTCGCCATTTTTCCTATAATTTTGTTTTTTGTTTTTCCTAATTATTTTAAAAACTGCTTGGATAAAAATCAAAAAATTACATCCTACCTTCATCAACTAGATCCAAATTCAACACAAAAGGCCACTTGGCATTTTTGGATTGGAACAAGATTTCTGATAGAAAAGAGTTTCCTTGTTATTTTATATTTAGGTGTGGAGTACACTCAAGGGTGCCACTACTATGGCACTATAAATATATAGACTAAAAATAATAATTTTTTTAAATAGTTTGTTCAGGGATGTTATTTATGTTTTTTTCCTAATAAGAGAAATGTACAAATCGGATCAATGAATTTACTGTTAAAATTTACTTAACTATTTTTAGTAAGTAGGTCTTAAATGTGTATGATAATAAAATGTTAATTTACAGCATATACAATTTGCACTTTTATAAAAAATGAATATAAATTATTCTTATTTTCTAAATGAAGGTAGGTATAGGTGTTTAGAGATTTTTTTTATTCTTTTGTAATTACTATTATTTAATATGTTTATATTACCTATATTATAGATTAATTTATATTTTAAATTTTCAAAACAAATACATAGATAATTGTTTTAGATATAAACACTAGGTGTACTTATACACTGGTATGAGCAGTATTTCAATTAAATTTAATGATAATCAAATTTGTGAGGATAGAACGCCCATCCATAAAGAAAGCCATGTTGTGACATTTCTTCAACAAACATTTGATTTAAAAAATATTGTATTGTTTGTCTATATCGATAATTTTCATGCAGTTAGGTCAAACTTTACAAAGGCATTCAAAGAATTTGGTATTCAGCCATCTCGTGTAAATTTAGAAGGTACATAGACAATTTTTATTTTTGTTTGTTTTTTTTTTTTGTTCTAATTATATTAAAATATAAAATTAGATACAGAGTTGGAAATTATGTTTGAAGTTACTGATGTTATTTGGCGTCTCTGGGTCTGAAGCTGTTATAAAAACATTTCACTACCATTACATTTATTTTGTGCGAACCATACTTTGAATTTAATAGGCACAACAGTTTTATCAAGAGTCATTCAATCATCAAATATAAAAAAAGTTCAAAATTTCATTATACATAAATGTCAAATTGTACAGAATACCTCTCGACGTCCAAAAACATCAGAAATTATAAATAATAATATATACTAAATTTTAGTATATATTATTATTATATATTATATATATTATTATTATTATTATATTATTATATATAAAAGGTTTATCTTAGTCCAACTCATTGTAATAGTTTGTATGACTCAATAATATAGTTCATAAAAATCAAAAAAAATGTTAAATCATTTTTTAAATATTTACTATAAATAATTAAGAAAAGTCTTTTTAAGATACAGAAATTGAATATATATATGAATATATTATATTCGGATGAATATAATTGAATATATTATAATATATAATGTTATTGTTACGGTAACAGATGTTACCAACTTATCAATGATTTTTTTTAAATTTTACTTTGTATAGATAATCAAACAACTTAAATAATTCAATTGTAATATTAAATCAAAATAATAGGTATATGATTTTTTTTTTTTTAAACAAACATGTCCTAACTAACTTAAAATTTAAAAGTATTTTGTATTTTAAAACACAAAATGATGTATTTTGCCCATCCCTGTTTATACATATATTATAATTTTTATTAAGTATTAGCATAAATATTAAAGACTATAGTCTATAGCTATGACTGGCTTGTGCAAAATATTGTAAAAAAATAAAATGTTCAAAATAGGATCAGTAGGTGTAGGTAGTTCTAGAAATAATTACCTTCAACAAATAAACACATATAGGTACAACTTTACCTTGAATCATTTGGGAAAAATAAACTAAACTAATAGTTTACAAACTACGTTTCTAATTGTATATTATTAATCCTTTAACAAAAGCATTATATGTGCTACATGGAGACAAATTTGTTTGTCTGTAATTTCTACTCCCAAATAAAGCAGTTCACAAATCGTTAAACTGATTAAACAATATTGTCTTCTGCAAACCTCCTACTATAGCATTGAAAGGGTGGTTAAATTCCATTAAGTTCCACTAAATATTATTTAATTTTTTTTCAGGTTTAATAATTTTATTATATCCAAATCATGTAAGATACCTAGCTGCTACCTTAATTATACAGGCTTATGAAAATGAAGGAAAAATAAAACAGGCTCTTATAGGAATTATAACTAATAATACTTCTAAAAATTAGTAAATATCTCAAGTTCTCAAAAAACAAATTAATCAACCACATTTACTATACTGAACAGTTTGAAAATATTGAATTGAAATATACTATATATATACCTACTAGAACACATTATGTATTTAATATATATTATATATTAGTTGTGAAAAAATATAATCATTACATAAATAACAATATATTTTTATCAATAGATAATTATAAAAATATATGAAGTACCTGGTTTAAGTATAAAAGTAAATAAATAGATAGTTATAAAAATATAAAACTGTAAATAACAAATTTTAAAATAATAAAAAAATGTAAATGTGAAAATAATAATTTTTGAATGGATAATATTTAATAATTATAGAACAATAGGTAATAAAAAAAGGAATCAAATAAAAAAACAATATTAAAAAAAATTAACAATTATACCTAACAACCTAACCTAGCCTAACAACCATTTTTTTCATGTGATATTTATTTTAACAACTTACTACTGTAGTACTGTAGTTGTACGATTATAGATAAATCTATAATGGTACCTACAATATGTTAACATCGATCGTTATCTATACGTACTTATATTATTTTATTCTTACTTAATTGATAATAATAGATATGTACCAAGGTAATAATCACGGTCTTAGAAAATAAGGTCGGACAACTATAATTTCTTATCAGCATTCCGCTTAATGAGGCAAATTCATTTCCAAATTGTACCATTGTAAAATTGAACGCTACCCCACATACTTATTTTGAGATTATGATATTATATTACTTTAAAAAACCATGAACCACTGATATATATTATACAAGTCGGCTGACTTCGTATATTGTTGTATGCTTCGATATGTCATCCGGCATTTGTAAATAGGTTAATGTTTGCTAAAATAGACCTCTTTTTGAAAATACCTATAGATCTATCTACCTATATGATATTCACAATTCCCATATTTCCAATTATTCCAATTAAATAATTTTTGATATTTTATCAAGTGAATTATTAAAAAATTCATCCAAGGAATGTGCTTTAACAAGGACTTATGTATATTTTTGTATTTTAATACGGTTTATTTTTTATACATAGGTATTTTAAGTTTTTGAAGAAATGGAGATTTGTTTTAATTTCTATTATATTTCTTTTTTTCTTGTGAAAATTGCCCCATCCTCATTCTAATATTATTATATTAGACCATAAATCACACTATTGTCTATCATGTCACTAAATGTCCATCATGTCACCCTATTGGTACGTCACTGATACAAATTAAAACGCATGTTAATAAAATTTAATTTAAATAAGATTAAAAATAATTAATGATAGAATAATTATAAAAAAAATTAATTTTACCTACATACCTTCCTCGTTCGCGATACGCAGTGGATTAAATAAAAAGGGACTCAAACAAATTCCAACAATGTCCAAAAAGCCTATTCAAATATTTTCGAAAATTGTTTAATGATTTTAATAGACTTGTAACATAATAAAAGTGTGAAGTTAGCAAGACAAAATTAAATGTGAAATATCTAATAGGGGCTCCAAAATATTCCAACAATGTCCAACTTGTCTGTTTTTACATTATTGTATATTAGGGTGTTTCGGGAAGTTTTTTTTAATCAAATGTCCTTCTTCATGTGATATTATGTTCCTTGGAGCAGTTGTTCTCAACCGGTGGGCACGTATTAGTCGTATTACTGTGATGTGTGTAGCAGGGACGGTTCCAGAGACTTAGTTGGGGAGAGGCCAGGTCATATTTTTCAGAAAACTGTATTAAAAACAAGTTTTTTTTTGTGTACAGTTGTTTTTAACAAATAAACGGACTTAGGGGGGTCGCAATCCCTAGCTCCCTCCCCACTCCCTGAAACCGTCACTGCGGAAATCCATATCTGAGTCAAACATCTAACCTATAATAAACGGTCATCGGTTAGGTCAGGTAATAACAGTCAAATCAAAAATGACTGCGGAAAAAACGACTCCCGATAAAAATGATTACACGCCGAAATTGCTACAGCAAAAGAAAAATAATAAGAATCATGTGTCAATAGTCGATACGTGTATAGTGTGTAAATTTATGATATTATGCTTTATCTTTATCTGATGACTATATATATAGTAGTATAAGTACATAAACCGTCCGTCGACCAATAATGGAGATTTCCCATCTGGGAACGGGAACCTAACCAAATCAGTATACGTTCCTATCTGATATAAACCGTATATTAAAATCATATTAATATGGGTTTTTCAGGCGAAATAAAATTGTTGAGTATCTGATTAAATAACCGGGATTTTACTGTTCTCAAGGAGAATAATATGTATTCAACAAATTTAAATTTTTGAAAAGCCTTGGGGGGGGCTATGGCCCCGTTCCTCTCTCCCCGGAGCCGCTCCTGTTGTGTAGCCAAAAAAGTTGTTTATTTGTACGTAAATAAGCATATCCTCAGTGGTAATCACCGTGTTGTGATCATTGTGTATGTCGTTTTAATCTCATTGTTTTAAGTGTGTCGTCGTTTTTATGGATTTGAATTAGAGTGTCGTCACATAAAAAAGGATGAGAACTACTGTCTTAGAGCCAAGTAATATTCCCCATTTTTTTTCAGATTTACAGAAAGTTAAGTTCTTTTTTTTTATGTGTTTAAATACAAATTTTTAAAGAGAGATCGTTAGATTAAAAAATATCAGAATAATCTGAATTTTACCTCTCGTTTAGACCTTTAAAAGTAAACTTTTGGAAAATCTTGATAAATCAACCCTTTTTTTCAGGAGTTGAAAATATTTTTAAATTATTCTCCATTTAGCTACCAAAACAGGATTGCTACCAATGTGCTGTATTTTAAATAATGGATAAAGTAACTAAAATGTATAAAAAAAAAAGTGACCAAAAAGTGACTTACATGAATGCATCAATAAAACGAGTTTCATACGATTTATAAATATATTATTATATTATAATTTTGTATAAGATGCATTGTATAATTTGTATTGGACATAACCATGAAATAGTAGTAAGATGAAAACATACCAACTTTTAAATGTAGGTAGATAATTAGTTATAATTATTAAATTACAAATACAATCTAGGTGTACCTTCCACCTTAAAGAATTATTGATTATTTTTAAATAATATAAATAGCGTTATTGCTCCTCAGATTACATTTATTAATTTTAAATGAGAAAAGCCATATTTCAATACACTTTTAATCTAAAATCAACACACAAAATACAACAATAGTTCAATTGAAAAAAGTTTTTTTTATCATTTGATAATAATTGTAAATATTATCTTCTAGAATTGAAGGTAGATAGCGTTATTATAAAAAAAGGCGGTAATAACGGAATTCAGCGATACCAATATCTCAAAAATTAATTTTATCTTACTAGTGCGTAATGTATGTAGTGAAATATTATTTAATAATTACGAATGTATGTTTCACACTTTCATTGCTTAGTATAAAATCATTATTATTCAAGTAAGTATTTATATATATCCAAATTCATGAATAATTAACTATTTAATAATATTATTAATCTTTTGTTAAACACAGAAGTACCTGTAGTGAACATGAGTAAGCTACAAAAGTTCCGGATCGAGTGGCTCAAAGATGAGATATTTGCTGATTGGTTGAAAGAAGTTCCAGAGGATATTTCAAAAGCATACTGCAAATTTTGCTTGTGTACAATTCGTGCAAGACGTGCTGATCTCATTAAGCATACAGAGGAAAAAAAACATAAGTCTGCAAAGACAAACACAGTTCAAACTCATGATAATAAATTAAAGTTTGTAACACTTTATACTATAACTGCACAAATTGAAACTTCGCTATTTTTATTCATAAGTGCTTACTGTTCAGTGCTTTCTATAAAACATCTAGGTCCTAGGAGAGCTATGTAAAACAAAATTCTATGGGTCGAAACGAGCTGACAATTTATCTTCATATATATTACAAAATGTACTTCAATAACAAATAATGTTTTAAGTTCTTTTATTAAAACAGATTTAAGAGCCTATATTGGTTAGGTAATAATACGTTTATCCTGTTTTTAAATAAATTAACAGATATTTCAGTTGCGAAATATTTGAGAATTACCATAATATATGTTAGTACACAAAAAACTACTATTGCTGCAATATTTTTTGGATTGGAAAAGTAACTGTTATTTTTAAGAATGATATTTTATTGATTCAAGCTATTGTTGAATCAGTAAAACTGGCATTAGAAAAATATCACATAGATTTAAAAAATTTAATTGAAAAATGATGTAGTAAGGAGAACTACCAAAGAGGAATCTGTACCCTTCTATAATATTTTTCACAATAGATCTCAATCCAATTATAATCTATTAATAAAGGATGCTACTGATAAAATATACCTGGCAAAATGGCAACCCTAAAAGACAACTAAACAGAAACTGGTATTGTGATTTTCCTTATAACTAGGGCATGGATGTTGTTGATTTGCAACTTTTTTTAACTTTTAAATTTATTGCTAAGTAAGTTTTATATATGTTTCATGTAATTACGAATTCATATCTAGAAGTTTTAAGTACAATTTTTGAAATTTTTCAATTTTGTTGAATTTACTCATTTATACAACTAATTTAGCTATAGTCAACACTTACAGTTGTTTAGATAAAATTATGCCATAATATCACCAGCCATAAAATTTATTAATGATATCTTTATATTGATAATTTTAAATTTGTAGGTATTTAATATAATACAAAAATAATTTGTGAAATGTGACTGTTTGACTTGTTACAATTTGTTTTCAGTCACTCCGTGAATTTTAAGTGATTGTGTTCTGTTATTGTTTTATACATATGCTGAAAATTAAGCTAACTACTTCCACTGTTGTTAAAAAATTGACAATTTTTAACATTTTTAGTGCAATAATGCAAACAATTTTCCTAGTTTTTTACTATTATAACATCCATGATCTATTTATAACTAATATAGTTTTTAAAAAAACACAACTGTCAAGTTGTTAATTGGTAGCTTCTCAAATAAAATATTTAATTATTCTAAATACTGTTCACATACTTATTGTACTTGTTTTTGTACAGATTGTATATTATCTTATAAAATTAAAAAAAAACTTAACTTATTATCTGTGTTCATCTCATATAGCTGGTTTTATTTATTTATAATAATTAACAACTATTGTAATTTATTTGTAGCTCCAATTATTTGTATTTTATGAATAGGATAGTGGAAAGTGAAAATATGTCAATAGTTCCAGTTGAAATTAGTTCTAATGACCATGAGCAAAATTTAACTTATCAACAGCGTATAGAAATACAACGTAAAGAAAACATGGATTTGTTTGAGTAAGCTATTTATTTTATAATAGTTTGTAATTATATTCTTTACCACAATTATTAATATATATTAAACTTGTATCTAGTTTTTACTCCCTTACCCCCCTTTGTGGATTTTATAATCGTGTATTAATGATACATGATACATAAGTCAAAATATCAACTAATCACTTTAAACTTGCATTCCTATAATAGGTATATCCTTTATAAATAATCCATGGTCAGATTTTATTATTTTCTCAGAAGTTGGAAAATAGATATTCACTATATGACCTAATACGACTAAGAATTTTAAATAATATTAAATGATTTTATTTACCCAATCTGATTGAACAAAGTGTTCTGAAAAATAAAATCAGAAATCTAGTACTTTCATATTATATTATTACTACTTATTTGAATATAATGCCAGTACGTAAAATAAGGATAAAAATAAGGATTGATGAAACTCCAGGTTATCCATTTAAGTTGATACACTTATCATCTAGGAAATTAAGTATTAACTTTTTTCTTGAACATATAAAAAACAAACAACTGCAATTCTATATTTATGTTATTTTTGTCACCCTTATTTTTGGAGGTTACTTTTGATTTTCAAATGGCAATCTATGTTTAAAGATCCATAAATAGATGGTTAAAATAAATTTTAGTGTTGACATTTTTGATGTCTGTCAAGTCATTGACGAGATATTCCACTTTTAAGTTTAGGTTGGAAGAGAGTAGTGGTGCATTATTAACATGTCACATGCAGTAACGATAATATTTTGTAATCATAGGTTTTCTTTCTAAAAAATGTTAGATAATTTATTTTAAGGTATCTAAATCATTAATATTTTAATATTTCAGAACATTGGGTGTGTATGATGTTGCTAACAATTTAATGGATAGCTTAAATAAGCATCGTGCTGACAAATTGGCGAATAAGTTAAATAAAAAACAAACTGGTGTAAAACGAAAAAGGTATTTTGATAATACTGTAGTTCTATAACCAGTAAAACATTTGAATCATTATTCACTTGGATTATTTATGCATTAAATATGACTTATAATTTATAAATATATATACTTCTTCAGATCACCTTCTAGACGTTCACAAAGAATAGCTAAACTTCTGGATGATGGAATAGACATTATTTCTAACAAATTAAGGTTAGAATCTAATGAAAATGTACATAACACTGAAGAAAATATTCCTAAATCTAATCTAAGTAATCAAAGTGAGTTTTTTTAATTAAATAATAATTTTTTAAATATATATTTTCGTGTAATTTTTAATCACGAATATAATTATATTGTTAACAAAGTTTCCATATCAATTCCTCAAGAAAATATCACATATTTTGAAAAACTTAATGCAGATATATCTATTGAAAGAGCAGCAGAAAATAGTGTTCATACATATGCCATTGATAGGTATGATACAAGTTTTAAATAATTAGTTTATTAATTGTAAATATTATTTTAGACATTTTAATTGCATTAATGTTTTTCTATTCAAAATGTTTCAATAAATAAAAACTTTAATCAAGTTAATGTTTTTTTAGAAATAATTTTAATATTCTCTATTTTTCTTTTAAAAATATGTCTCTAAACTATAAATATATAAGTAAGTATTTTTTACTTTTTGTATTATTTTTACCAATTTCCTTTATTAAATTAGTCTAAACTTAAAAAAAATGTATACAAATTATTATTTTAGTAAAATTTAATATAAATTAGGTTCTGCAATTGTTATGACTTTAAAAACTTTTTCAAGAAGAGTTCTAAATCAAAATATTTAATTATTTGATCTTTTATGTATTTCTATTCATATGTAGTTAAACTATATTTTTTTTAAAATCAAGGTATACTAAGGTATTAGGAGGTCTTAAAATGCACGGGCCTCCTTTAAAAGTTGCCGGCAACCGTATCTACTCCTTAGCTGTTCATCCTTCTGAGACATCTCTGATAATTGCTGCTGGTGATTTGAAAGGATATATAGGTGAAAACAATACATTAAAAAAAAAAGTTTTCTTTAGGCATTGAATATAATATTATTGTTTTAATATTTGTTTAGCCTTTTATAACAAAAATGATTCAACTAATTCACCAACAACATACAAAGTACATGACACTTCTGTGAACTGTTTATCATTTTGTTCATGGGATCCATATAAGTTATTTTCAACTAGCCATGATGGGTCGGTCAGATGTGGTGATATTGTTAATTATACTTTTGATATGGTTAATCAAATTGATTTTTTTTCTTCTTGTAACTGAAACTATTCAAACTTATAGTATGTATGATATTATTCAAATAGATTTATAATACAAAATTGTGGGTTAATGATACTACTAACAGTAACTTTTCAACTCATACCACATGGCATACTGAATATGAAAGAAATCTTCTTATTGGTTGTGGTATGTATTACAATTGCTTGTTTCACAAGCCTAATATTGTCTGTTCAATTACGAATTGATTTTTAAGGTGCTGGTCGCGTGGATCTAGTGGACATGCGGACCCCTAATAAAATTCAGAAGACTATCCAGTGCCATAAGAGATCTGTCCGTACAGTGCAGTGTCACCCATTACAAAACCATTATTTTTTGACATCATCCGCATTGGGGTAGCTAATAACTTAATTTTAATTAATATTTATTTAAATGTTTTTCTACTCAAATAGGTATTATTACATTTGTTTATTTAACTTTTTAGAGAGGTATCATTATGGGATATAAGAAATGTAACTGACAAATCGTTAAATCCAGTTTTACAATTTGAACATAATGCAGTTATGAAAAGTGCATTTTTTTCACACTCTGGCATAAATATGATTTCAACATCTACAGACAATTTTATCAGAATATTTAACACTAGTGAATTAAATGAAACAGCATCAAGTATGTCAGAAATAAATAATTTTCTTTTAAAATAGAATCAAAAAGTTGTACATTTTATAAAATTATTAATAAGTCTCATGTAGGGTTTCATTTCACCACACATACATATAATTACCTAATTACCCATTTTTAAAAATTATAGATAGTATAATATTTTATATTTCAAAATAAATGACAATATACGAATATTTTTAACTAAATGACATAAAAAAAAGAGGTGAAACTAGGGACGGGTTTACCACTGTTGCAGATGGGAAGTTAGGAAGATAGGATGTATAAAGTTATTTAATTAATATCCATGAGATAAACCATTGCTAACGAAAAATGTTTTGGGGCGAAATTCAATTAAACATGTTTTTAATAGGTCATAAATCATAATATTTACAATTTTCATCAAAATTTGACATTAATTCTTTAAATAAAAAAAAAAAAACCTCTACACTTTACTTTTTGTTTATCAATTAGTATAACTTGTGTAAACCTTCTGTTAAATTATCAAGCATCTCTGTTTCGTTAAACAATAATATCCACATTGTACCTACTGAATAAAAACTACATAAAAAAAACTCACAAAAATGAAATGTGTATGAACAGCTCAAAAATCTCCATATTATTTTGTAAATTTTACCCCCTCTAGAAAAGGAAATTATAATTTTTTCTGTCAAGTCTCTACTAATATTTTTAACTGAATCCCAATATAAAAATAAACTTGAAAATAATAAAATCACTATTTTCGTAAAAATTGTGCATTCTTTCTATATTTTTTTCATTTTATATTTTTCCAGTTTTTTCAAATTGCTATGATAACTGCTTGAAAAATCGAATAATGATTTATTTCGTGTATAAGAGCAACTAAATCTAAAATGCAACAAAATAGGTCTTTTGTTATTTTTTGATTAAAACAATATTTTTGGTACAAAATAGTGTATATAAATTAAAACCAATAAAATCGGTAACGCTGTGGTCCGCTGTAAATATCTGTTATTTTTCCTATAATTTTGTTTCTAATTTTTCCCAATTATTTTGAAAACCACTAGGAAAATTATAAAATTACTCTTCAAATACATCAATTAGATAAAATTTCTCTCAGAAAATGTACCATACTTGATATTCCAAGCAAGTTTTCTATTCAAAATGTTGCTCACAGAAACAATAAAAAATAAAAAAAGTAAAACCAATAAATCTCTCACTACATTGGAATCTAAAATTTAAATAATTTTACTGTGAATATTATAGAATTTTTGACTGAAATTTTATTTTTTAGAACCAGTAAAGAAAATTCCACACAATAATAATACAGGAAAATGGCTTTCTGTAATAAAGGCAAAATGGACCCCAGGACGAGATGACATATTTTTTACTGGTTCAATGATATCAAATCCAAAAAGAGTACGTAATTTGTACACATTTTTTAAAATTTTATTTAATTAATGACAATTTAGTATAGTGTATAATTGCATTTGTTTTTGTTTTTATTTATAGCTTTTGTTAAAAGTAAAGAGTTAATTTTTAAAATAAATTACATTAAATCAAAATTTGACTACAGTAAAAATAATGTATATATAAATTAAACATAGTCAGACGTTATTAATACGTTATCAATTAACAGTTTATAGTTAATTTAATTGTGACAATGATTATTAGTCGGATTTAGGACTTATTGCACTTAAAATTCACAATAAAAACCTTAAATACATTAAACAAAATATCATCATAAATCGCATAATCAAAAATAGTAGAAGTGTTTAAAAGTCTCCCATCTAACGATTAATCTATTAAATAAAATTGTCTAAAACAAAATAATTTTTTTAAATCAAATTTTACATCATATAAAATAATAAAAATGGGAAATTTTAAACCAGTTCTTGCTTCTCTGTGGATTTTAAATGCAAAAATCCTGAACCTTAATTAATAAGTAATAAAATTAATAATGAATAAATTAAACAAAAAAAACAGGGTTACTACTCGATCACTTTTTCAACTAAATGCCTTTTTTTTTTTCTCAAGTAACTAAAAGTCTCCTTTTTATATTTAAAGTCACTTTTTTCATATTGAATTTGTCTTACATTTTTTAACCTTTTTATGAAAAATATCAAAACATTAATTTTATATATAGAAAATAGCTTTTTAATAGCTTAAATAATTATTTAAACTTTACACTTTTATTATTCCATTTAGTAGAAATTCTTACAACAACCGAAATTTACTCATGAAGTTTACTGAATTATTATTAAGTTCCAATAATATTTTATTCCAATAAGTGTATCATATTTACTTTTTGAAAGTCCCATTTATTACTAATTTAAATACTAAAATATATCAAATTATTAAACTTGTTATGTGGTTTCAGATTGAAATGTATAGTTCCAGTGGAATATTACTGCATAATCTAATAGATAAAGATTATATGACTACTTATTGCCCTGTAATAGAAGCACATCCTACTCAGGCTATTTACGTTGGTGGAAATTCATCAGGTCGTATACACATTTATAGCGCCTAACGAGTAACAACAAATGAATTGATTGTTATTCTTTCTTTTTTTTAACTTATATATTTTTACTTTTGAATGTAATAATACTTAAAATATATAATTAAATTTTAATTACATAATATATACATTTTTTAATAACATATTAATTTAATACATTTAATAACATAATTGTCTTAACTATGACCTAACAATTTACTTTAATGTGTTTTGTTTTGTGTGTCTATAAACAACTTTTTGAAAAGAAATGTGGTCTTGATTTATAAAAAAACTTTTCTGAAAGGAAATTGTATCTTGTTCGTGTATTAAAGAGGTAATTTTTTGATTTTATAATGAGTTTTCAAAATAGTTGGGAAAATTCGAAAATAAAATTATAATGTACTATCTGTAATCTTTAATGATGTGCAATTTGAAAATTGTATGCCCAATGTGTGGTGTAATGAGAGAAGAGTGCTGTGTTTTCTCTAATTAACCGACATCAGTGGAAGATCAGTTTTTCATATTGCTACCCCACTACTTTTATCGTTTATTAATAAGTATAATTAAGTAAATATGTTTTATACCCTACATGAGACTAGTTAACAATTTTTTGATTCTATTTTTAAAAAAAAATATTTATTTCTAACATACTAGATGATGTTGCCTTTTATCGAATGGTGTTAAATATTCTGATAAAATTGTCTTGAGATGTTGAAATCATATTCATGCCAGAGGATGAAAAATATTTCTCTTTTCAGAATTGCATTATATTCAAGTTGTAAAACTGGATTTAATTTGATAGTTAAATTTCTTATATAGTATGTAGTTGATTGTAATATTTTAATTTAGCAGTGTAATTAACCCTATTTTTATTTTATATCTATTTGAGTGATGTAATAAATAGTATAAGTTTAAATAATTACTGTTAAAATAATAAATTAGTGAATCGATTATACTGACCATATCCAAAGTATGATTAACAATATCACTACATTTGACTGATCCATCATGGCTAGTTGAAAATAACTTAAATGGATTCCATGAATAAAATGAAACACAGTTCATTGAAGTAATAGTATCATATAGGTTAACAACTTTATAGAATTCCTATACACATTAAACCAACTTGATTTCCTAGCACATATGATTCTATTAAAAATACATATTTTGTATAAACTTTCATTGAGGATTGCGTACAAAATTGAAATAAATGTTATTAAATATACAATTTTAACATATACTATTTATACTACTTAACATATATAATACTCATATAATTTATGGATATCAACAATAATATTATGAGTTTCATTGCTTGGTTGTCCTTATTAATTAATTTTGAATAAAATGTATTTGTAGAGAAAATTAAAATATATATATATATATATATATATATATATATTAATTTTAATTCCATTGAATAAAAAATAATAATACTTCAGTGAAAAAAGAATATAAATATTTAGTTTTTAGTGTGATTTTTGATGTTAATTTTTTTATATCTGATATTGATATTTTCAAAATTTTAACTTTAAGATCACTATATGATATCTGCACATTAATGTTTTAAAAACGAACTGTAAATAACCATAATCAAATACGTATTTGTCATAATCCAAACCTTCCTAATTTATATACTATATATAATGTTCGTAATAGATAATATTTTGTTCAAAAACTTGAAAACAATTTGTGATAAGCTTATATTCATAAAGAAAATTATCAAGATACGAAATTATGAAATTAACATACTTTTATTTATTACGATTTAAGATATAATATTACAATTTTAAATATATATTTAGAGGGCTGCAAAAAAATGTTACGCGGTTGTTGTTGCCTCATATATTACAACAATATATATAATCAAAGTTATATTACTTAACTATACCATTTTTCCTGGTTCAAAGTTTACTGAATCATAGTTTGATTATTAAATATAAAACTACTACTTTACTTGTAAATTTTTGATGAAAGTTAGTTTCACTGTTAAACTGTGAACATCTTTCATTATATTTTATGTTAAGTATAAGATTATTTGATAAATCATATTAATTCATATAACATAACTCATTTATTTGTTTAGTATAAACATTTTAATAATTATATACACTGGGTAGAGACATAAACAGTGTATAAATTGTTTAAACAAAATATAAACATCAATACTAATGGTATATTACTAAACGCAATTGTATTTTGTAAATATTGTAACTGTAATTAATAAATTTTATTTGTCATTTTTGAAAATTCAAACTACTTTAGGATATAAGTTTATAAGGTAAAAGTAGAATAACAATCAATATTTAAATAATTGGAATAATATCTCCATAATATATTGATTTCATTAATTTAAACATTTCATGTTGACAATAAAAGTTGAGTATTATGTTTTACTTTAGAAAATTGATAAATTTTGTATATTATGATCACCGTTTAAGATCTCCAAGATCTTCAATGTAATCTTCATCTATTTCGGACCATTTTTCAGGTATTATGTCAAACAAATCATCTTTTACATCACCCTGTATGACAATTTCATCTTCACCCGTTACACTTGATCCACAAGCAAACTTGGTACCGAAAAATTTAGCTGCAACTTTCAAATCAATATTGAATGTACTTAAGCCAGTCACAACGGTCACAGACTTCTTTTTTCCTCTTGGTGCTCTCGATAAACATACCTAAATAAAACAAAATATATTTGTTACTTTACTTATAAAATGGTATCAATAATTAAATTTTAATATAAAATGTAGACAGTAGGCACTTACTTGTTTAGGTCCATCATCTTTCTTCTTCGACTTTACCATACCTTTACCACCACGTTTTTGGCGTTTTTTTTCATCAGAATCATCACCACCGGCAGTCCCACTAGCTGTCATAAGTCTACTAAACTCATCTGGTAGATACTTTTCAAGCCACTCACGACACCTGTCCGTGTCTGAAGAAAAATCACAATACTCAAGTGGAAGTGAACAATTTCCACAATACAATACTTTTAAAGGATATGATAGTTTGGAATTTGATTCCTCTTCAGCCATAATTCTTAAACACCAATATAATTATTAGAATAAACAATTACCTATTATGTTTTTATGGCGCAGTTAAAAAGTTTCTAACTCAAAACTGTTCCATGTAATGATAAGTTATTGATTATTTTGTTAAAAAGTTTCAAATAACACAACATGTATTTTCAAGTATTTAAATTGAAATGTTTATTCTAATTTATTTTTAAAACTATTTTGAATTATTTCAAAACCTTTTAACTACACAATATAAACATAATAAATATAACTGACTAATTACAACAAATATATTATTATTTAATATTAGAAATAATATAATGGTATTCTTATAAAAAGTAAGTTTTTTTTATACAATCAAAATTTTGTATTTTTAATATCAGTATAGATTGAAATAAGTCCAAACCAATGTTTAAGTCATACTTACTATTAATGGTATAATGGTATTTATAATGAATTTATCACAATTATTTATATAAATTAATCAAATTTGAACGATAAATTTCAGTCTATAAAAATTATTTATATTTATAAATGACAAAAAAAAAAAAAATCAAAACTTCAAAGTTTAATATTTAATCTACATATATTTTTATTCACAAGATTCCAATAAGATATCAAATTTAAAAACAAGTATAATCTCCACTATAATCATTGGTAATGATAATCTATGAGAATAACCTATTAAAAACATAACCTAAATTATGATAACACTACTTGCTTAGAACATTGTCTCTATGACCCTATGACACTGAACTCTTGAGTTGGAGTGTAGAGTTCAGTACCCTATGATCATGATGAAACCACAGAATAGACTGATGTAATTTAGATTCTAGATTGAACCACCATAGGAACAACCATAGTTTTAATAAACTATCACTAGAGATAAAAATTTCGTTATCAGTGGTTTCTATTATTTTTTCATGACCTGATGACCTATATTATTTCATATTTTTAACTTTCAACTAGTTTTTGTGGAAATTTCAGTAGAGTTTTCTTTGGTTAATTTATAAAATTAAACTTACTGTGCTTTAAAACACTAACTGATTATGGCCTATAGCATATTATAATTAATATAATAGAAAAGTAGTATAACAACGATTAAAGATATAGAGAAGATGGTCTGAATGCCTGATAGCTTCTTTTCATAGTATTAACTGTGATTAAAATATTCAAGATCCTTAAAGTTTTAATAATTAATTCTATATATAAGTATATATACATTAATGAAATAATATAATTTAAAAATTGTTCGTGTGGAACAAAATGAAACTTGAATAAATATTTAATTAATTATTTTCTCTTAAGACGGCTTAACTAATTAACAGATAACGAAATTATAGGAACATTGTTATCTCACAGAAATTGGCGCCAAAATACAATCACATCAATACAATGACATCGTGTCTATCAGTATTCACTATTTAGTGCCTTTATAGATCACCTATTCTTGAAAATTGTATTGTTTTGTTCATTAGTTCGTCAAACTCTTATTATTCTTGTATCGTATTTGAAAATAAGTGCAAGTTTTGTAAGTATTAACAAATAATGTTTGATATTAATAATAGTTCGTACTTTCCATTTTTCTTAAGTCTTCTCTTTTGCCTTCATCTCATATATTTGTGATCAGACACCCTGATCTTTAACTTTCACCAGACCCAATCTACCTCATCATCTTTATATACACCAGCCATCCTCATATTATCACCTTAGTATGTTTTTAAAGCCTTTTAATTATATAGTAAATAAATATATAAATTACAAATTTAAATACAAAAATAAAAAATAAATAAATTAATGAATGCGTTGCCTGAAGTATGATAAATGTATTATACAACCGGTTCCGAATTAAAAATTCATCATCAGGTATATCATAGTAAAAATTTAAAACGCAACTGAATATAAAAAATTAAACGTAGGAATACATTGAAAAATAATTATACAAATTGGTTGTTTTACATAGAAATAACTTATTTTAATAGGAGAGATTATTTCAAATGGGTTATTATTAGACATAGATATGTTGATATATATAAAATGTTTGTACAAATCTATTTTAAAAATAATATCTTATATCAATACATTTTAGATAATAAATAATAACTAAATTTTATTAATATAACTAATATTTTTTACATATCGATGTCTAATAATAACCCATTTGAAATAGTCTCTCTTATTAAAATAAATTATATCTATGTAAAACAACCAATTTGTATAATTTTTTTCTATGTATTCCTTCATTTAATTATTTATATTCAGTCGCCTTTTACATTTTAACTGATATACCTGATGATGAATTTATAATTCGAAACTGGTCATATAATACACTTATCACAGTATAACAGATAACTCATTCATTTATTTATTTTATATTTATATTTTTATTTATGAGTATTAACCATTTTAATAATTTCGTTTTTACTTTATTATTTTATTACTTTTAATTATGTTACTTACATTTTTAATTAAATTACGTATTATAAAAATGGATTTAAAAAAAAAAAATGAAAAATAACTGCTGTTTAATACTTAGTATAGAGTTAGGTAGGTACGTACTTAAGTAGTTTAATAATTTTATAAGCAGTTCAATTTGGTACAGCTAACTGTCTAAATATTAAAATAAGAACATTATATTTTCTTTTAGATTCTGAGTGATATGAGATGTAGGGTGATAAAATATTTTGAGGGGCTGTAGCCCCATTGTATATAATGTGGACTAAAATTCTGAATTATGGGTGGGCGATTGTCCATATTAGACCAAGAAATTATTTTTTAGTTAAATATTATATTAAAATAATTGTATACTTATAGAAACTTGGAGCATTTATATTAAAATATAACTAAATTACTAATAACAAAAGTAAGTAAAATAAACAATGGTTTGAAATTTGTAGTTACCCATATTAAATAATAAATTTCAAATATTTTTTCAGAACAATGGTTGTTTTATTAAAAATATTTATATTTTTTATGAAATTTTGAAAAAACATTCTTAATAAGTTCACATAGGATTTAAATAATATTTTTTTTTATTTTATTAAAAAAAAAAAATTAGAATGTTTAAGAAACCTAAATTTACAAATTGTATATAACAAAACGCTAACATTTATTACTTTTCCGAACATAGGTACTATAAAATAATTTACTTTATGGTTGCTAATAATTTTGTTTTGCTTGGTACATCTTGTTATGTATTACCTTCTTACTTTTAAAGATATTTGTATAATATTAATTTGATATTATTTTTACTTTATTGTTAAATGACCTAATTATAAATAAATATATTATATTTTACAGAAATTAAAATTGTTATGGATTCTTTTCTAAAAACTGGAAAAATCAACCAAGATCAACAATCTACAAGTAGTGGTATTAAGAATAAAAATGATTTTCGAGGAATTTCTGATAGCACTACACCTTGGGTGGAAAAGTATCGACCTCGTACAGTAGATGAAGTATCAGAACAGTCAGAAATTGTAGCAGTACTAAAACAGTGTTTAGAACAAGGTGCTGATATGCCTCACTTATTATTTTATGGACCCCCTGGTACTGGAAAAACAAGTACAATAATTGCGGCTGCTCGTCAGCTGTTCGGAGATATGTATAAAGACCGCATGTTAGAATTAAATGCATCTGATGATCGTGGTATTCAAGTCATTCGAGATAAAGTTAAAACGTTCGCACAACTTACAGCTTCTGATAGACGAGCAGATGGCCGACCATGCCCACCATTTAAAATTGTTGTTTTAGATGAAGCTGATTCAATGACAGCACCTGCTCAAGCAGCACTCAGACGTACCATTGAACGCGAGACTAAGACTACTAGATTTTGCCTTATTTGCAATTATGTGAGTTGTATTATAGACCCGCTGACATCGCGTTGCTCAAAATTTAGATTCAAACCTCTGTCACAGAATGTCATGCTCTCTCGTCTTGAACATATATGCAAAGAGGAAGGAGTTATGTGTGTTCCACGAGTGCTAGCTCGATTAGTTGATGCTTCTGGAGGAGATATGCGTAGAGTGATCACGTCGCTCCAAAGTACAGCTAGGTTAAAGGGAGAAGAAGGTATTGAAGAAGCAGATGTACTAGAGGTTGTTGGCACTGTGCCAGATATCTGGTTAGACCGCATGTTGGAAATGGGTCGTACTTATAATTATCAAAAAATGGATAGTTTTGTGGAAGAACTAATATTTGAAGCTTATTCAGCAGCTCAAGTTTTGGAACAATTCCATGATAAAATAGTATTTGCTGTAGATTTAAAAGATAAAGAGAAGGCATTAATTTGTAAATCTATAAGTATTTGCGCCTACAGATTGCAAGAAGGATGTAGTGAATATGTTACTCTTTTACATCTTTTATGTTCAGTCGCTAAAGCATTAAAGAATTAAACAGTTATTCATTACTAAGTGTCAAACTAATTTTATATTTTTATATAGATTTAATAGTAAAAATGTGCACCTCCCTATTGTCTTGTAATACCAGTATTAATATATTTATTTTAATTTGTATCCCCTTTCAATATAAAAGAAAAAAGAAAGTGTTTTATTATAATTTTTTAATTAAGTTATAATTCATAAATAGGTTGATCTTTTTTATTACAATATGTAAAAGTGAAATATTCCATACTATATACCACAGTTTTCATATTGGATCTGAAAACTAGTTTCATTGCTAATAATAATTGTTATAGATACTCTAACATACAATTTTTGTACATATCTATAAATTATACCTTATAACAACTTTTATAATAATAATTATAAATAGGCATTGGTAATCAGGCGTATTATAATAAATTGTTTAAAGTAAATTATGAACTAGGTTTATCTACAAGAAAAACAATATCAATATCAAATAACAAATAACAAATCATACTTTTGATATGGTCAGTATAGTTAATTCACTGATTTATTGTTGTATACAAACTGGATTAGTTACACTGTTTACATTAAAATATTACAATCCATTCATTCTACATGACATAGGTACTGAACATGAAAAAAATTGTATTACTGATTGTGATATGTTGTTATAGAATTGTCTGTTAAATTATGAATTAATTTATAAGGTGCTGGTTGTTTGGACCTAGTTGGCATGTGGACCCCTAATGAAATTCAAAACACTGTCAAGTGCCATAAGATAATCAGGGTGGCCCGAGACTTCTGATACATACAGTATATTGTGTTTGTATATTTTATTTTTTAAAAGGGTATCATTATAGGATATAAGAAATGTAACTGTAACAAATTAAATCCAGTTTTTCAATTTGAATATAATGCAATTGTGAAAAGTGAAATTTGACCTGATGAATTTCCTCTAACATAAATAGCTTGAGTAGGATGTGCTTCTATTACAGGACAATAATTGGTCATATAATCTTTATCTATTAGATTATGCAGTAATATTCTACTGGAACTATACATTTCAATCTGAAACCACATAACAAGTTTAATAATTTGATATATTTTAGTATTTAAATTAGTAATAAATGGGACTTTCAAAAAGTAAATATGATACACTTATTGGAATAAAATATTGTTGGAACTTAATAATAATTCAGTAAACTTCATGAGTAAATTTCGGTTGTAAGAATTTTCTACTAAATGGAATAATAAAAGTGGAAGTTTAAATAATTATCTAACACAAGAAAATAGAAATCTATTTTATAATACATTAATATGATAAAAAGAATATAACTTAAGAATTGTTTATTTTAGACTATAAAATGTTATTGTAAAAAGAGTGGAGAGGTCATAATTATTAAGAATGGAAATAATCAATAATATTGTATAAAATGTAAAAAAAAATGATTATCTATCGGTCACATCCACTTAGTGGAAATCCCCTATTTCAAAAATGTATCAATTTTGTTAAAATTACATTTCTTACACTATATATAAAATGAATGTTTTGATCTTTTTCATAAAAAGTATAAAATAAATTGTATTTACATAGTACAATATTTTATTTTTATGTACATTTCAATATAAAATAATAAAATGTATGACAATTTAATTTAATTTATTTTATGCTCTATTATTTATTATGTTTTATCATAATAATTTTTTACTAGGTTTTTGTGAAATTAATTGAATATCTTTGTTTTTGGTGTGGTAGAAATATAAAATATAAATATAAGTTTGTATAGGTTAGGTTTACAACCTAGTAAAGGATTTGTCAATTGATCAGGTCATTTGAAGATAAGAATGAATCAAATAATTAAATAAATTGAACTAAATGGATACATTAGCAAAAGGAAACTATCTTGGAATTTTGAACTTTAATTTGTATTACTTCTATTGTAATTAATGAAAACTATCACATTAAGTTTCAAAATTCTTTTATTTTTCTAATTATATTATAAATCCAAATGTACTGATAATAAACATTAATTTCTTTTTTAGTAAATTAAGACAACTAACTGAACATTCTTTATAATACAGTTAGGTAGGTAATAATAATTATAATAATATACCCCAAATATTAAACATTACATTTATAATAAAAACACATTTATTTTTGACTTATTAAATTAAAAGTTTTTTGAATAATAGGTACCCAAGACAAAATAAAATAAATATGAACATATTTATTTTTTAACTTATTCTGTATAGGTAGGTTAGGTATCTATGAACGTAGGTGCTACAGAAAAAAAAAAAAACTTAAAAACATTGTGTTTATGTCTGCATTATTCCTATTAATATTATTATGTAGGTATTTGAGTGATGAATATACGAGGGCTAATCAAAAAGTATCGAGACTGATAATATTACTCGGCAACCGAGCGTTGAAGAGCAAAACGATTTGTAAACCTAGTTTCTATGACTTATACTGAGCACATCTATTCGTATAAAATCTCTATAAACTTCTTCGTTTTGATTTGACGATATTTTTCTAAAATTTGTTTTTCACGTTTGGCGATTTCGTAATGAATCCAAAAGAAGCGGAACTCGCTGCCAATCGAGGGCACATTTTCAGTTTTTCAATTGACATTTAATGGCAAAAACCATGAAATGTTGCATCCCTCTGAAACTGGAAAAAAATGCAGACAAATTTTCTAAAATCTCCAAATCTGTCAAGTTACTCTTCTTTTGGGTTTATTACAAAATCGCCAAACTCGAAAAATATATTTTACAAAAATATCAGTGAAATCAAACCGAAAAATTTTATAGAGAAGCAATAAAAACAAATGTACTCAGAAAAAGTCATAGAAGCAGGTGATACCAATCCTACTGCTCTTCGATGCTCCTTTTCCGAATGATACTTCCAGTCTTGATACTTTTTGATTAGCCCTCGTACAGTACCTATTTATCTAAGGCTTAGTAATTTAATTATATAGGTACCTAATTAAATGTCCTACCTAAGTGTGTATCAATAAAATGATTTTGTCTTGCCTCTAACCTCTTTGAAACTTTATTAATAGATTCAATTTCTTCCTTGCTTTTGATTTGAGTTTTAGATTTCCTATGGTTTGAACCCTCTTCAACCTTATTAATGATTCACGAGCCGAACATTTAAATTAAATATGTTTTGAATAAATTTAATAATAAACAATCAAAATTGAACTGTCAACAACATTTATTACACTAAGAAATAATACGTTTTGAAAATAATTTATTTCGTACAGCTACATTTTAACATGGGAAATATGACGTTTTGTTTCAATCTGGAAATAGTACCTACGTTCTGCATACATAATTTCTAAAATAGTAAGTTTTGCTTCAATTATTATTAAGTTTACACTAAATAACATGGGAATTAGTGCGTTTTGATGCAATTAGGATGTACGAGTCGGATATTAATGTAATTAGTATTAATCGATAAATCATTGATAACGAAAAACAATTCTGAGTGGATTTCAGTTGATAGTTTTGTTTCGTCAACATCATATATTATATCATATTATGGACAAATAATTACATGCCTAGACTTTATATATTATTATTATCTATTTGTTTAATATTGTAGGTACCTATTTTCTCGTTTTATTAGGAAAACTCCTGGGAACATCACAAAAATGACTTCCCTAAAGTACCTATTTACTGTTAGATTTCCTTTTCGGAAAAGTACTACCATTGTAAATCGGAGCAAAATTACTGGTAAAAAAGTCGTTCATAGAAAAAAAAAAAAAAAAAGGGCCGTAATATTTCACTATATACATTCGTACATTTTCCCGTTTTTTTTTTTAAAGTTTTTCCAATATCATATAACCATAAGTTTCTTCGTTCCACAGACCCGGATTAATGTACAGACGAGGTAGGCACGTGCCTAGGGTTAGGCAATAACAGTGGCTATTTTATTTTTAATAATACACTGCAACAGAATCCCGGAATTGAGCATAATACAATAAATAAAACGGATTAAGTAACATAGTTTCGAATTTTAAATCGCTTATAAGTTATAAAATAATTGTACAGCTTAAGTTTTGGTTATGATATCAGGCGTATCATTTTAGATGACCTAACTTCAGTGGAAAACACGGGAATGTTAACAAATATGTGCCTAAGGCAATGATTGGGCTAATCTGGTACTGCCACTCAGAATCTAATATTTTGATAAGACCGTTACTTATAATTTGTTTTTGTCAGTATATTATTACCTATACTATTTTTAAATTATATTTAGTAACTGAGAGACTGAAGTGAAATTTGATGTTACATTCGATTTTTGTAATAGTATTGTAACTAATGTTAATTAATAATTAATGATTACCTAATCTACTTAGGTCTTAAGAGACTAAAGAAAATGTTTAACTTGTGATAAAAAACAATAGTTTTTACTAATACTAAAATATATAGAAAAATATTTTATTTGATATTTTGCTATTCTTATAATTATAGTATTGTTTAACAAAATCGTTAATTTTTAGATGGTCTTTTAAATTTAAAAAAATATTTTTATTCGTACTTATGGACAAAATTATAATAAATAAAAAAAAAGGTTGGCAATAACACTATAAGTACAAAAATGTTTATTTTAGTTTTTAAAATGATAAACCCAACGAGAGTGAAATTTATTACGGGTTAGAAAAAGAATCATAGTTGCATGAATGAAAATGACACTTCCAATTGTAAAATTTCCTATCAAAATCCAATCATAAAATAAAAAAGGTTAGATGAAAAGAAACACACATCATAATAAAATTAATAGGTAGATATATTATAGTACCTATAATGTATTAGCATAAAATGTGTACCTAATGATACACATTATTTTTAATCAGTAATTATAAATTCTTTGCTGCATTTAGAATCTAAAAAAATTTTTGATTATTTTTGCTCAATTGATGTGTGTCTGAAGATTCATGTTGGTAAGTATTTTGACCTTCCTAGAAATTTTCTATTTTGGTCCTTAAATCAATTAAGTTTGAAAAATTTACAATATGGTCTTTACCAATCCTTTGTTTGCAAAAGGGGAATTATTTGAAATATATTTCCCAGATAATCTATAAATTCATATTTTAATAGACAATTGTACATAAAGGTAATGTAAATATCAAACAATTATTTTTGAAAATATAGTAGGTTTAGCATTTAATCTTAAAATTAATGAAATAATTTTGTTTTTACTCCTATTAAATCCTGAATATTAAAACACAATTTTTGCTTTAATGGCAGTTATTAGACAAGACAGGAAATATTACCACACACAAATTTTTCATCAAGAAAATTATTAGAAAATCAAAAAATGACCTATCCAATACACAGACTAGACAAAATTCGCTACTAGAAACACCATTGAAGTTGATGATAAGAGGAAGCTTTTTGACAGTTTACTAACATAGAACAAAAAAAAATTAAGTAAATATTATAAAACTAATACATTGCTCGATATGCTCAGAAACGAAAAAAAAAAATTAAAAGTTACTTATATAATGTAGAAAGCGACGTCCAAAAATGTTTAAATATTTATTATTTTAGTTTAGATTTCTATATAAAATACTAGCTATTTAACTGCATAGAATTTAATGACTTCTCTATGGGATGAGTGAAAGGTAAAAAGGTCTTTTATGTAGGTAGATATCAGATATTTTTAAACTATTCTTGTTAGTTAAAAATCATATGATACTTATTCACAGGAATAACACATCGCGTAGGCAATAATAATTTAATTTTGAATTTTGCTCTATTATTTTGTACAACAAAAACCAAATTCATTTGATAATGTAAACATCAATTACAAAAATAAATAATATATCCCTTACATTTTTATTATTTGACATTGTAAAATAAATCCAGAAAAAAATAACAATCCCGTATTTAACTATAAATCATGGCACTTATAAAATAGTAAAATTGTATGTACATACATTTTAATTGTATACCCGTAAAAGATGGTTTTATGGATTTACGTTGAATAGATGATGTTAATCATAATATATATTTGTTTTCCAATAAACCATTATGTTGAATAACACATAATCATACAATAACATAATTCATAATAAACTTAAAATACATATGAGAAATTTGCTAACCTATCTATAAAACAATTTAAACATTAGAGATTATTATTGCGAATACATTATTGGCGAGTAAGGCTTAAAGACATTATTACAAAGCCGTACATTGTTAAGAATAATATTAATAATAATAAAATAATACCTATAGAGTAGGATATAGGAAATTAGTATACGGCTTATTTCTAGTTTCTGTGTTTTGAGCAATTTTAACATTTTTTAAGAAAAAGTATGGTTAAAATACATAAAGGTAATTGGAAGACTATAATGTAAAAAAAAATGGGATTTCTATTGGAAAATAATTAGATGTAATTAATTCAATTTTTTTTTTACCATGTTAAAATAATTTTTTTAGTAGAAATATTTCCGGATCAAAAATCCTTATCAAATTGATTTGTTTAGTTAAACACTAAATAAAAAAATAGAATAAATATCTTCGAATTCAACACAATTAACAGTATTAAATATTAATACATATTAACATTTAAAAATTATGATAACTGATAATCATAATATAATTCACATACAAGTAGATATAACGTTACAATATTTATTTTCTATACATATATATATTTATAATCGGCTCAAAATTTGGCACACATATGATAACTTATTATAATTAAATTATATTTTTATATATTTTATTAAATTATATATATATACATACACAATCACAGTAAGTTATCATATTGTGCTGTTTGGCCAAATTATGAGCCGACTTAACAACGGCATCATGAGGAAATGTTATATCATGACTGTTTAAATCTTCCGTTCATCTCACTAAGAGAATTCATTCTTTGCATATTAGGTTTTTTGCCAAATGGCGATTGTACACCAGATATAGGCGATGTCGAATTGTTCACAGCCATATTCATTGCTTGATTTGCGGCCTGTTCTATCCCTTTTTGAAGAAAAATTTCATAACTTGGTTTCATAAACTAAACAAATTGTATACATCAATAACCGTAACAATAAAACAATTAATAGCTTATTAAAATTCTTACATTATCCCAAGTGATATTGGCAGCATCATCAATAGCTTCACCTATTTCTCTGTGTTCTCCACTGTACCTGTAAACGATGTCAAGTTTTGTAACATAAATGTATTTATTTGAAAAAATAAAAATTGTAATATTAAATCCCTTTTTATAATATATTTACCTTATATAAGCCCATAATATTAAGATGAGAAGAGCAATGCCCATTATTAAATTAACACAACTAGCTATAGAGTATAATCCAAAGAAGTGGAATAATCCAGAAATGAAATAGCATAAAACAGCTATTGCAAAGAATACAGCTGGCGTACGTGCAGATTTAAATATATTTTTGCTTTCATTGTGGGATTTAAATTGTAAATATTCTTCATCAATATCCTAAAAAAAATGGTGTGAAATACCTTCATATAATAATTATATTATATATAATATACAGGCTTACAGTTTCTAATTTAAGTTTGTATGACTCTGAAAATTCATCACCACCCATTTTCCTCTTAATAATAAATTGTTCCATAGCCTTGTCTTTGCTTTTAAAGTGTTCCTCGTCTAGAGAGTTAGTATTCATATATGGCTTGTTACCACCACAAGCAGCCTCCATCATTTGATGGTACACTTCTCGAGCTGATGCAACGGCAGATAAATTGTTTGCTTCAGCAGTTGCCTAACATTCATTATTAAATGTAATTATATTTTTATGTTTCACTTTTACTTAATAGTATATTACAGTAACATTTGCCTTACTTGTCTATCTATAGGTAAATTCCGTAATTTAGAATTTAAAAAGGAAAATATTTTTGAGAAAATCAAAAAGATTTTTTCACCTAGAATATTGTTAAACAAATAAAATACATGTATATAAGTTTTTTTTTTTTTTTTTTTTTTTTTTAAATAGATATAACTTTATTGTTGTAACTGTTAATATGAAGGCGGCCTTGTGATACTATTGAACATATTAGTATCCTTTAACAATTTTGTTTTTTGTGGTTAAAGTTTGAATTATAATTTAAACCTAACTGCCACAATTAAAATTGTAAGTAATGTAATTTTATTATATTATCTTTTAGAAAGACAGAAACGGCAAATGCTACTATGACATTTTCTATAAATCTAAAAACTTACAACAAGCATAGATTTTGGTTCCGGTAATTCATCTCCAGTAAACAAATTGATGTAAGATTTGAAATACTGCACTAACTCTTTTGCTTTTACTTTTTGTCCACTAATTTCTTTTAATATTAAATTTTTTGGCCTTAACAGCATAGGTATCAATGTTAAAAGATTCTGTTTGAATTCTGTTTCAATTTCTAAAAAAAAATACTTTTTAGTTGAATTTACTACACTTGAAAAATTAAAAATTAATTTATCTATTACCTGAAAGTCTACCATCAAATTTGGGATTAGTAGCAACTTTTAAACCAGGGTGAGGCATTAAATAACAACTGATCTCAGAAAAACAAGATTTTATATGTTTTCTAAGAGACTGAAGTTCTGGGTGTTGCTTGTCAGATATTTGTAATCTTCTATCTAATATTTGTTGACCTCCATCTGCACCATAATCTGCTTCATATGGAAAACTCCAGTCCCTAACTAAGAACTGTAATTTTTGAAATGGTTTTTTACCGGTGTCTTCAAGCGCCAAACGCCCATACTCGGTGAACAACTAAAACATATTTTTTTATTAGTAATTTGATAAAATTTGATAAAATATGATTTATTAGATTACTTGTAGATGTTGTAAATCATCTTCTTGTATATTTTGAGACAAATTGTAAATTTGTATTGAACTAAGCATAGTACTTAATGCAAAGACTGTAGCACAATCTTTAACAGTACTCTCACTATCAAAAGTACCTTGGGTGTCCAATAGAATAATGGCTACTTTTTCACCATTGTCCAAAGTAGCTTTAAACACTTCTGACCACATGAGTATACCCGTAGTGTCTCGTTCAGATCCACCACGCCAAGAAAACCCATCTAATGGCTTATCATCTGAACCGATCCAATGAGTATCTTCTTTAATAAGATTTAAATGATACTGAAATATTATTATATATTAAACATTACAGCTAAAATGTGTTTTAATCATTATTTACTGTGGCTTTCATATATCTGAGAAAAAAATCTAATAAGAATGATTTCCCTTTACGAAAGGCACCTGCAACAGAAACAACAACAACATTTCTATCTTTAATTTCGTCCTTGAGCAGTATTTCTTCAAGAGCTGCTTCATCTAGTATAAATTGATGATTTTCTTCTGCCAAGACAATAGGTATTGGTTTACCATGACCAACTGCATTTTGAACCGTTTCCATATTGTCTGTTAAAAAAATTATTTAAATTAATAGGTAATTTAATTATAAAATACAAAATATAAATTTAAATCATGTTACAGACTAAACAATATTGTAAATGAAATAACTTATTTTAGTTATGCATTGGTCCCAAAATAAAATACAATTATAAAATACTTAGATAGTAATACCTTAAAAGTGGTGCCCAGCCTAGGTGCTAAATCAATTTTATACGTCATGTAATAATACTATTACATAATAGTGTCTATAAATATAACTAAATGATCATGTAAGTACAAATTTAATTGTTTTTGAAAATGTACGACTAATGACAAGACATGTAGCACTGATTAGGAGTCTGGACTTGCTTGGTGGATTAATTTGAATGCACAAAAGGGGTTCAATCTTATCCTGAATAGAGTATTGTACAAGTTTAAAGGATATTTAAATAATTGTTTATGTTTAATCCATTATAAAGATAAACTCGATTAGGTATATCAATATTATTTTACAGTCAATTCTTGTATACAGTCAAATATCTTGGATTAGTCTTTATTTGAAAATTACTTTTCCCTATTAACAAAGAAATGAAAATAAAACCAAGTACCATTTAAAAACTAGACACAATGCAATTTACATTCTAAATAAAATAGAATAAACATTTTTTTTTAACATTAAAAAAATACCAGGTATACAAAATGTCTAACTACATATACTTCTTATAATATGGAAGTACCTAGGTATAATTAATTACAATGTATTATCATAAGGATAATATTAGTACTTATTTATTTTCAAATTAAATTTCAGATTTTGTTTTTAAAATTACAGTTATAAGATGTATATTAAATGAAAGATGAATTTACAGTACTAGTGTTGTATAAGTCTACCTATTTTTTCAAATTAATTTGTCATCACTGAATTATAATACTTAAAATCATTATACATAAGGAAAACTTTAATAAAAATACAGTATATTTTAATAATTTATAGAGTACCCAAAAAAGTTGTAATAATATATATTACATCATTGAAACAATTTTAATTAACAATAAATGTAATTCAAATTTTTTTAACGTGTAATAATAACATCCCTTCGTTCAAAAGCAAGGGTTGTGCTTGGATTAATGTATATTTGTAGGCTATTATTTGTATTAAATACTTAGGTTATCAAATAAATGTTGATAGAACACATACAGCACTACTGCACTAGTAGGTACCAAATTTATTTTTATATTATATCAGTAGATGACATTTAAATTATATATAATTAATAGTATTTAATATAAGTATTAAATTTGATACGTCATGTTATCTCTATTTTGACTGTAATTTTATAATTAAAATTATTGATATCTATATAGGATGCAAATAAATTATTTGGTAATATGTGCATTAATTACCATGAAATGAGTTTAAAAAAAAATGTGTAATGCTATTTAACCAGTTAGATTGTTCTATGATTTCATGTAACCTTGTAATAATACAACGAGGTCACCAAAGAGGCATGACAAGCTGATTTTCTCCTACTTAATAAAATGTATATATTTCTATGACACTTACCTACTTAAAGAATACAAATCTTTATGACAATGGTTAATAAACAAGAAGTTAGATATATTAATTAAATTATATATATAAACAAATTATGATTTGTACGTAGGTAACAAGAAAAACCACAATCTTGATATGTCATTTAATAATTATAAATATATAAATAAGTGCAAGTTTTAGGATTTTAATGATTAATTCAAAACAAATATAACAATTTTGTATAATAAGTATTTAGATGTGGAAAGAAGGCCAGATGACCTGGAAATGATATATTTTCCCAAATCCCAATTGGCCACTAGTCTGGTGGTATTTTAAGACTTTAGAAATACATGCCAAAGTTTAAATATATATATAATACAAATAAGACACACAAATTATTTCACCTTATTTCTAAATAGATTTTATAAAGTCAATAATAATAGTAAATGTCTAAATAAATTACACAAAGCTATCATAGTAACAATTAAAGGAGTATTATTGGAATAATAATAATAAATGAAAATGATCATTAATTTAAATATTATAACTTTATAATAAATGTATGTTTTAGTTTTGATTTTATTTTATGAGGTCAAAGTATATGTTAAGTTCAACTCCATTTTGATAAATGCCAATTTTTTTTTTTAAGTGCCCAACATTTTATAATTTATAGTCTATTTTGTGAAATGTTCAACTTAAATGGTTTACATGGATTTATCAAATATGTAAACAATAAATACTCGTATCCTAATAAAATATTTATTACATGTTTAGACTGTTGGTTTTGTTGAACATTTATCTATGCATAATAAATTATATTTTAAACAAGTAATTGTAAAGGAAAAAAATTATAAATATAGATATATAGGAGATCAAATTAAAAAGTTTAATATCCTTTATCAAAAAGATGATATTAATATAATATAATAATATATACTTATGTACCTATTATTAATATAATATAATAATATTTACTTATGTACCTATGTGTATATTAATTTTGAATTAATTCTTAATTTAAAATAATATTACAAAGTTTTAGGTAAGTAACTACTAATACATCAAAGTAATTCTTGGAGTTATATAAAAGAATAAAATCCTTTACCGCTGGCCAAAAAAAAAAAAAAACTATTACTGGTGTTTATAAAATTTCTACTAGACCCCAAGAATTATAAAATTTGGTTTAAATATATTACAATAAACAGTACCAAATTATCTAACAATCTACATACTTACAAATACTTAGGTATCTAATCTGGCATGTACTGGATTCTATTTCGGTACCGGGAAATTATTAAATAGGACTCATTTATAATCATAAATCATAAATATTATTTAAGTAGTAGCCTGTACAGCCTACCTACTTAAGAAATCTCAAAGTTACAATAAGTAATTTAAGGAAGTAAAAAATTAAAATAGGTAAAATCAAGGGCCTACATAAGAAGGGTCCACCAGGTAATTCATGATAATCTGGATGGCCAGTACGTGCCTGTACTTAATATTTATTTTTAATAATTTTAACGAAAATATTCATATTAAAACTTCTATCATTATTTAGAATGATAATAAGTACCTAAACAATAAATATACATTATAATGCAATGACATAATACCTACAATGAAAATATATATCTTTAGAAGTCTGAAATACACATAACTCACAAAAAAAATTCAATATGAATGAAAAATAACTTAAATATATATATATATACAATATAAGTATAATACATATATATATATATATATAAAATACAGATAACCAAATTCAGGTTAGTTAAGAGGATGCAATAGTCTCCATAATTTGATAGTAAAACTATTTTATGTGCGACAACTGTACTTGTAATACAAATCAGCTTCAAATTATAAATTTAAATTGTTTTTATAGCTTATTTTATCATAAAATGTATATTGTTAAAAACTTACTATTTTTGGTAGATAGGAGTTGGGTTTTAACGTAGTGAATAATTGTTAACATTGAATTGATAGACAATCAAACATAAAGACTTTAAAATTATCCTCAATTTCTTTACTATACCATTTAATACAAATGCAATAAATTGAACTCATAATTTTTGGAAAATATTATTTTTATATTTAACTATAAAACAATAGTTATATGAAATAATTGTTATGGTAAATTATAAACATTGTAATAAATTATTTAAAACAGAATAAATACTATTATGATGTGTCCTTATTATTAAGATATTCATATTTTACCTACTATATGGATAGACCTGTTCAAATTAACATATTTTAATAATTAATAATGATTAAAGAAATGATATTCAGCAAGTAGGTAGACTCTAGTCATTAGTTATTGATGGGTGGTTAGTTTTTTAAAAACTTAATCTTATACTTAACCATAAATATTAGAGTATTTCGGGAATAGATTTTTGGTGATCAGTTAAGGTTATGGGTACTATACCTACAATAAACAATTGTAATCTAACGAAAACCATTACACATTTTCCCCTCCTACAGACAGACGCACATGACTACTTTTCTTTCCAGACCGCTGGTTTTTTTTATCATCAATTAATTTTAAATTAACCTATGATATAGGTCCTGTGTATTGAAATATTATTGTTATTAATAGATATACGGATGGATTTACCTGATACAATCGTTGTATGAATGTTGTTGATGCTTAACGGCTACTGTGGATAGGCTTTGGCAGTTTTACTAGCGGGCGGAAAAATTATTAATATCGACGATGATTAAATCCGATCGTTTTCCACCGAACGGAATGAAGATTTATAATTAAATTGCGTTTAAAATCACACGTAGACAGACACTAACACACGCTAACACGAAACGAATCACCATCAAACACCCACTTGTTTCATCGTAGTTCGCGTGTACGTGAGAAAAAAAACAAACAAAAACAACGGAACGTCTATCATTAAAAAAACTTGTTTATCGCGTTGACGGCGAGTATATTGATGCGCGTGCGCAATAGGCGATTGCTCGCATGCCGTTGTGAATATTGACGTCACCGCTATGGGACGTAGCGCCATCTAACGGTCATAATAATGTTCATTGATATCACAGAATAGATAACAATATTGTCACGATCGCATCTCAAACATTAATAACAAAGAATCTTCTGTTGTTATGTATTATTCCATGTTCTCAAAGGATGTAGCGTGACCATTGACCACAGTTAGATAATAATAATACACTGGAGTGCGTCTAGAACATAAAAGCCGGCCGTCGTGTTTTTCGTTATCACCTCTCCTCTATGGCAACAAATTTCGTGTTATACCTATTATACTGTAGTAGGTATACCGTGTGTTAGTGTATTATTAGCTATTGCTTATTAGTTATTACTTTTTAGCAGCGTTGGTTTAACGTGTAGTCTACCGGTACTTGGTGATCTACATTTTGGCGTTCAGTGTTCACGGTATGACGTGTGATCTACCAAGACAATTTACGATATAATTTCCTGTGTAGCTTGATAAATACCTATATAGGTATCCATAATAATAGATAATATTATTATTATTATGAGATAATGAAATAACACATTGATAGATAAATATATTCGATATTGGTTACCAATAATAATAAAAACTGGTTTTTTTTTTATCTCTGAATATTTAAAATGTGAAACAGTGATAGTCCCCCTAGTTTGTAATATTCACTAGGTATTCAGTAATCAGTATGAACTTGTGTCGACTGTGAAATGTGAACGCGTGTATTCATTATATTTAGTATTATGTTGGTTGCCGACTTTTATAAATTAATTGAATCGGAATCTAGTAGGCACTGTACAACTTTTAAAAACACATGGGTTATTGGACCTGTCGGCCCCAATCCTCCAACATGTAGGTACTAAATGTGATGGGATAACTAAAATGATTTTAAGGAAGAAACGTTTAATAACGTTTTAATAAAAATCGTGTTTGTTGTATCTTGTAGGTCATTATAATAACTATGGTAGATCACACGTTAAACCAATGCCTTATTAGTTTTAGCAATAATTTAGAATGATTACATTATAACATTTGTTTTGATTATTACATTTCTTTTGCGTAATTATTTTATTATTATTTACGAGATTATTTTTATAAAGGTTTGAGTTAATCTTATTACGGGTTTTAAAATAGTTTCATCGTGTAGTTCGGCCTTTGGTACCTACCGTACCTACCAACGATATTATCCGAAGCATGGTAAAAAAAATGTCCTTTTTATATCGAAACATTAACAGAATTTCAATCTCATCTTATTGTCGCAAACAGTTCAAAATTTACTTCTTTTGTTAATAAAAGCAAACTGTAACTGTTTATTGTTTCAAAGGCGATTTTATTAATTGTTCTACGTTTAGAAAAAGCGTTTCAAATTATTGTTGTGAAGGAAAAGTAGGTATTACATAAAAATAAATCACTAAATATTTTTCAGTATGCTAAAAAATATATTTTAGCTAATTATTAGTAAAAGCAATTAGTAATACGTTTATTAATAGGTAAGTATAAGAATGGGTCACTTTAAAAAATAATAAAATATTCGAAATACTAAAAACTAAATCTTCATTAAGGATTAGGCTATCTAAATTAGTATTAGGTATTTTAACATTTATAATTGTATAATTTATAATTATAAATGTGTTTGAGTAAATTGTAAATTTTACATGTAAACTTTTATTGTATGCAATATATTATTAAACATTTTTCTTTATAAAAATGTTCGTAGAATTTGTATTTTTATTATTTTTTTTTGTAGGTTTGATATACATTTAAAGTACACATGAAAATAATAATTTTCGTACCAAACTTAACGCAATACGACCATTTATTCCAAAGTAATGTTAAGTTAAAATGTGTAATCTTTCACTGTTAATCTAAAGGGGCACACACTCTAAACCACACACGATCAGTTTAACTGCGCAGCTTATCTGTGCAAATAACTGAGTAAAAAAATGTGTACAGTTATCTAAACTGAAGGTGTGTGAGCTACTTTAGATTTTCCCTCAGTTATTATGTTCACAATTCTCTCAGTTTTTTCGTGCGATGTAGTCACAGTCTACTGTGCGTGTATATTTACAATAATGCGTGACCGAAAAAAAAGAGTAGCAGTGTGTTGTGTCATCACTTCCCGTACCCCGATCTTTTTGAATACCTTTTATAATTTTTTCTGAAAAGTTGATAGAAGGTTGTTTATTTTTTTTAATAATACTATCACGAGTCACATCAGACTCGATAGGTTTTAGTTTTTTTACTAAAACATTGTACGTGGCCGCTTTTTCGATTTGATTCGGATATAAAGAGCATTCTATATCCCACAATTTGGGTATATTTCTGTACGCGTCAATGAAATTCATAAGTTGTTTTTTTTTTCGCCAGTTAATTATTAGTAAAGATTAAATTAAGTATAGGTGGCTTAAGGGACTTACCCCTCTAGAAATTTGATAAGCCCTTTAAATTTTAACAAAGATTCAGAAATTAAAATGATCTTTGTTCTTTATGTTGACCTTTTTTGTTTATTTTTTGATCATCACTATAATATAACCCTATCCCCTATAAACTAATCAAATGTTCACCTATGTTTATCCGCCTTCTCTTAGTTTTGAATTTTGTTTTTTTAATATATTTTTGGATGAATAAACATATAAAATAACACCAATTTACTACTCGCTACTTTTTACAATAGTTTAGTCAAAACTGCTTTGGTATAGGTACTAAAAGAACGTTAAAAAATAAATGTATAGCAATATTATACACTTATACCTATTATAATCAATACTCGAACTAGACAAATTAAAGTAGTGGAGCTCTGCTAAATAGAGGAGCTCATTCCTCTGCGCAACCTCCCAATTCAAGCAATGATTATTGATTATAATATAATAAATAATGATTTAATATAGTAATTACGTAATTTTAATAAACGAAGATAACGACAGTTAAAAAAAAAAAAAAAAAAAAAATCGTGTATTTGTAATTCATTTTCATTCGTGTGTTTATCGTTTAAGACAATACCCACGATTACCAAACAATTCAAGATTATTCCTTATTAAGACTATAATATATAGACTATTTTATACTTATAATTATTTAGTTAAAAAATTTAGAAATTCATGAAATGTACATCCGACAGCCAATAAATATAATTATTATGCGAGATAAGTAGTTCAGATGTAGGTAAAATAAAAACAAAGACCTCATACATCATAGTAAAACTAATATTTAATATAAAAATGTGAGGCCCCATAAAGGACGAGCCCCTAAGTGGGTGCCCAGTTTGCCCACCTTCTCTTCCGCTGGCCCTGGGTGGTGACTGGGGGTAGCGACATTCGAGATGGCACATTTTTCGTAATATAACAAACATGTGTGAGTTCGTGCTTCGGTTTATTCTTATACTTCTATATGCACTACGGCTTCATTATTTTTCAGTGTTTTGGTATAAAAAATTTGTTTTAGTAAAAATAGTGAATATATTTCAAAGAAAAGGAATCATTGTTTATCATAATAATATAATACAGGTAATTTGAAAACTAATAGAAAATTGTAAAAACAATTATTAATTTTACTTTTGATTTTTGTTAAAATTTGATATTAAAACTCTTATTAAAAAAAATACTGCATTACACTTAATTTTTTTTTTTTGACTACTAGGTTACGACTTATAATGAACCTCCTGTTAAATTGTACGGGGTGTACCTAACAAGATCTGATATATGAAATGACTTTTGTTCTGTTTAATATTTTAAACTATTTTTTTCTTGTAATAATTAGGATTAGATCCTTGTACTATAATTTGATTATTTTAAATTGTTTATGTTTATTAAAAAGAACTAAAAATTTATAAAATCTAAGATATCCGTTTTATAAATATATATTTTGAAACAAAATTTAGGTGTTACAAATATTTAATAATGATTAATCGTTAATTTTCCATAATTTTTTAAAGTTATTACGATTGTCGAAATTGTTTTTATTACCATTACTAAATAATATCTATCGATTCACCAATTTGTTCATGAAAAATAATTTTGTTTTTTATTTTTGTAAACGTCAAATAATGTTAGAAATTTAACGATTACACCTACTACGAGAAAAAAAAATGTAAAAATATTAAACATAACAAAAGTTTTATTGCAGGTGTCAGATCTTCGTGTTACAGTCTGTATTCATAATGTATCAATATTTTTATCTGTAATCACGATGATGATATTCTATAGACATTTAATAATACCACAGGCGAATATTAGAGGGAATTTAGGGAGCTTAATCAGCCAAAATGTTTTAGCTGCGGAAGGTTTAGGCAGTTTTAGTCTCAACAGAATACAGAATAAAATTTGTTAAATATTTATTCATAAGCATGGCGCACGCCCTAATCACTGCAAGGCCGCTTTAATTTTGATTTTATTGACCGGTTTTACAGTTTTTTTAGTAGGTAATGAATGTTTTCTTTTACCCCGGACCCTCATTATATCTACGTCACCGAAAGTAGTTACAGTTTTTCAAAAATGTTCATATAAGTAATATTGTACTTTTATGTAAACATTAAATCTAGTAAAATATAGTAATATTAATGGCACACGGGCATGCCAAAGGGACCGAAGCCCTCATCGGATTTGTGTGCCGATTAAGATTCTGTATATTTTGAATTAACGTCTGGTTCTGACTATGTAATATTTTTGCTTGTATGTAGACATTTTAACATAAGAAATACCTGTAATTTTGAAGATAGCTTGGTTTTAACAACTAATTACTTATACATATGTTTGGCACTACTATAATTAGAAAAAGTTGAGCAGTAGGTCAAAGAGTAATATTAAAGCTGTAATACATTTTTAATAGGTAGGGTAAATTTGTTAAAAATGCCGAGCCTTTTTTTTGTATAAAATTATCATTATTTTTACATTTTTTAATATTGAACTATAATATGTATAAAAAATTATTTTACGTTAAAACCTATTAATTTTAATATTTAAATGTACTTTAGAAATAATTATATATTTTTTTTAAATACAACACACGGACAAATTATAATGTTGACTATTTTTTATACACTTATGCGTAGGTACATAAAAATACAAAATGTCCACTAAAAATAAAATAATTTTACTCTAGCCGATAGTATTATATTGTCGGAAATGGGAATCAAACTTTTTTAAAATTGTCGGAAAGAGACATTTGAAATTTTGACAGAAAGGATACTTATGTAAGGCATATGAAATAAATTAGGTATTATCAGTAGATAAACATATACTGGATTCGGAATTGTGAAAGACGAGAGTCACACACTCGAGTGATGAAGACGAATGAAAAGAAGATAATTGTTTTTAAAAAATTAAGAAATTCTATGGTATTTTATTTTATTTTATTTTGGAATTTTAGAAGATTTGTATATTATGTTTGTCTTCTGCGCGTACGTCTGGATAATTCGGTTTTGGAGCGCCATGGACAGATGTCGTCTACGTGTTTGATTGCCTAGAGTGCCTTGATATCAAGGCCGGTTTATCTATTGGTTATTATAAAAATTATTGGTAAAGGATATGTATGTAAAAAATTCAATTGAATTTCGATATTCATTAGCATAATGGTCGTTTTCCTGAAATTGAAAAAGATGAACGAAAACACCCGCAATATACTGGATATTGTTGAATATTGTAAACGTTTAATTGAATTTTATTGTATATCTAGGTATACTTGATAATGCCATGATTGGGGCACCGCTACTAGGTGTACTATACCTCCACATTCGGGAGCACCTATACTATATTAGGTTAGGTCTGTTGTAATAATGTGATTTCGTTATGTGAGTATTTATAAAAAAAAAAACATTACGATTTCTGTGTGTGTGTAGGTTTATAACTATAATATTTAATTTGAGCGTGCGAAATTTCCCATACAGGAAGTTGCGCCAATCGACATTCTATTGAATCGCAAATGACGCATGATTTCCTTTTCCGTTGTTGCCAAAATATTTAGTATGATATCATCTCGTGAACTAGGTAGGTACCTATATAATTAATGGTTACCAACATTCACCATTGCCCATATATTATACCTGCAGTTATACCGCAATAAACGTATGTGCCGCGTATCAGTCCTGGCAGGTTTCAGAATTTTGAGAAACAACTAGTAATAATGTAATACGAAAAAATATGGCTTCAATATGAATACATATCCGCCCTTCCTCGGCCATCCAAATCACGTTTTCTTTAAAATTAAATATTAATATTACTTTCATCAAATAAAATTATTACTTACTATAGTTCATAATTATTATCCTTCCTTTGCATTTAAATTTGAAAAAAAGGTAGCATATATAGGGTAATATAATTTGTATCTTTGCGCAACGATAAATCATTGCTAACGAATGCCGTGATTTTAAATATAATTAGGTAAATAATAAACGTAGTGTAATATTATTTTTTATTTTTTTCATAAACAAACAATATATGCATATATTATACATACATTTTTTTTTCTGTGAACAACTTTTCTACCAGCAATTTTGCTCCGTTTACAATTATAGCATTTTTTCTGAAAGAAAATTTGACTGGGAAGCTACTTTAAGAAGGTCACTTTTCGATTTTCCCAAGAGTTTTCCCAGTAAATGTGTAACACTGGGAAAAAACATGGCAAAACCGAGAAAAACGTAGGAAAAACGGGAAAATCGGTACAATATTAAACAAATATTATTAAAGTAAACATATAATACCTATTTAATTATTATTATTATTATTATCAGCGCAGAATTGTTTTTTCGTTAACAATGGTTCATCGTTTACAGATATACATTAAATTCCCTTCTGCATAGTACGTTCCCAACTTCTCATTTACAACAGTGGCTGCACCCACGTGCGAAGTATGTCCGTCTTTTTTTTTAAATTTTTCTTATGTTTAATAATATAATTTGATGATACATGGGAACAACTACACACTAAAATTCAAGGCCGTTCCAATTTCGAAGACATAATTATTATTGTTTATTATTGTATGCATCTGTATTATAGTGAATTATATACCAGCACCCTGTAGCTATACATAATATCCAATGGAACCTATGTTTGGTAAAAATACTAAAAACGCAAATGATATCTATCATAGGTAGGTAATGTTATAATATGGACACTTATATTACAATTTCGACACAACACGTCAACACATTATGTTATTATATTGCGCAGTGCACATGTTACACACCTAAAACACACTCGTTCGAAGTACGATTTTAATATACAAGTGTACTTATATAGGTATATAGGTATGTACAATAATTATTGTTTTCTCAAGTAGCACAGTTAGCAATGTGGCGGTGGCGGCAATAATTTTTATGTTATAATATTACCTATAGTATGTTCATTAAATTATTATTATTATTTTTTACTGTCTATCTGACTTGAATGCGACTAGACAAGTCATTATTATACTAACCTATGTCTGTATCGCTAAGTATTATATATGAGTAATAATGTGAACAGTATTATTTATTTATTATGCATTTTCATAGGGTCTGTGTGTGGATTACGTATTCGGTGATTTATTAACAATAATTTAATGCAATTGTAGTGTTATTATAATAGGTATGTAGGTAAATTATGAGTGCAATTTTTGTTTTCACATTTTTAATATAAATATCCCGTTTTATTTTGTAAATGTTTCAGTATAATATAAGTGGGTATATATCTAAGCAAAATACAATATTCAAAATATACCTATTATACAATAGAAACCATTATAAATTTATATTATACAAGGTGATACTATAGATACACAAATTATCTCGGAAAGTATTAACATTTTTCAAACATTTTTTTTTTTTTTGATAATATTTATGAAATAAACTGTTCTAAAATTGTATACTATAAAGGCCAACCTTTACTAAAAATTCCATATATAGAGTTCAAATAAAATTTAATGTAGACATATTTGATTTCGGTGAACTTGTTGACGAGATATTTCACTTTTAAGATCGAATAGAGGGAGAGTAGTGGAACATTATTAAAACGCAGTGTGTGCCGTGCTGCCACACAAATGATGCTCTTTTATATTCCCCTTTGATCAAACTTAAAAGTGAAATATCTCGTTAACGGTTTGACGGAAATCAAAAATGGCAACACCAAAATAATCCATTATATTAATACTTCATCTATTTATGAAATTCGTACGTAGATTGGTATTTGAAAATAATAGGTAGGTAGTTTCAACTAAAAAAAAGAGGGTGAAAAAAATGATGGAAAAAAAACATTTTTGAATTGCTTGTTTTTAAATTGCCAACAAAAAATATTTTAAAAAAAGTTAAAATTTTCGGAGATAATGAGTACACCCACTTAAATGTATCACCTTGTATATTATTTACCTTTCTATCTTTAGCACGTCATTGCAATATCATAATTACACATCAGCACCACCGGTTCGAGGTTTCCCGCATAGAATATAAATAATAATTATAATTTTGTATTTTGTACCTAGAAACTATAATATTTACGAATACCTACTATTACCTAATACCTAATAAAAAAAAAAAAAAAAATGATCACGGATATCCGATATTGTATATACCTTCATAAGTATAATTTATGATAATATCGTATCACATTTTCGTGCGCTTTTGAGAAACCAAACAAATTTTATCCACATAAAACCAACTAAAAACGAATGGTTATAAATAGTCAAAGACATGGATTGAATGTTTTATGTGTATTCGGTGAAAATTTGAGGTCTCTTCAATTATTTTAAACTGAATTACAATAGAAAACAAAGTCGATAGTTACCAAAACCATTAACCTTCACCAAGTTTTCCTCATTATTAAGGAAATTAAAGAGAAATTATAAAAAAAAAAAAAAAAAAAAATCAAAAAATGTCATCCCACAGGTATCAAAAAGATCCAAAATGCTACAGCAAAACCCTCTTCTCATTTTTTGTTTGACAGAAGATTTCTGGTAGAAAAGCTGTTGACACACAATAAATAAATAATTATACACATTATAATTGTAAAAGTAATTCCCCACTCCGTTTAAAATTTAAAAATAATACTACTATAATAAAATTGGAGCCTTGGAGAATAATACAAATTGAATCTATATATTTGGTAAATTCAAATGTCAGATACTTAATGTTATATTACAATAAAATATTTGCAAACTATACGTTTACACATAGACTTATCGATTGTAAATTGTAATCAACGGGTTTTTCCACATATAAATACATTTGTGAATATAAAGCAATCAGTACCTAACTAACTTGAAAATTACAGTCACGTATTTTGATGGTAATGTGAAAGTAGTACCTAAACTCTCACTGAACTTTTATATTATTGTATGAAAAGGTGCGTACATAAATCCTAATGTAATGAAACTAGAAACGTGAAATTTATATTATAAAAAAATGAAAATGATAAAAATTAATTAATCACCTTGTGATATTCATCATAAATAATCCATATAAGATTTAAAATATTGACTGCAGGTAGAAAATTATAATATAATTATTATGATGGCATAATAATGATATATAATAATGATCGTACTACATAAATAAAAATAAAACTAATAAAACGTAAAACGTGTTCGAATCAAGTTGTTGGTAGATAAATAAAAATGAAAATTTAATATATTGAATTTGATGAATAATATTTCTTAACGAAAATAAACATAATATTAGAATTAGCTAAATTGTCTAGACTTTCACGATATTGATTTTTTGATTAAAATTTAATGTGTCCAAAATAAATACAAGCATAATATGGCTATTTTACTGAGTTTTTAAAAATAATATCTTAATTTTGGAGATCTTCAAAACTGAAAATTGAACTTTGATTTCTTTAATAATTTAGATTAACTTAGAATTTGTCAAAAAATTAATATCATATATTTTAAATCAGAATTGGTAATATATTTGTAGGTATAAAACGTTTGATACCTACGTTACAGGTATAATATATGATGTATAAACTATGTAATGACTAAAAACCTTTGAACATATTTTCAGCGCATAAAACTATACGAATTTGAAAAACCACTTATTTTAAGACCTATTTTAACTGTATGTTAAATTTTATATTTAATAAGTATTTATTTAAAGCAAACTGTTTTTTTTATCTTTTTTGTATAAGTTTATTATTATTGCCTATACAAAGAGGGAAAAAGATTGAATAAATTACAAACAAAATGCTTCTAATGACGAGATAGCTTTTATTTCAAATTGATAGTTTTTATCTTGCGCTCGGAGTATGAACTACAAAAATGTAAGTAATGTTTACTGTGTCTATACTTCAAATCCCACTCTTAGTTATTTTCAGTTGCTATAATATATTCAGAAAAATAAATAAGTTCGAAGGAGAAAAAATTATTAAAACTTGTTTTATCAATAAATTTGAAAAAACGGAATAATTTATTACTTAAGTACCTGTATATGGCGTATTGGCATTTTAATATAGGTACTCGTAAGAGGTTTTTCTCCTAAATAATAAACTCTCCCATACATTATCCCCGGTATACATTATTGTTGAATTTATTATTTTTTAAAGTTTTCACGGGTGATTTTAGCATTTACCCTGTAGCAATAGACCAACAGAGAATGTTATTTTATCTATTTATAATAACTTATATAAGTTAAAAAAACACACTAATAAAAAAATAATAAGATGTCGAAAGTGTATAAGGATAAGTTAAGTATTTAAATATTAGTACATTATTATACCTACACGTATATTATGTATACAATATATGTATAGTTGTCTAAACATGTACTAGTAACCAATGAATGGAAAATGACCAGTTTTTACAGACGCGGTTGTAGTCATGCGGTGGGTGAGCCATCTTAAGTTGATGGGCTGTAAACGGGTAAAAGGTTCTGGACCCATTCGATGTGCAGCTGGTCACACCCCAGGGTAAGTGTGCCAAACGGTGATCCCGTGCTCTTGGATCGACCGCACCAGGCAGAAATATAAAGCACGAAGATAAGAGGCAGAGGAGAAAAGAGAAGAATTGCGCTTTACGAACTCAAGGATTTTTAGAGCACGTCCAACAGTAACATCGACATGGTGTCCGAAGGAGAGGGTTGAAGGTAAATGAGAACCAAGATCTTTGATCCCATTAACACAAGTGTGAGAGGAATAGCCTAGAGAATGTGGATGAAGAATAGGAGAACGTTTACTGGAAAAGATCATGGCGTAGCATTTGTTAAAATTTCAGTCCAGGTTAACGAGTTTGGACCATACAAGAAAGGCATCGAGATCAGCATAAAAGAGAAGGCAATATGCTTTAAATAATTCACAAACCTTTATTTTCATTATAGATATTCCAATATTATTCCATTGATTGTAATAATATTTTGCAAACGAATTGATTAAATTTCAATTACGATAAGCGGATTCAGGAAAATATAAAAGTGGAAGGGAGGGGTGATTTTTAAAATGTACATAAGGTACACATTTATGATGTAAATCAAATTATAGTACGTTGGGAGAAATCGAATAACGACTTGAAAAGGTTTATCATAAATTGTTATTATTGAAAAAAAAAAAAATAATAATGTGACGTATAATGTAGTAATTTTTTTTTATGAGCGTTTAAAGTTTTAATTTTACTGAAAATGCAAAATTTTATTATATCTGTAAAGAAATTATCTGCATCAAATTTTTTATTTGTTAAAAATATCTGAAAAAATATGTGGTTTACTTAAAACAAATAGTAGACTAAAAAAATGTTTTATTAAACTAAAAGAAATTCCATATAGGTACGTAAATAGATATCAAAGAACAATACTTATTGCCAAAATGTAGGTAAACTTCATATTCTTTGATTTACATAGAACTCGTTTATTTTGAATATAACATCTTTTTATATGAATAATTTTTACAATAACAACGTTTATGAACACGCTCTTTAGTTGTAAAGGTATAGCTTGTTGTAAAGGAAATAATATTGCTGATATTCCTGAAAATGAATAACTAAAATTAATTAATTGATGGCACTAGATCTTTAATGGAATATAAAGAAAACTTTTACTTTGCATTCAAGTAATGAGCATTTGAATTTATTAATAATCATCACACTTACCTTCATGGAATATATTATTTCTACGAATTATTCTTCACGACACCATCGTTAAATAAATATTTCCAAGTACCTACTGATATGTATAATCTGATAGTTTCGTGACGAAAAATTTGTATATCCTTTATTTAATCAGACGCGATTGCTAATTTGTGTAATTTATTGTTCCTATATTTTTGATGATATATAGGATGGTTTTAATAATTTATAATCGAACAATTTCATTGGAAGATTTTAAGTGGAATATTTTCATTTATGGTTTTTTTTTATTCATTATGGACATGTTTATGCTTTATTTTAACAATATGTTTAATGCATACTCCTGCTCCCTGCACCTACCTTAAAAGAGTATTATTATTGTATATATACCTATCAAAAAAAAAAATATTCTTTTTTCAAATCTAGTCTGAAAAAGTGAGATTATTGGTATACGAATATAAAAAGTTGACATATGTACAGAATAAGAGTAAATTTTTGAAAATACTACAGTAAATATTTAATCATTATCATTCTATGATATAATAGAATATAGAATATTCTATATTGTCTGGAAAAATGAACAAAATTTAAAAAAAAATATCCTCGCTATATATTAAATGGTTTGAAATGCCTATGCGATACAAATTCTATCTATTTTGTTGTAAAAAGAGATTATATGCTATTTACTCCACACAACAAATAAAATAGATTTCGATCTTAGAAAATACACCAGATTCGGATCTTTATAAATATCCTACTAGTTTCGGGTCAAGTTTGGCATCGGGGTTTTGTTCGTATTATCCGAACGATTAGAGATAGGCGACTGCTCGTAAAAGTTTAAAATGTTTCTTATATTCTTAATATCTCTTAAAATCTGGTTTAGCTTCTAAAAGATACTACATACATTTTATTGCGCTTTTTTTGTTTCATCGAAGTTAAGAATAATCGAAAATAAATTCTTCGTAAAAATAAGACATACTAATAATGAGTAACGAGATAATTATTACATTTTTTTTTACTTCCAATTTATTCGATATACCCATATGACAATATCTACTAAGTAATATGTAATTAGGCATTCAGTTTACATTGTTAATAACAATGGTAACATATACCTAGTTATTTTGTTGATATTGTATAAAAACTTCACTATTTATTTCATTCTATTTATATTATAACTCGGAAAAAAAAAAACGTAAAAAGGTAGTATTAAGAAATTTAAATGGTTATTTTATTTCTATTTGTATTTGTTTCAAAAGAGTCAAAATCTCTTAGAAAATCTGAAATACCCTTGACTTTAGATACCTACATGAACACATTTGTGAATACAGTATTAATGCGAGTAGGGGTGAAAGTCTGGGATCTAAAAGGTTTTTATTAGTATCCATTGTATGAAAAGGTCCTACTCAAGTGTGTGTGTTTGTGAAGAATAAAAAAATCATTTTTATGGAGCCACAGGGTCATTGTTGAACTCTTGTAGTTTTAAAGGTGAAATAATTTTACCGACCGATTCGCAATGGAAACTATTACTCGCGAAAAAAGTTTTAACAAAGGCCGAATCCCATATTGTGTGTACCTAATATCTATGCTGAAAGTCTTAAAGAAACATAATGTATAAAATACTTACAGATATGTCTACTTTAATATTATATAAACGTTATGCCTACAATAGTCCATACAATATATACTGTATAAATGAAATTCAAATTAAAATTATATATTTACCTTATATGTAAATTATAATATTATGATTATATTGGTACTATATATACATGATATTATACTCGAAATAACTTTTGTTCAATTCAATTTTTTTTGTTTTTTTATCGTTTGTATGGTCTTTTATTTTCTACGATTTTTTCGAAGTTTTTGCAAATGTGAATATTACCTATTGTGGTTATTTTATTACAATATTTAATCAGTTATTAGTTAGGTAATTATAGGTAATGGGTAAGTAAATCTGGAAAAGTAAATTAATAATGGTCCTTTATATTGATAAACAATATTGTTACGATTAAAAAGAAAATTATTTATATTTTAAAAAACTGTAGAAAATAAAAGATCATACTTTAACAAAAGTTTCAATCACCAAAATTTTTCTAAAAATCTATTTAAAAAAAAAAGCTATTTTATAAGTTTTTTAAAAAAAATTTAGTGAAATTTAAAATTTTTTTATTTTAAGTCTTCTTCCCCTTAAAAAAAAATATCCAAATATAAACTTTAGTGCAAAGGTATATTAATTATTTAAAAAAACAATATATATTAAAATTATTAAATAGAACAAAAGTTATTTCAAGGGGCAGATCATTGCGGGACACTCTGAATATTATTTATTTTATATCTGTACCTAAGAAATTATTAGAGCCCATATTATATCATATACTATCTAGCCTACTCATTTAAAATTATTTTTATTGCTGGGATTACGATATAAAAGAAGAAAAAAACCGTCAATTCAAAAAAGTTTAAACGCGTTTTTTACTTTTATGTTTATTTTAATTGCATTAGCAGTCGTGGTAGTGTTTCAAATGCGGAATTCGCTTTTTAACCTCTACCGGCCGTCGTTTACACACACACGCACAGTATCCGAGGAAAATATTTAAATTAAGCTCGAAGCCGAGGAAAAAAAAAGAAAATAAATAAAGGAAAATTCCTGGTCCCCAAATCGATGAGTCGATTCGATTTTTTTCCAATCAGTTCAATCATGACGGAAAAAATTGCTCGCTCAACCGAAATGAAAACACCGAATCCCTTTTTATGAATAAGCTTAAAAAAAAAAAAAAAAAAACCTTTACTTTATTTTTAAATAATATATATCTATATAAGGTACCGCGCGCAATTCATTTAAAGGTTTATTTATCCCTTTATTAATATGGTACGCTGCACAACCGGAGAATAAGGTGCTATTCCAATGTTTCCCATACTCCTTTTGGAATAATTACAAAGAAACCACCGTCTACCGTGACCTTTTGATTTTTAACATTATAATATTATTTTGTGAAAATTATTCAAAGTTAATAATTGTCATAGTATATATAGAATATCATACAATTTAATATAGTTACAGTTAGCAATAAACCTTGAAAATGTTCGATTTATTAAAATTATATGAATGTAGGCAATATAATTTATTATGAATGGGCTATTATTTCGAAATATATTATAATACCTAACCGAAATATAAAATAAACATATTATGTACCGTATAAAACTAATTTAGAAATGGATCATATTAGTCACTTTAAATAATATTACGATTATTCAGTATGATGGTTTATACTTGAAAAGTATAAGCCGGACATTTTAATTTTTACACCGCAAATTAAAAAAAAGGCTAGATAAATCATGGTTAGATCGGTGTTGGCTATTCAGTTTATATACTGAAAGTAACGAAAAATTATTGCAATCAAAAAAACGGTTCTAAGAGGAGCTTATAAGCTGATAAGGTTATAGTCGAGTTAATTCCCTTATATCTGAGTCAACCTAAAAACAAACAAAAGTAAAACAGGTGTATCGTTATTTGTTATTTTTTTAAAAAATTATTTTCCATAGACTGTTGGGAATCTTGAATTTTATTCGAATAAAACAATATCCGTCGAAATATCTGCATCTTTAACAGGTATAGTGTATAGAATGAAAATACCGGGGCATTTTCACCGACTACAAAATTGTTTTCCGAGGAAATAAAATAACACACACACACATCTTAATAGAACTATTCGCTTATTTTAATAGCTAACATTTATTTCCGTAACGTATTCGAATATGTATCAAATGTAATAATTTAAGTTACTATCAGACCAATGGCCATAGATGTCGAGGTTTCGTTGCTTTAATAAAATTAATTAATTCCGTTAATATGTATATATATATATATAGACAGGTAGATAGTCAAATTATTTATGTATGTGCAAATTTATTATATTATAATTACTATGCACCCATATATTTTTTGTTAATACATACAATAGCCAATAGAGCCAATAGCTTATATTAAAAGTGTGTACAAATATAAGTATTACTGAAAATTTCACTGGAGAAGAAATGTATATCAGGTATATATCTATATTAGATATTTTGAAAATGTTTTAATTATTTATACCACTTTTGAATAAATTAAAAGTATGTACTT